ATCCCTAAGGCTCATACAAGACTACAGGAACCTTAACGCAGTCACAAAGAAGAACAAGTTCCCAATCTCACGCATTTTGGACCTCATCGACAGACTCTTACATGCTAGTATATTTACGAAGCTTGATCTGAGATGGGGGTTCAATAATATAAGGATTAGGGAAGGAGACAAAGAGAAAGCTGCCTTCATCACACATCGTGACCTCTTCGAACCCACCGTAATGTACTTCGGCTTCTGCAATGCTCCTAGCACCTTCCAAACAATGATGAATACGGTCCTCGAAGACTTAATTCGCACTGGAAAGGTGGTAGTCTACTTAGACGACATCCTCATATTTACGGATGATCTCGATGAACACCGACGACTAGTAAAAGCAGTTCTACAGCACCTCTGGGACAATGACTTATATGCCAAACTGGAGAAATGCTTCTTTGAACAGTCCTCAATTGAGTATCTTGGCATGATCATCAGTAAGAACTCAGTACAGATGGACCCTGCTAAAGTCGAAGGTGTACTTGGCTGGCCCGCACCGGCAAAGGTCAAACAAGTACAGGCCTTTTTAGGATTCGCGAATTTCTACAGGCGATTTATAAAGGACTTTGTGAAACTCGCATGACCTTTAACGCTTCTCACCTGTAAGGACGTGCCCTGGCAATGGAAGGAAGAGCAAGATCAAGCCTTCAGTGCACTCAAAATGGCGTTCACTTCAGCCCCGATCCTACAACTCCCCAATGATACTGCACCCTACCGACTGGAGACAGATTCTTCAGACTATGCAACTGGAGCAGTACTGGAACAACTGGGAGAAGATAAGCTATGGCACCCAGTCGCATACTACTCAAAGTCGCTCAACGAACACGAGCGAAACTACGAGATTTACGACAAAGAGATGCTTGCCATTATTCGGGCACTAGAAGAATACCAGCACTATTTAGAAGGACACCCAGAACCCATTGAGATTTGGTCGGACCATCTCAACCTTACATACTTCCGTCAGGCACAAAAATTATCCCGGTGCCAAGTGCACTGGTCATTATTCCTCACAAGATTTAATTTCATCCTTAGTCACTGTCCTGGAAAGACAATGCTACGTGCCGATCCTCTGTCTAGGAGGCCAGACCATGAGAGGGGGGTAGACAGCGACAATTTGAATCAAATGCTGTTAAAACCCGAATTTTTCGCTATCAATGTGATTCGACCCGCTCACGCATCTGAAGTTGATGATGCTCAACTACTAGAAAGGATCAAGAAGGCACTCACAGATGACATGATGATCAAGGATTATCGTGTGCTTTTGACTACAGGATAGCGCAAATTTGGGAAAAACCTCGCAGAATGGAACTTTGAGCACGGACTGCTGCTCCATCACGGAAAGGTTTATGTCCCCAAGGATCAACAGCTACGCCTTGACCTAATAAAACTCCATCATGACACCTTACCAGCTGGACACCCTGGCAGGTTCAAGATGTTGGAGCTTATTACTCGGAACTATTGGTGGCCAGGAATGTCTGTAATGGTTAAACAATACGTACAAGGTTGCGACAGTTGTCAACGTAACAAGTACTCAAGGGAAAAACCATACGGACTACTACAACCAAACGAGGTACCAGGAGGACCATGGGAGATCATCACAGTGGATCTCATCACACAACTTCCTCCAGCCATGGACTTTAGGGGAGAAAAGAAAACGGCAATAGTTGTCGTCATGGACAGACTCACGAAACGAGCGCACTTCTATGCGACGGACGATACAGTCACCTCATCGCAAGTCGATAACGTATTCTATATTATTCTATAATGAAGTCTTCAAACTCCATGGATTGCCGCACCAGATTATCTCAGACAGAGGTACTCAATTTGTGAGCAAACTATTCTAGGAGTTCTGCCAGAAGCTCAGTATAAAGTCAACAGTGTCCACTGCATACCACCCCCAGACAGACGGTCAGACAGAAAGGGTTAACCAGGTGTTGGAACAGTACCTACGAATGTACTGTAACCACAGACAGAACGATTGGGTCTATTACCTGCCAACAGCAGAATTTTCATACAACCACCAGACCCATGAATCCACCACACTTTCCCCATTCTTTGTCGAATATGGCCAACATCCAAAAATGGCACCAGACGTACATGAATCAATACATCATCCCTCATTGGAACATCTATTCGCCCACCGATCCAAGGCACAAGAACAGGCAAAGGCAGCATTGGAAGTTTCAGCTTCACGGATGAAATGGTACTTCGACGAGAAAAAAGGAGAAGTCCCGTTCAAAGTCGGAGACCTGGTACTACTCAAGGGAAAGGATCTCAGAGTAAAAGTCAAGTCCACGAAGCTAGGCACACAAAACTTCGGACCTTACAAAGTACTTCAGAAGCTAGGCCCAGTCACATTTAAACTGGAACTGCCTAAGCAAATGAAGGTCCATCCGGTCTTCCATGCTAGCAAGTTGATCATGTACCATCAAGACACGGTCGCAAACCGCAAACCCCCAAAGCCCCCAGCTATAGAAATCGAAGGAGAACCAGAATTTGAAGTTGAAGAAATACTAGACTCGAAGGTTGTAAGGGGAAGGGTCCAATACCTCGTCAAATGGAAAGGCTATGACCATTCCGACGATACATGGGAACCCCGAACAAATCTTACCAACGCCGATGAGCTTCTTCAAGAATTCCACCAGCAACACCCAGATGCAGCCAAAGCACCAATCAGGGTTATCACTTTTGGTGGGAAATGCTTCGAACTATCCTCATACGAAGTTGCACCGATATCCACTCACAGAATCAACATGTCTGACCACCCGGACGAGTTCTTCCTATATCATAAGATAACAGATCTCACCAAATCACCGAAAAAATCCTCACATGAAGCAGCAGGATGGGATATTTATGCAGCAGAAACACATGAAATTCCCCCACATCCACGAGCTGTGGTAGGAACGGGAGTCGCAATTGAACCTCCCAAACATACCTATACACGAATAGCTCCATGCAGTGGACTGGCTGCATGAGGAATTGACGTGGGCGCAGGAGTCGTTGATCCAGATTACACTGGAGAACTCAAGGTCGTACTGATCAACACAACAGATTTCATATTTTTGGTCAAGCCAGGAGATAGAATAGCCTAAATAATCTTCGAGTATTACGCCGAAGGGCTTCCCTCCTGAAGCTACCAACCGTTGCGAGCAACTAGAAGGGGTAATAAAGGTTTTGGCTCCTCGGGACAATGAGCCTTGAAAGGGGGGTAGTGTCACAGACTTTCGCCACAAAGTCTGCATGTGACTTTTCTCACACCACAGATCACGTGTTTCACCAATATCTCACACCACTCAGCCACAGACGTGACACGTAGAAATCAGGTGATAGTCCACATCACATGTTATGGTCCAGACCCGCGGATGATACGGTCGGACCTGTCTATTCCAGGATACAATAGAGGCACCCATTTGGGAACAAAGGGAACAAGGACTATTATTATGCATCTGCCTTCCGCTTCCTATTAGTTTAGCCAGAAGCTTAGATAGGCACGATGTTCACACCAGAGAACAAAAGGGAAAACCAAGATAGGCACAATGTGCACACGCATTACTGCGGCAATCATCGATCTTCCCACTTATTGTTCTACTTCCGGACATCCTATTGTTTCATGTACAGCCATTAGCTTATACCCGTAGATAGGTAGCTTAGGTAAGATAGCCCACTGTATGTGTATATAAGACCAGCCATGTAGAGGACGAAACTTCAGATTGTTTCTCCTCGTCTACTACCGTAGCATCCTACTGAGCTTACCAGCTCTATCATATATCTCTCACCCTTTCCTGCATCAGCCACCTCAACTAGTAAGTCTCAGGCTCTTGCGCCACATAGGGTTCAGGGGGATTCCTTGAGATCAGGAGGATCAGGGCAGCACGTTCCACATGACTGTCCCTTTTTAGTCTTTTTGATCTCTTGTCCGGTGTTGCCGTGACAGTTATAGTATAAGTAAGTACTCTAAGCCAGGCACCATGAGAGTGTGGGGGTGGGTTTCTTGCTTCACACCTGCCTCTAGAGTCTACAAATGAGGAAGATGAAGTGCTGCATGACACTGCTGAAGACAAGCATAAAGGATCCTGGATCTGTCATACTGTGACATTTCTTTCTGGACAGCAGCAATGGTGAGGTGCAGATGGATAGACATCATGCCCATGGCAGTGAGGATGGAGGGCAGCACATGTGTCTAGGGCAGAGGGCAGCAAGGACGAGGACAGTGATGGCGATGGTGGCAGTGGTAGCAGTGAACGATGTGTGATGGATGATGGTGACAGTGGTAGCTATCCACGTGGAAACTTTGTGGCCTACCCATTTCGGGAGGTCCATGTGGCAATTTCGAAGCCCCACATGGCAAATTTTGCGCACTTTGAAAAATTTGTTGGCTCACTCCAAATTTTCTCCGCTAGTTCAAAATTTAAATCATTTTGTCCAGTGCAGTCCCTCATACCTTTCCGCTCCTTTTTGAGTAAAAAGCTCTCATAAGGTGGGAAAAAGGCGCAATTTCAGGAGATCCTCATGCTTTTTTGACATTTTCTCTTCTTAATCCTCGAAAAAGGTGACAATGTGAGGAAAAAGGTAAAGTTGGAATTTTCCTGATGTTACGCAGAATATCTGAGCATGTCGTCTGGTAAATGGCTGATTGAATAGCACATTCTCATGTAACTACAACGAGAGAAATCCCGATGTCAAATTTAGGAGCACCTCCCCATAGCAGCATGATGAGGATAAAGTTCAATCAGACAAGATGGTGCCTGGGTGGAGTGCCAGGCAAACTGCAGCGGTTCTCTGATCGCCGTCCGATGCCCATTTGGTGACAGATCAGTATAAGGTCTTTCATGGCGTGAACTTTGTGCAGATAAGCTGCCTCAGAGAGCATTAAGGACCCATGCTCAATAACCACAGAAGAGTCCATAGGAAGAACATCATGAGAAAATCAATTATCAAAAAGGACTCCCACTGCTGAATGAGCTTACTCACGACCACAGCACCTGAACAATGATCTCTGCATCGAGGACCTTAAGAGTTTCCGTTCTCTCTGACTCATGCCACTGCCTCATCGCAAAGTCATGATTAGCATCCTTCACCTCGTCGTACTTCACCTTTGGGCCATCGCCAGTGCCCCCGAGAGTCAGATGGTCACCGTGGACTGTGTGCGTGGCTGTGGTGGCACTATCTCTCCAACCTGCCTGTCTGAGGTACCCCTGCACGACACCAACTATGATGTCTGGTTACGCGACTAGAAATCTTCCAATGGACAATTACACCAGAAGCCACTAGCACCATCTCCTCATTCAGCAGGATTCTTCCTCCAATACTCAGCCATGTGCAGGATATGCAAGTAAGTCGAGTAGTACACTTGACAATCCACTGTTATACGATTGAGTGCATTCTTTGGAAGGTAATCTTGTGAATGACCTGGATATGCCCATGTTGGGTCATACCTTCCGAATCTGCACTGTACGACCCATCGAGTCTTGAAGCTCTCGTTGTAGGCATCTATTCATCGAGGGCAGCAAAGGCATGTTGCCTTGCTAAGCCTGATAGCTTGAGCTTTAGCCCGTGGCTTCGATTGCTGGTCTGGAGGAGACGCTCCATCAATGTCGAGGATGAGGTGGAGTTCTGCATGAAGAGCAGTGCGCAATTTGACTAGTGCTTCTGGGTTTACGTACGGTACGAGGACGTCAGGAATGTTATCCTGTGTAAATCTTGTATTGACTGCCGCGCATAAGCTTCTGAGATGTCATGGACACCCTCTCCGGAATTGGAGAATGAATTGTCAACCCATCGGTAATGAATTTGTCTGTCGGAAAAATAGAGGCATGCTTTCTTGAGCAGTATCTGTGCAACCTTCACGTAAGTGGACACACCGCGGACACACCTTCGCAATTTATCCACCTCAAACTGCTGTTCCCTGCCAGGAAAGTGTCTAGGTAGGAGAACGGTTGTATGTAGTAATCGGCTGGACTTTTCGGCAAGAGTCACAAACTTCTGTGATAATAAAGGGGCTACCTCGGAGTCCAGTTGGATCATGCTTCCATGCTTAATTTCCACGATGATGTTGCGGTCCCCCTCACTGAGAGGCCGTGCTTTGAATAGAAATTTTTCTCCTATCAGCCCATCCATGAGGAAATTTCCCCCTTGTTCAGAGACTGCACCACAATCGCTTCCAATACGATGATGAGTTTGGAGATCTGTTCATGCAGTTTATTGATGCACCTCTGCATCTTGACATAGCAACGTGCGATGACGGCCGGGATAATATCGGCGATGTTGCTCGCTCCCGCCACGGCATCGATGAGTTTTCGCACCATGTCGTTGTCCTCGTGGGTGGGGCAGCAGTTTTTTTGCTAGCACGAGAGTTATAGTGGCATTCTTGTCGAATGCAATGGCGGTGTCGTCTCCAGGCTGCCCAGTGGTCAACCACAGGGTGATCATATCAAGAATATGCAGGTCTAATTCGCAATGTTGGCTTAGCATGCATTGTATCTGTTTCTTGCAGTATTTGCAATGAAACTTGGGGCCGTCGAGCATCTTTATGATCTGCAGTTGCACAGAAAGAATCTTCTGATCCGTCAAAGTCTGAATCGTGCCTGATTCCTTATTAGTAAGCTGATTGTGTGAACATTCTATCCAGAGAATATACATTAGCGCTCTTAGCAGCCAGTGGTGACATGATTAGTGACATACGTGTGGACATGATTTAAAGGAATTCTCCAAGCAGAAGCTCATAGCAAACAGTACTAGTTCAATGCCAGCAAAACTATTCCAAATAACAAAGTAATTTGGTTATTGACAGAATGTGGATGCGAATGGCTTACATAATAATCGTCGCTGCAGTTCGACACCTTTTAGGAAGTAGTTTATGTAATGTTCGCCCCTCCTCGTCATCGTGCTGCCCCTGTTGAGCTTTCTTGCTTTCTATCCACTCACGTCGCTCGATGGCGTTTTCTACGTACCTCCTCGCGGGCTGCGGCAGTGCATGGTGAGTAGTCTGTAATGATTTCGACGTTGATTTGCAGTGCTTCTCACTGTTAGCGTGTACTCATTGCTTTATACAGTATATGCTCATGTCGCTTGATTATGTACTTCCTCACGGCGGTGCATGGTGAGTAGTTGGCATTTATTAAATGGTCTATGCTCTGATTTTGACGTTCGTTTACAGCGCTTCTCGCTACTAACGTGTTCTTATTCGACGTGCTCTGTTTCTTTATGCCTCGGCTGCCGGTTGCACATTCAGGAGATGTCTTAGAGTGTGCATGGTCACATCGCTCAATTGGTTACTGCTCTCCTCCAGTTGGAGATAGTATTCATAGGTCATGCATATGCTCGACGAATGATATACATGGATTTTTGCCTCGATACGGATTGCCTGTCCTGCTGTCTCGTCACTTGTCAGTGACATTCAGAGGTACACAACCTGTGAGTTCCCTTGATTCCATGTGATCCTCGAACGTTTCATTGATCATGCTTGACGTGCCTGCCACTGCCTTTATTGTTCTTTGCTCACGTACTTCCGTTGCACAGTTTGACCGATCTCGCTCGAATGCATCATATAGGAAGAGACCATCAAAAACGTATGGTGATCGGTTTGGAGTCTATTGTTCGGGCATCGATGTAGTTTGGCTTATATGTCTGCTGTTGCAGTGTTCGACTTTGTACATGATGGTTTGCACGAAGTGAGTTCAGAAGGGATCTGTACAATGGACTGGCATCTGTTGGATCATTTTTCAGTTGTAAGCGGACAGCTTTGACTAAGGCTCCAACATTTCTATCTATTTACTATGTTACATAGTTTTAACTGTTTACTATATCTGTTTATTTACAGTTGGCACTGCAGACATGATGGCATTTGCAACTATGGCGTATGCTGAGTTAGTCTTTTGCCTTTGTAAGTGATATTTGCAATGGTGTCATTTTGTATCTCAGATTGTGAAAATGCAATAGGATATTCAGTGATCACAGATTGGTTATGAACTTTTTGAGATATGCAAGCATCGTGCATATTTAAACAATATGTCAAAATTTAGCACTGTGAAATTTGAGTCACAAATTATATATATTAGATGACGTTTGCAAGTGCAGCAGATGAAGATGCAAAGGGTAGATTCAGTCAAGGAGGCTACATTCAACATTCCATAGCAGAAATTTACATAAACACATGCAACACCGTTGATTCAGTCTGGCATGAGGTGTAAGATGTATTAATTCTGATGTTGAATATAGGCCTCCTTGACTGAATTTACCCTTTGCATCTTCATCTGCTGCACTTGCAAATGTCATCTAATATATATAATTTGTGACTCAAATTTCACAGTGCTAAATTTTGACATATTGTTTAAATATGCACGATGCTTGCATATCTCAAAAAGTTCATAACCAATCTGTGATCACTGAATATCCTATTGCATTTTCACAATCTGAGATACAAAATGACACCATTGCAAATATCACTTACAAAGGCAAAAGACTAACTCAGCATACACCATAGTTGCAAATGCCATCATGTCTGCAGTGTGGGCCTGTATGTAGTAAATAGATGTATATATAGTATTATGATGATATAGGGCTATTGAGTGCACAATTGCTAGATTTGACAGCACAACAGTGAGCCAATTGAAAGTCATAGTGTTTGACAGAAGCCACCACTGACAGTTGATTATCATATAGGCTTAGAACATGAGTTTCTTGTCATTTCTTATATAACATAAGATTTCCTTGTCATTTCTGGTGCAAGTGTTGACATTGAATGTTTGTTTTCTGCTTACTGTCATGTGCTTGCTGATGCAAACAGGTCCTTCAAGGCCTCAACAATCACACAGGCTGCTCACAGTTGAGTAAAAGTCCATCAAAAGATGAGACCGAAAAAACTATATAAACTTTATATAAACTGTTTATATGACATATAGATAACTATTTACTATATACTATTTATTTACACCTCAGGAGTGTAAATAGTATAAATAGTTGGAGCCTTAGCTTTGACGCACAGAAAGAACTAGCAACTTATTCGCCAGTGTTCATCATTGTGACTTACCTGCTCTGTGCAGTGAATTGGAATGCATTATTATAGACATGCCGTTGAAAGATCTGGTGCGCAGGCTTGATTTTGCATCGCTTGTTTCAGTTGCAACTGCACATGGACTAATTGCTCCTGGGGGTGAGTGGACGTCCACAATCATCATGAACATGATCACCGCTGACACCATTATCCTCGCATATCTGACTCACATTCAGCAACACCTTGCCTTTTGCTCTCCCACCATCAAAGGTACCCAACTCAGAGTCGCTGCAAAGGGGAAATATCAGGGACGAGAATTCACCTTCTATGATGGGGGCCAATCCTCTTGTCATCGCTGGGGCAGCCCCGACTGGCAACATCTCTTCTTCGACAGCGGTCGTTTGAACCTTGCATTCGATAGCATTCGCATCCAACCCCCTGAACCAGTGTTGGTCTTGTGGTTCATGAGCGATTCGTGGTGCAGTGATTCATGTATGGTCAGAGCAAAGGGACCCATAGTGTTTGCCAGTTCAGTAGACGAGATAATGGCAGCATTCGACGGTGTAATATGAATGGCATTTGCGCATGCCCAGTGCGACGGGCCTCTTTGTTATTTGGAACCGGCGCCCGGCGCCTCTTCACCCAAGTGAGTTTGTCTCTCGAACTTAGGCGCGCCACAGCGCCGAGCACGTGCCATGTGGCGCGCAGGAGCATTAATATCGTGCACTGCCAGCTGTGGCCCATTACTGGTCGAGCAAGCTGTGAAAGAAAACAGTTTAACATCATTATGAAGAACGTTTCATGCATGGTCAACAGCACCATTCAGCTTCTCCGCGGCTCCAGTGACCGCCTTGCCCGACGGTCGTGCTCTATACCTTATCGTTCTCCGACTCGGGCCTCTGGCGTGGCATTTCTACCAGCTCTCTGATGTGCCGAAGGACACAAAAGACAGAACATACTTAGACTTAGACTTGCATCAGGTGGATATCGAGTTTATCTGAAGCTACGCCAGTGAGCGATGAAACGTCCTCCACAAGATGTGGTGCCTTGCGATATAATCGGATGTCATCTGCTTCATGATGACATGCTATGCATTGTGACCTCACCTGTGAGATGCTAAAGATAGTCTGTAAAGTTCCCGATAGACTTGCGCTGAACATTCTTCACGTTCCAGGTTTCCTCGCGCCCTCATCCATGCCTATCACACGCTAACATCGACCTGCGAACGTACCTCCTGTCAGATGACCTGCTTCCAATGCATCCTGGGACGCTAGCGGACGCGGCATGTACCCGAGAGGCACGAGCATCTTCGTCCGAATATAAACGGGTGCCGTGTTTTCATCAAAATACATTCACATCCACAGGAAAGAGGTCGGAGCTTCCAGCTCCACGGATGCAATCTCCTTGAGTCCCTTGCCTCCATCGACCCTCTCGAGGACCTTCACTCCGCCTCCATGCACACCACCAGCAATGAGCCATCGATCGTCGGGGCCGCCGAACGCCATACCTCGCAGATGGCGCAGCCCCGAGCGAACCTCCGCCACACGCTCGGGTTTCTGCGGGTTCGCAAGCGAGAAGACGGAGATGACGTCGTTCTTGGGCGATGAGTCGTCGCGGTTAGACACGTACAGATACGGTGTGGAGAATTTCTCGGTAGGGTGCAAGACGAGAATCTCTGCTGCGAACATGTTCGGCTCGACATTGCGCATCGTCGACAGACATGCGACCAGTGTGGGCTCTGCGGGGACGGGAGGGAAGATGTGTGCAGTGACCTCGTTGGTCAGCTCCAGCACGGTGTACATGACGCCATCTGGAATAGTACTCAGCAACCTTTGAAGCGTTTGCGGTGCGGGCACCTACTGTAGAGGGCGACGTGCCGGGGCCCGCTTCCAGCTTTGAAGCTCACGTTACCAGAGGGATTCCACCCGCCGTCGGAGTTCTTGGTGAACCGTCGCGTGAGGTCTGCGCCTAGGTCGGGGATGAGCAACTCCGCATGGGACGCATGAAATACGACCTGATGCGGATGCGATGTCTGCTGCCGTTCTTTGTTCGGACCGGAGCCTATGAACGTGACAGTCTTGCTCTTCGACGCCTGCAGATGCGGCGGCTCGGGGATAAGAGGTATGGTCGTGAATGTGCCACTAGAGTACTATGAGACTTCAATGTAAATCGTGTGTGATCGGCAATGGGTGGGAACATACATTTCCGATGAGCAGTTCAGTCCCGACTGCGAGCAGCGTGCATGGGTCTGCCCCTCCGCTTGGAACCTCACCAATAAGCGTCCCTTGTCCATCTGCCTCATACTTGACTACGACGACTTTACCATCTGGTTGCTCTAGTCCTGCGAATACGAGGGATCCGTCCGTAGGGTGGGGAGTGATCCATGATGGATGGTGGCCGACAGTGAGAGTCGAGACGAGCGTCAGCGATGGTGAAGTGGGATCGAATGTCAACGTGTATATTTCATTGGTGTATGAGCCAACGAGGATTCGATAGGACATTGTCAGATTAGTAGTTATGAGCTTCCAGCAAGAGGATACACGCGCTACTGATATATCATCTCCCCTCTTCAGCAATCAGCAATCAGCAATCACAGTCAATCTTGTGCTTCATCTTCCGCTTCCGCAATCGTTCCGTCGGCGACTCATTCTGGTCATAAGAAGAATTGTCGACGGACCTTCCTCGGAGACAAGCAATAATGATGAGGCCTCATCGTCTGCCGGGACACAAATGTGGCGTGGCTTCTCTTCGGCTTTTATGACTCAGAGCGGTTCCTCCGACTGCTTTCCTCGGACAACGTTTCTTACGAAACGGATGCGAGAGCTCGCGCCAACTGGAAATATCTTCTGGTGACAGTACGGACTCATGAAACGCTCTCAGCAATTCAGCTACCACTATTATTGACACCCTCAAGACTTATCCTTGGCGAAATCCGTGCCACCTGGTGTCCACGAGTCAATGCTGAAGCACATGGCGTTGTGTACGAAGTTGCGATGCAGCCGGATGCGATGCAGTGGTCGACCTTTTCTTGATCAGTACCGTCACCATCTCGCGCTTAGTCTGGATTAATCGCCTGCATCATTCAATATCATGGAGGACGCGGAATCTGATGAACAGACGTGGGTGTTCGTTCTGCCCAATCTAGAAGAAGCGCCCCCCGCGTACGATACCCTCGAAAACGCCAGGCCACACGCACGGGTGGTAGAGGGAAAGGATGCGTATCAATCGAAAGCGGCCGCAGCGACGCTTTCCATTCAGAAATTCCTGCCATACAAGAGAAGCGCAGGTGCGAGCTGGTTCGACTTTGGCCGCGCTCGTCGTGCACGGGAGTTGCAAGAGATCGTGCTCGAATGTCTTCGGGACATGCTCAACGATCCAGAGATGGACGGCTTCACAACTTCCATTCTCGATAAATGTTCTGTGGCGTGCCGTCATCAAGGACTTTCCCTGTCTTCCATCCTACAACAACCTTTGATCACCGACCATTCCGCGATATACTGGGCAGTAGTCATCCTCAAACGACCACAGTCTGCCGAAGCCGTCGCGGCTAGCAAAGAGCTTTTTGACGCGTTTTTGAAACTCGCCGACCCGCTCACCGAGCAGGCACGCTCGGAGATGCGCCTAGCATGCCTACATAGCGCCAATGATCTGCTTTTCCAGCAGCTGCGCCATATGCCGAGATTCGCACCTCTACCAGACACAGATAGATTATTGCTGGGGACATCCGTCACCTCGGATGAGATAACTATAGACAGCCTTGCATCCAGCCACGATGATTGCGGCTTTGTTGCGTCGTTTCGCATACCAATGTTTCAAAAGCGTATGCAAATCTGCAAGAACATCAACTTGGAGTTCATCGCCCGAGGTGCGTTCTCTTTCTGGTCATAGCAAGCATGTTGTATAAATCAAGTTTCCCAACTAGGGCGCATGTGGTCTGTACAGTTCGTTGTCGCTGATCCGTCGATCGCATTTACGGAAGACGTTGCGTTCCCCGGCACCTGGGTCGTAGCTATAACGCTGCTCAGCCGCAGTCCACCTACCTATGTCGATTCGCGACTTATCATCAGCAGGCGTATGGATATGCAGCAGTCCGTACTGCTCGGACACGCAGGAGCACGAATGAAGACTGCCATGACAGTGCGCTTGAAGACTTCCGGTAACTTGCAGCTGACATCTATCGATGATGAGTCCCGAGAGACGGCAGACTACATCGTCGCGCCCTTGAAGGAGATCTTGAAGCATAGGTGCGTGCGATCAGTCAATCTAACCATGATCAGACCGACGAGACATGTACTTCTTTGCAGTGATAACTCGTTTTTTGACTCCGAAGGGGCTCTTCGAGCTCGACTAGAGATGCGGCTCCGCCGCCCTACGAAGACTGGAGCCTATATGGACACGATTCGATCCCAGCTCAGCCGCTCTCGTAGTACTGGCGCGTGAATGTACAGTTACGAAGAAGCAAAGCGCAGTGTGTAGTATTTCTGGGACAACTGCGCTCATGTCCTCTGGGATTGTTGGATCTCCGCACACTCTAGATAGACTCAAGGCCGCTTTTTCAGCAGTAGCAATGTTTGTTAGGCTACTGGTGTCGCAGTTGGTCGCCATGAAACATGACTGCGATCTCAAGCCACGGAGATATATTATTCGATAGATCAAGAGGCTGCGCAGCACTTCATCAAATGTCATCTTCCCCCACCAAATCCGCACGATTTGTGCGGTGAGTACTGGCCTGTATGAGTAAATACAGCGAAAGACGAAGTCAATCAGGAAAGACGCCGCATCGCATTCGGCTGATAGCGCGTGAAGTCGAACACAGCCTTCACCTCAAAGAACCGATGGCTTCAATGCATTTACATCACGATGACAGGCGTGAGGACGGGCACGCATCGGCCGTTCTCTCCCTGCGCTTGCATATATCATCGTGTGGTCTGTTCCACATCGTGCGGCTAAGTAGCGTGTCTCCACTCATCCCACCGAGTCCTCGAAGAGCTCCGCACATCAGGCCGTCATGATCATCGACGTACTCCCCAGCAAGAAGGCTATCTCTCCTCGTGCAGAAGGTTGCGATGTCTCAAGCGTAGAGCCTGTAGACCTTCCTCCTGCGTACGATTCCTTGGACGTAACCTTTGATGCTGCGCATCTGTACGACGCCGCGGCTCATAGCAGTCCTTCGGGCAGCACTTCCTCGAGGGCGGGACTCCCACATTCCACACATACAATAGACATGTTGCTCGGCCACTCAGAATCTTTCGATGCATCGACGCCAGTGGAGCGCGACGTCGGTGATGAGCCAAGGTCATTGCTTCCTAGGGTAGAACCCATGGATACTCATTCCAACATTATAAAGACTGATTTCGGCCCTCAAAATGCCGAGCCTGTGATCCCGAGGTCCTGCAAATGCGCAGATCGTAATGGAAAACGCACTCCGAAGGAGGCTTCATTAATGCCCTCTCGGCCCACATGTACTATGGACCAGGCGAAGGCGCTTGTCTCAGGCTTTGTCCACGAACTCGTGAGACAGCCCGAGAGGTGGAATTCTGCGGATATCATTCTCAAAGGATGTTTCGAGGCGTGTCGTTCCTACAACCTATCCCTATCCTCCCTACTCCAGGAGCAGTCCGCGGAGGGCCACACACCGCTCTATTGGGCGGTGCTCCGAAGCGCACCTAGATCATCATCATCTGACCTCCTCAGCGCCCTGATGAACGCTGCGGCACCGCTCAGCAGTGCTACAATGTCGGAAATCCGCCTAGCTTGCTTGCTGAACAGCGATCAGGCCCTCTTCCAGCGCATTAGGCGGATGCCTGCGTTCTACCCCCTCTCGGGGCCAGAACGAATGCTCCTAGGAGCGGTACCTCCCTCAGATGAGATTGAGGTAGATGAGCTTCCCGGGGATGAGGGCAGATTCGCCGTCTACTTCCGTATCCCCATGTTCCAAAAGCGGCTCAAGGTACTGAAGCACGTTGACTTGCAGTTCATTGCCCGAGGTGAGCAGATCTGGACCATGTGGCGTTTTGTCAGATGTGTGACGGGACAAAATATTGACAGGCAGAATATGGTCCCTGAAATTCATGGTTGCAGGCACGGAAAACGCACGAGTGCGCCCCGCCGCGACAGCAGGAACATGGGTTATTACCTTATCGATGCTTGAGCACGGCAAGGCGACATGGATCGACTCTCGCCTCATTTTCGATGACTTGTATGAGCCTGTAGGGTCGCCTGCCTCGCGGCGGCCTCGTCCTCTGATGGGGAGAAGGATGGGGTCGCAGGGGAGTCAAACGAATTGGATACGCCTTAAGACAGGATCATCGTCACAGCTGATCCCGGACATGCAAAGTAGTTTCCTCGGCGTTTCCTTGATGGGATGCCCGTTATTGGACAGCATGCAATCACAGTGAGTTATATTTCTTGCCAATCCTGCCTCGCGGTTGCTCACCAAGCAATATGTGTAACTCAGTCGTAGTCCGTGTTACGACAACAACGGTTGTCTCCTGGCGAGACTGGAAGCTCGACTGAGCCGCCCAGAAGCCGACTGTGTGATTTGCTAGTGTGGTGAATGAGCAGCTCCCGCAACCGGACTGTAATGTCTGATTCACGGACCGCGTGCGCGACCACTTGGAACCTTCAGAAAGTCCCATTCTTATGGGTCGACCGATATCTTCGCTATTTTGCAATCATTTCTGATTCTCGTGCCATTGTAAATTTGTATTGGCGATCTTGTGTGGCACTCCATTGATCATTCCTCTGCTTATAGAAATAGGACGTACTATGCTAACCTTATCGGACATCCTTAACCACGTATTCAATGTTGCTTGTCGAATATTCATTGGTGGCGCGACGTTTACAGAACTTCCTAATTTATCGGGATCGACGATCACTAGGCCTGCGATATGGGTCCGCATATATCGGGGCGCATCACCGCTCATTGTAAGAAATTCATAACGAGGAAAGGATATGTCTTTTATGTAAGTTGCAAGGTATCGCTCCTGTCTGTACGTACAATTTGTCCCAACGAAAGACGCATGACGATCCTCAGTCTCTTGGCGCTAGTGAAACGTTCAGTGGCAGCTGTGGGCCTTTGCCTTCTTCGCCCTCCAGGGTGGGAATCATCACCAATGCATTTTCTCTTCGCAAGTGCTTCACCTCTTCCGTCAGTGAAAATTCGAAGTTGGAAATGAGGTGAACGAGGAACGATTGCAATTCATAAACACTAGAGGTATTTCGTGCTTTCAGCCTCAGCCTCAGCTTCGATAGTAAGCCTATAAGACGTACGCGAATCGCCAGCCTATGCACGCTCTGATGCCGCCAGAGAACGTCAGTCTATAATATGCCGCAGCACTCACTCAATCACGCTGCACAAGGGGAGGCGCAACGACGCACATGTTTGCGAACACGCCAACGGTGGGTCCTCGCTTGCCACTAAAGTCCAATAATCGCTCCGGATTGAAGGTGTGAGCATCTGCTCCCCAGACCTCCTTATCTCTGTTGATATATTTAATTAGCGAACACATGGACGAGGAGTGCACATGATGTCGACACACCGATTGTAAGCAGCAATGCTCAGCACAAGCCGAATGCCCTTAGGAATGGGAACTTCTCCAACCACTCTGCCAGAGAGCGTTCGGATAGGTTTCGAGAGCGGGAGAACGTCGTCTTTTGCCGCCATCCTAAAGTTGTGTGGAACGACCGGATCAAATCGTAGGATCTCTCTCACGACAGCCTGGAGATATGGCATGCTGTCCAAATCCGAAGGGGAGAACGTAGCATCCCCACGTTCGCGGATGGACCGCTCTGTCTCTCTGATTTCTGCGCGAAGGCGAGCCTGGTAATGCGGATGCTTGGCCAGTTCGTACAGACCAAAGCTGAGAGTGTTGGATGTAGTCTCTTGTCCAGCGAGAAGAATTGTTCTACGCCAGAACTCGTGAAGACAACTCGTTTTGCGGATGCCCCGTACGCACCTCATTTGTGATATCATCTCTTCATGAGTAAGCCTGGTTTTCTCGTTTTCGGAGGCATTCGCTTTCACTGCAAAAATACACAGTCGACGACCATCTGTAGCGACAGAATGAAGCAAGACGTACCTAGGATGCTCATGATATCACGATTGCCCTTGCCAAGCAACAGCGCATCCGACTTCATTTCCAGTAGCTGATGCGCTACGTTGTGTGCGGCCTGCTTGTTTTCGCGAGCCTTGTCGAGGCCCTTTCCGGGAAGGTGATCATATAATATCTCGCTTAATCGCATGGGGATAAAACGGGCCATACTTGTGCAGAAAACCTTCATCTTTGACGGGCGGCACAGGACGTCTGCACTGAATGCGTTGTGTCAATAAGTGACGCACTATAAGTTGGATCAAGAGCTTACATCAAATTTCGGAAACCGCGAGCCAATTCGCTCTCTGTATCATCCATACATCCCAGTTTGTAATCGAATGCGGCTGCGACGGTGTTCCTCAACAGAATGTTCAAGACTTTAAACGTAAAATCTTACCTTGTCCTATGGCATCCAGTGTCGCGGGTGCAATGTCCTTAATGATGTTAACGACAGCAGTGTGATCTGGGCAATCATCCAGAACGTCTTTCCACTTCAGCATCACCTAGCAAAGTAGATCGCGACCAATGAATAACTCTACAGCCACTCCACGGTGTGTTCACCCACTCGTTCCGCGTACTGTTGAAATACCGGGAGAAGAGCCTTTGACTCAGGCGATCCGAATGCAGGCAGCATCACCTTCCTCTGGCGCTTGTGAGTGTCTCCTACGACAAGGTCAGCTAATGATATGACGAGAATAAGTTCATAGCAACCATCTGCCCAGGTCAGTCCATGGTCACCTAGTAGTCGAGAAAGTGCACGACGTTCCGGTTGCTTGGGAAAGCTGTAGCCTGAAGTTTGGTAGATGTACTGTAGCGCTCTCGGATCCGAAATCCACAGCATATCTTCCTGATATCATATCGCCTGTATCAGAGCCATCCAAAGAGCACATCATACGATGCATACGCCGAACGGTGCCTTAATGCGAGCAATGCCTCCATATTGCTCCTGCCACCGGAAATCTGCCTCTCCAGCCTGATTTCGGTGTATATCGTCAAGATTGCCTTATGATCTCAAATCAGGCTGCGAATGAAGGCGGGACGATTCTAGATTCTAACGCACCCATCAGGAATGATTCCGGCTTCGGACCTGGCAGGTCCCCCACCGCCCTCCTTCTAAACGAGCGGACAATTGCGTAGGTGAGGCTCAGGAGAGTTGCCGCTAAGACGGAAAAGAGGAAGTCCATGGCTTGATACGACGCCTGAAGACGAGCCGCGGACCGCAATGCTAATGGAGCTGCCGCTTATAAAGTTCCCATGCTAGTGCGCTTCGTGCGGATCATCCCATGATAAGGTAAATAGTTTCATTGAGAAGTGGATAAGCGGGTGTCTGGATCACACTGTACAGATGGTATTGATGCCGTAACGGCCAGCTCTAAGTCTGCGGTCACCATGATCCTGCGTCAATTGGCCATAAACACACTCGGCATTGATTGCGCAGTGCTGTCGCGTGCGTTGCCGCCGGGCATAACCATTGATCGGCATGCGAAAAAAACGCTCCATTGAAAAGCAGGCTTAGGCACCAAAGGGCAAGATATAGAAGCCACTCACGGATAACTTGAGAAGATCGTAACGACTGAGATCAGGAGGTTGACTGAGTATGGGTAAAATACCCACTACTATGCCAATTTAGAATCCACCTAGTGTGTTGTTTTTGCATCCAGCTCACATGTCCAGCTGGTCGCAATATGAGCGGCATTCTCCTTATGGTATAACGGACATTGCTCCAGCTTCTGGCCGAGAAGGCGCTTAGTACACTGGAGAAAATATGCAGGTGAAGCTCACATTACCTGCGCCGTGCAAAGTGGACCACCGTCACGCTGCGATGTGTTCGTTGAATCATTTGCAGATAGTGTGAGCCCGAAGTCGTAATTCAGTCGCGCGAGGCAGAGTCCTGCGTAATAATTTTACACGGGAATGCGCGTGGAACGGAAGTCCGATAAGCGACCACGTTGGACATGACTCCCATGGGTAACCATTCACAGTAGCAGGCAACGTCATCGCAAAGACCCAGCCTAGCTGAAAGACCTGCAGGGGGTCACAATATACAAGTCCAGAATAACGCTACAAATAAATGATACTTTCCAGAGTATACCTAGAGTCCCATAGATAATGATACAATAACAGTCATGCATACCAACGATGGCGCAGGCGCAGGAAAGAGCAGACAGGAACAGCCCTCAAGCGCTGGCGAGCACCACAGGTGGGAAGCTATCAGGGCCTTTCCCCGCTTTCTTCTTTGGAGACGAGGACGTCGGAGTCTTGCTCTTCTTCTGTGCATCAGAGACGATCACAGGACTGGCGTCAATGAATCCTTGGAAGCCATCTCCTTCAGAAGGACCGGTAAAGATAGTCGTAGGGGCTGCAGGTGCCTTCCCTTTGGGCTTCTTCTTCGCCGCGGCAGCCGAAGGGGCGCCCTTCATAATTTGGCCCAGCGGTCCGATCTTCGTGTGAGAAGCACTAGGCGCATCATCAGGCAGGACCAAGGGCATCACTTCTCCTTCAGCACTTGGGGGTATCGATGGCGGTATAGCGGTCGGATGAATCACGCTATCGGGTGGGAGCAGGACGTCTGGCGGGTGCAAACCAGTCGCACGAGGCGCGGCAGAAGGAGGGGCGGACAGAGATGATAGGCGTTCTTGGTAGAATGGCCTGAGAAGACCGATCTGATGATCCACCATAGTAGAGTCCAGTGGCACGAAAGGCGGAGGCGGAGGGAACGTGGGAGGAGGCTCGGATGGCTTAGCGCTGAATCAGCAGTGTCAGCACATCAGAACGGGCATGTGATTGAACCGCACGTACGCCGAGGGTCCTTGAGCAAGGCCTTGCTTGCCTTTGCCCTTGAGCAACTTCTTCGGAATTGTGAGGCTCTGCAAGCCGAACTCGGCTGCGATGCCAAGTTCTCGAAGACCGAGGAAATCCTCTCCAAATGATTCGGCAAAATTGCCCCTGCGATGTTCAATCAGAACTGGCAAGCGAATGAAAGCGTGACAAAATGTACATGACAAATTGCCCTTCTTCTTCCTCGTCGTCGACGTTATGGAAGAGGACTTCATCATCCCACGCTTCCTCGCTGGTCTATTGGGCAATCGAAGGTCAGCTTCATCCAAATCCATAGCAACCATGAGAATCGCACGTACCGCTTCACGATAGGCGTTTGCGAGCTTCTTCTCAAGCTCAGCCAGCCTTCCGCCGTATCGAACGACATCATCTTTGATATAGCGTTCCAATTCGTATATACGCGTGGTCCCGCTCTCAAACAACGTGTGAAGAATGATTTCCTGTTGTTTCTTTTGAGGGGTCTGTGATTGCCACGAAGCATCGCACGCACCTCCGGTGTCATCTTCTGCGCGTATTTATCGCATAAAAATCGGATTGTCCGACCTACGTTGAGGAGGTACTCGGATGTTACACTAGCTAGCACGTCGAGAGCAACTTTCGATGTTCCTGCGATGACGGAATAAGTGATCAACGGTAGCATATTTGGATGACCAACCTTGGAAACCTGCGTGCTCCAGAACCTTGCTGTCCATCCAATGCAGGCAATCGTCAGCATTTTCTGCTCCGACCTCTATGCCTGTACCCGTAGGCCTCCAGGGCCGCTCATCAAGAACGTCTTCCACATCATCCGAAGGAAGTTCGGCTGGCATGGCAGGCGCTGCTCCATCCTCATTACTTTGGCTGAGAGCAGCGAACTTCGCGTGTGTAGTCCGCACCCTCCGCAGAGTGCGGATGTTGTTATTTATATGGTGTAATAGCGTGTTTTTTGTGCGTCCGGCCTTTCTCTTCTTACGCAGGGGAATCGACTGTCCTTCCCGTGGAGGATCGTCGATAGCGTTGGCATGAGTGGAGCTGATCGGCCTCTCCGAGGAGGGATAAGCCAGAACAGGTAGACCGTTACCTAGCAATTGTTCGGACTGAACTGCATCCCACCATAGTTCGACCAGGTGCCTTTCCGAAGGAGAATGCATCCGCATCCGTTTCCGAGGCCCGCTGTCGAGAGTGCCATTCCTGAAATTGCATGCGTCAACAACGCCACAGCGCTGCGACTGCTACATACATACAGCTTGCGTTTCATGCCAACATCGCCATCCAAAAAGATATCTTGCGTCCCTTCTTGGTCGTCGGCAGGGGCTACGATGTATTCGAGCAATTGTTCCTTCAAACTGTCTTGTTCGGCCTTTACTTCTTCCGCTGTTGCAGGAGCATTAAGGAGCTCGTCGAGCCGCCGATCCAGCTGCGCGAAGGTCACCATGTCACGAGGTGTGCGGACTATTGCAGGAGATTCAGGGAAAGACACGTCCCGATTGACTCTCTTCGCTCCTGGAGGTATAGGAACTGCCTTCCCTGGACTCGGTGACTTCATCACAGTGGGTGAGTGATATCGTCCGAAACCATTCATTGACATGCCATTCGTCTTCGGGCTAGGACCAGGAAGCGAGATATCCGCTGGTATGGCAGGATCGGCACGTTCCTTCCAGTCCGTGATGTTCTGCAGCAACTTCTCTGCCTTGGCTTTCAGCCGTGTGGCGCACATACGCAGGGGATGATTCTGGAGACAGGTATCAGGTGGCGACATCATGACAATCGGGCAGGCCACGCACCTCTGTCGCATTGTACATGAAGCAATTGGACCATATGAGATCGAGGTCGTCTTTAAACTCCTTCTTGGACTTGTACTGCTTCTGCTTGACTTTCCTGAGCATGGTTTGGAGATCCATCGGGTTCGCGATGACTGAATTGATCTCAACGAACGAAGTAGGGCAGGGCGAAATTGGGTACTTACCGTCATAGTAGTCCGGGACGTCAGTCTTGGACACTGGTTTCAGAAACGCCTCCGCGTCCCTGTTGTCCTAGATCACGTCAGTTGGTTCACACCTCGGACGCGCATGGGGAGGCCGCGCACCATGGTCACCATGCGGAGGTCATGTAGAAGACCTTCCAGGGAGTCGTAAAATGCATCTGAAAGCTTGGCAGCATCGTGCGATTGACGCTATAGCGACTTAACATCGACAAGCCACAGCATGGATGAAGCGTACTCACGCGGCTCTCCTTGACGGCGCTTAGCAGTAACTTGAGATCGGTATGAGATTGGACTGCTTTGACTTGACTTGAGGTTAGAGTCCTAAGGAGGTTCTGTACCGATGAGCAGGTCAGAGATAAAACCTGAGATGGATGGCAGGCACAAGCGGCCACACTCACGTTCATCCTCGCTCCATAGGATACGCGCGCAGGTGGCGGTAGCTAACAAGGGTCATTTCGGGCTCCGATTGGACTTGACGCACAATGCCGAATGGTGGCCTGCTCTCTGCCGTCGTTTCCACCGTCCCACACTCTTGCACGTTGCATGCAGGATTAATTGATGTTGACGACACTCTGAACACCTGCCCCAGGAGGAAATTCTGGTTCCTCAATTCAAGGGCTGGTCTCTCAGTGTCCATCCAACTTGCCGCCACAGTGATTATGTAACACGCGTCGCGGCGTGGCCAGTCAGCCAACAAACGCTGCCGCGCTCTCTCCGTACCTTCACCCACCGGCGCTGCGTGTCTCTGCTTTCACGACTCTCTCTGTCACATCGATGCTAGGTTTCGACTGATTTAGACCCATTCTTTGCTGTGTATCAACCCTCATTCATCCTATTCCCCCCAACAGCCGACAGAATCAACACGACACACGCGACCATCATGTCTGGTCTAATGAACTCGCCATTCGGGAAGCGGCTTCGTGCTTCACACCATGAAGCTGACGAAGAGGGCCATCGCAGGATTCGACCTCGCGTAAACCCGATATTTGGTCTCCCATCGGGATCCAGACCGTCCCTTGACTCGCGACCATCCACCAGTGAAGCCGCAGCGAGGCCACAGTCGCCTCGCGGACGAGACTATGGCGACCGTTTCGTTCCCTCAAGAGATGCAGGAGACATGCGGACCTCTTATCACTTAATGGACGGCGTAGCGCCGTCCACGCCATCTAAGAACAGAATCATACCTACGGAGTCCGACGCGCTCAAGGAACAGGCGAATGCTGTATTCACATCCGTCCTACACTCAGAGGTCACTCCTCCTTCTTCAGGGAGATCTTCCTCGCCTAGCCGGTCGTCAATAAGTACTCCAATACCATCCACACCGACTCGAAAGCGGCTGTTCAGCTACAACTCACCGTCACGATCTGGTCCCGCCACTCCGACGCGTCGTCTGGATGCGCCCACAGACGAGGCATACTCCATAAGCCCCGTGCGCGCGCAGAGCCGTCAATTGCTCGAAAGTCCTCGTCGGCAGCTTCGCAGCGTCTGCAAGACGCCGTATCGGGTGCTCGACGCGCCAGAACTTGCAGACGATTTCTATCTCAATCTCGTGGACTGGTCGAGTACAAACGTCTTGGGGGTGGGTTTGGGGTCGTGTGTGTATCTGTGGACAGCGCATACAGCCCAAGTGGCGAAACTATGTGACTTGTCAGACTCGAGCGATACAATCAGTTCAGTATCGTGGGTTCAAAAGGTGTGTATCATCGATCCCTGATTATGCTTGATAACTTTGTGGGGCGCAAGCGTACAAGTCGATGTTATCTCTTGCTTCACCATTTGCAAGCTTGAGGCTGTCAGATCTTGACTGCAGGCTCTCGCGTGCTCGCGTAGCGTGGCAGGCACGCCCGTTTCGTGGGTTCATGGGCAATAATATCGTACCAGCAAACGCATTTCGTTTTGCTTTGTAATGTCTGTTGCTGTCCGATAATCTGACCGTTCCACTCAGGGTACTACACTTGCTGTCGGCACGCTAGCTGGCCGCTTAAGAATATACGACGCAAATACCCTTCAACTTCAGCGCACATATCAACAAGCGCATACCCAGCGAATAGGCGCGCTGTCATGGAACGCGCATGTCCTTACCTCCGGCTCGCGAGATCGGATGATCCATCACCGCGATATCCGTGATTCGATAAGCAAACCATTCAAACGATGCCAGGGCCACAGGCAGGAGGTTTGTGGCTTGCGGTGGAGCGGAGACGGCGGGCCACAACCTTCGTTGCTAGCAAGCGGAGGGAATGACAATAAGGTCTGTATTTGGGACCTCAGGGGATCCAAACGAGCTCGGCCGGGTGCCTCGGGAAGGACCGGTAGTACCAGCGGAAGTGCAAGCAGCACAGGAGAAGACGCGGGTGAGATTCCGTTGTATAAGTTTCACGAGCATACTGCAGCTGTAAAGGCGCTTGCCTGGGACCCGCATATAACGGGCGTGCTAGCGACCGGAGGAGGGACTGCAGACAAGCACATTCGGTTTTGGAACGTGGCCAATGGGGCGATGTTGAATCAATTGGATACCGGAAGCCAGGTGAGCCCGATGCGCTCAGTTGTAGTCAATTACTGGACATCCATTGATATGATGCTCATTTCAGGTTTGCAACCTCACTTGGTCTCTCACATCGCACGAATTGGTGTCCACACACGGGTTCTCGTCGACGACCGCGCAGAACCAGATCTGCATCTGGAAATATCCGTCGCTGGATATGGTTGCCTCGCTTACGGGCCACACGCACCGAGTGCTGTACCTTGCCATGAGCTCGGATGGAGAGACGATCGTGACCGGTGCAGGGGATGAGACTCTGAGGTTTTGGAACGCATTTCCCAAGAGGGACAATCATGAAGCGCGAAGAGAGAGCCGGCTCGATTACGGGCGGCTCATTCGATGATCGAACGGATTCTCTATCTTTATTCGTTGCATATCTCAAGCCTTCCAACGCTGCTTCATCATCACGTCTCCTCTCACTCGCGGCATCGATCACCACGGACTTGTTAAGGTACATCCTCAATAGTCCTGCGTACATCCGGCATGGTACGAGCGTCCGTACAGGTTTCATATCTTTCGCTGCATCTACTTATCGCAGGGTCATTCTGTGCATTGTCCCCAGCCGCATAGGCTCAACCCCACTTTCTCTACTCCCATGCCATGAAGTTACCATCCCTAGAATCCATGATGCTTACTGTGGTGCTGTTCGTCGTGTACCCGGATTGTCCATCATCTACGCCATGTTATCTTTCCATGTTCGCTATATGCTTACTATTGATATGTGTTGAGTTTTCCTGTTAGATTTCTTGTAAGGTTTATGGTCATCGCCGCATGCTTTCCCGTATAGCCTTTGTCATGTATGTACCATCGCCAATGCTTTCATTACATCTTCCACCGCGATGGAACGCGGAAAATTGTTGGAAGTATGTGACTGTTCTTGAAGGCCTGCCAAATGCGGACGTAAGTTTGATGAACCGGAAAGTGGCTTTGTACATTGGCCCGTGAGTTGATTTCTCTTGTTCGCCAGTCATCGCCGTGGATATCAGGCTAGCTATCGTTCACTCCATCGATAGCAACTTCTGCGCACGATGAGTTCGGCCCGGATGTTTCGCGAAATTTACATGAACATTCCTAATATGCGAGGACCAAAGGAGGAGAGCTTCGAGGTACGCGTGGCTACTCCGTAGTCTGCTTCACACCTCATTTGAGGCATTTTTCATGCTGTGCAATGTGCATAGGAACGCCGCGTAGCAGACTACATCAAAGCTTATACGACGACAGGCAAGCCTCCAGCACCATGTCCGACCGTTCCAACCGATCCTGCGCGCCGCGCAACCATGGGGCTTCCGCCGCTCTTTGAACCGTATTCAGAGGTCGTGTCGTCGAGCGATTCTGGTATGACGTCCGGAAGTGCTGCGACGTCTGCAAACGTTTCAATATCTGCTCTGCCGAGCAGCAGCGGGATCCCGGACGTACAAGTTTGGCATCCTGTCAGGATATCCGGGGATGCATTGGGAGGCGTTTTCCAGAGCATTGCAGCCCAGCCTGAGTTCAGTTCCTTCTCGTTTGAGGTGCGTCCCACCATGATTCTAGAGGCTATGGCTTCCCAAACACCTGATCGCCTCCCCCCACCCATCGTTGACCAATAAAACTGATCTATGCATTCGTGTACCAATTGGATGTGCAGGAATTGCGGCTGAAAGCGTACCGGAAGGGTTTGAAGTTCGCGAACGTTTCTCAACCATCTGGTATGCAGTGGTTACAGATGCATGCAGCGTGTATTGACGGTGTCGCTTCATAGCTGTGGCCCCTTCAACGTCGAATGCGCCACAACGCCTCACGAATGGCGCAGACGCGGAGAAACTGCAAAACATATCTTGCAATCCAAGGTTTGATAAGCACAGTGCTGAGGTAGTGCATGTTGTGCCTCCCACAACGGTAACACAGCTGACATTCCAACAGGAATTGCGGTTAGCATTTCTCCGTTCTGGTCGTGAATTGACATCACATGAGATCATCCAGCAGAGCCGTACACTCGGCCTCTCATGAAGCATGCTGGTGAGAAATTGAGATATCACGCGTGGTATATCTTGCATTTGTATCATATTAACGATCACTGTACAAATTATACCGAGGAACAACACAACTGTTACACAAGTCGCTATATTCGCAATAATCATACAATGCCATATCTTCCGTGCACTTCAGGCGCTTGCAACCAGTGTCCGTTCACCGTCTCACATTCGACAGCCAGGACGAAAGGCGCGCAATATGCTCCACTCGCGCTTCCTCATCACCCGAGACTTCTCCCTTCCAGATGCTAAGGAAGTCCTGCTCATCGTCGATGAATCGCAAGGACGTCTCCACACTCTTGCCCGACGCGAAGGAGAGGTAGCAGCCCACTACCGCCATGGCGTCTGTCGGCCTGTGCGCAGGAGTAGAAATGAGGACACGGGGGCCGGATGGTGCTGCATAAAGTTCGCCAGGGGCGTCGACTGCATTGCGCCAGGGGAGTGTCTGTGCAAGCATGTCGCGGGCCGTGCGGAGCTGCGCGTCGCTCAGAGCGAGTCCCGCTCGCTCTGAACTCTGGGAAGAGGGGCGTGACAATTCGGGCAACGTCAGGCGGAGACGATGAACACGGTCTTCATGCATCTGCTTGATAACTCCGCCATCACAGCCGGGAAGTGCATAGCATATGTCGATGATGTGGGTGTATCCTTCCTTGCGCATATGCTCATCATCCTCGGCCTCATCCGATAGCTTGAACGCTAGGAAGAGGCCTGGAATGACCTCCTGTAGATGCCTCTGCTCGGTTCTGGCTGGAATGTCGTACGCGCCTGCGGGCAAGGGAAGGTCCACAGGCTCAGCCTCGACGACAGGGCTGTCATCGTCCTTCAGCACGACGTGCTTGGCTTTCACCCTGCGCCTGCGTGGAACATTGTTACGATGAGGCTGGATGTGGCCCTTAGGTGACCAGGGCGAACAGCGCGGCTGGCGCGAGAAGTTGGTCTGGATCTTCAGACTCTGCGTGAAGCCGCAGCGCTCCCGCAATGGAAGGCGATGCGAGGGCAACGGAGGGGGGAACTGCACTAGTGGGCCCGAAGGGTAGAACGATATGGACGGCGAGAGCAGTGGCACCGGAGTCGAGACTGAATGTGACAACTCTGCAGTGGACATCTCGGCAAAAGTTAATGAACAGTGCGATCGACTGGAGAATGACTAGAGAGGATGCGAGTGAGTACGAGATCTTAACAGTTGTGGTGGAATGATACGGACGATTTTCTTCCAGATAGCAATATATGCAGTGCAGAGCGCTGTATACGTTTGTGTGTAACGCACGAGGATGATGCACGAGGATGAGCTGTGGTCGGTGCGCGTTACGGAACTAGGGTTCGCCCGTGATGTTGGATGGAGCTTACCCCCCCGCAGTTCTTATACATCGTCTAACCCTCCAAGGCATCGGACACTCATGCATCTCCATGTCCGGGCGTCTTGTCCGAAACTCCATTTTCCGAGGGCAAAGGGTGTGAATACACGGCTATGGACGGTGGTTGCTTCCGTGGGGGCTGCTTGATCCCATTGGTCAGGCCCATTTGTGCGTTTTCTGTACCTGGAAACCTGACTGAAGGTCCGATGTAGCCTTGTAGGTTGAAGCACTCGTGCAACTCGTTCGAGCGTTGGACTTTGACTGTGGCTACAATTCAAGTATTGACCGGAAGTTTGGACTAAAAGCATGTTGTTTACCGCCGTCAAAATGTACTATCTGTGCCTGCCGTCGAGATTCCAATATCAATGTCCGAGGTCATTATCCGACTTCCGCCACGGTTACTTAGGCACGCCGATGCAAGACGGCGTCGAGTGTGATCTGTGACGTTCTGCAGCCAATCCTGCGCCGCGGTGGGGCTGACCGCCGACGTGTGACACAGGCCGCAAAATGGCGGCAGCGCCCAAATCGGCGCCGTAGATGCCGGAAATTTAGGTCTGATGCCCTAGGTACATGTGTGATTCGTGACTTAGATATCAAAATTGTCAGTGATGTATATATAAATTCGCTCCACAATGACGGGCATGTGGTGTAGTTGGTTATCACGCTCGCTTAGCACCTGTGTTTGCGAGAGGGGTCCGGTTCGATCCCGGACATGTCCATGTTTTTGCCTGATTCTCAAGCGTAGCGTGACATTTCATTGTTGTGCATCGTCGATGTCTAATCAAGCTACTGCATGCCGAAGAGGAATCGTTCTAGCCTGAGTTGGTCGTAGCGCTGAGCCGCAAATACTTCAGGGTCGATGGATGTCTATGAACTTCGTTGGTGTCAAATAATTTCCTTCTTTGATCGCATTCTGTCTTTGATTCACCCAAAAGCTGCGCCAGCGTGCTGAATGAAATGGCCTCATTGAAAGGCAAGCTTGATGCGGACCATGGAAGTCGAGTATGTGAATATCCTTCACTGCACAGTGCACCCATTGGTCAGCTTACTACTGCTCAATGAGACGTCCTCTCCAAACATGCTCCCATCACCGATAGCATGCTGCCGCAGAGCTTTGGGAAATGCATTCATCTCATCCTGCGACGGATTCTTGGGAACGCGCCAGACTCCTGCTTACTATGTCTGCCGTCAGTACAACGTGGAGTGAGGTCTCAGTGTAGCACGTCGTCGGAACTATGGACAACGGTCTACCTCGTGCTATCTATCATCGGGAAGACTTCCGTCGCTCGAGCACGTAGTCTTTGATTTTCAAATGCTCGCAACTCGCCCTTAATTACTACAAACAGAGGGAGAGGATCACCTTAATCGAGACAGCAGGTATGGAGGCTGTGCAAGGCTTACACACGGAGCGACTGCACTTTCACTCTTTTGACTGGCCAATGATGAACCGGAATACATTATCAAGCTATGCTGTTGGAGATAGGTTTCCTCGATTGCTTGGAGTTGCAAGGCTTAGAATTAGCAACCGACTGGATTATCGATTCGGAAGCGAAAATGGCGATGGTGAAGAATGGCAGCTCCCGAGGTTGGTTTCAGTTGGGGTAGGATATGGCGGATTTTGGTTGCAGGCCTTGCGTTTGGTCGAAAGCATTGGCGGCGCCAGCGACGATCACCCACCGCCTCTGAGCTGACGAGGCCACTTTCAGTTGAATAAATCACAATTCGCCAAGCTGGACAACTACTGGAAGAGGTTGATCATGAACAGTTCACCGCTGATGCATGCGACTTTGAATGGATGGTTGCCGGGCGTTACTATAACTGCACTAATATATTCCCATAGAATTTCAATGGCTGCCCACGAATGTTGCGTGATGCCTGCTAATAGGACCGATCGATTTCCCAATTCGTACTGCAGCGGGGGCCACACCAGTTCTACATGTTTGCCGAGATCTGAGATCCAGCTGCTGAGGAACGCATACCTTTGGACATCCGGCTGGTTGAATGGTGCGCAGAACTGCTGATCGTTCGTATTCGTGAGGAGTTGAAGTCTGTACGAGTTTGCACAATACGCAGTTGAGTGACGCGCGAGAAGTCGCGTACAAATGCGCTGAGAGTTACGAGTCCTGCAGGAGAACCATATAGCATCGGCTTCGTGGTTGTGGTGCTTGCACAATAGGTAATGGGTATGATAATTCTTCGAACAACGGGGAGCCTGGAATGTGTACGTACAAGTGCCAAAATCATGCCTCGTCCATCTCCGAATCCTCCTGCACAGCTTCTTCGTCCCCGCCATGCACTTCTTCCTCAACAGTGGAATCGCTCTCACTAGACTTATCATCACCAAAGAAGGCATCTTCCACCACGCTCTTGGAACCAATAGCAGCCAACGCCTCTTCCTTCGCAGGCTTCTGGTTTGAATTGACCGGAAGCATGGGATGATCGGCGTGCTCGATTGGTTGGCGGCTTTTTCCAGCTTCGCGACCTTTCAGCTCCAGCTCAGGCTCGGCAGTCATCTCGCCGGCGGCCATTTGTTCCCGCACCCATGCGCGCACTTGCTCTCGTTGCACATTAGTGTCATTTTCGGGTTTTGCCGAAGTATCTCCTGGCGAAGACAGATGGGAATACAGGTGCGGATATGGATCGGGGTGAGCGTGCGGCCGTGCTCGCAGTTCGGGCGGGAAAAGAGAGATGTACTTTTTCAGCTTGGGATAGTGCTGGTGAAACCAGATCAGCACATCTGCCACAGCCACCAAGAGGCAGACATGAGGACAGACGGACGATTATGTAGTTCAGATCGACTCTGAGCTCTTCAAGCCTTTTCTCTAGCTGTTTCTGCTCCTTTTTGGTTGACTTCGCTCCATCTCCTTCCTCGTCTTCATGAAGCTGACGCTTAACTTGCTGTATTCTTCGTATTAATTTTTGGCGCTCTACAACAATTGGCAATGTCCCAACGTGAATAGGGCCGCGGACCACTAACGTAGAAACGAGATCCTCACCGAAGAACTTCACTGCATGATACCTGGAGGCCATTACACGCTCTTTGCGTGCGCACTCTGCCTCCACTAGATCCGCCTCGAGGGACTTCAGTTTCCTCTCAGCCTTGGCACGAACATCTGCCGCTATATGATCCTGCAGCAAGTATCCGGAATGTCAGGGTTCGCGAGCCGTGCGAAGTAGGACAGTGTTGCCCACCTTCGCTAGCAACCTTCGTGTTTGCCTCAAGGCAGCTTTAATTTTTTGAACACCAGGGAGTGCGAGCGGGGAAGACGGTTCTATATTGTGCTTCCGGCGATGATGGACCCGTTTTGACTTGTGCCCTGAGGGTTGACTGGATTCTGTCACAGAAGCAGACGAACATGCGGCAGAGGACTGTCCGCGCCGCATAGCTGCCATCATTGAGTTGTGGACAGTTTTTGCAGGCAGTAATCAAAGATCTCGTCTGCAAGAAGAACCTCAGCCCGAGCTGCCGTCGGTAGTTTGAATCAAGTCGGGAGTACTATGAGCGCTTTATTTGCACACGTAGGATCTAATCTAATCTTTGATCTCCATTGGCACATGGTTATCTAATAAGATGTCGTTTGCATACGTGTTCGGATGCCATTTTGAATTCAACATACTCATCCCAGACACGCCCTCCACGACTCTCTAACACTTCTCCATGACGGCAATAGGGCGATCGAGGGCCAAAAAGACCGCATACATTGCTCTTGGTCTGATTGCACTGGCTGCTGTGTCGTGCGCTACATCACCTCAGGTACGGCTTACTCTCTGGCTGCCAGGTTTCAACACCTCACCGTCATCTACCAGGACCATGCAGTTGCGGAACATAGACAACAGTACGAAGTCGTAGACCAAACATCGGAAGGTATGCTGAGCAACAGAGCCATCATGAACACCACCTTGATTCTCATACCACAGCCTCTAGGGCGTACAAACAGGCACTCTCGACACTAGCCACCCTTACAGCGCTTCCGCCGTCGCAATCGGAAGAGCCATCGCCATGGCATACAGCAAATGGCAACAGCTTCCAGCTCTCGTCCTTCGTACCGAGTATGCAAGGTCATGGCCCAATCGCAAGTGCGATGCGGATAGCCGTCAAGCTTCTCCATCATTCCTGGCTGCCTTCCTCTCTTACCGGGTTTGTCAAGGACGAACTGACAGGTGGCCGTAGAAAGGATGACGAGCTGCACGGCAAGGCAGTCAAGGTTATCGACTTGCTGCAACATGCGGCCGAGCTCGGCAACATGGATGCACTGTACACACTGGGAGAGGTGTCTTTAGTGAGTGCATTTACTTTAGATCCGTCCAGCCATTGACGTTCCACCAGTTCCCGCCGAACAGCTACTTCCCTTCGGATCCGGAGACGGCCTTCAGCGCGTTTGCTACACATGCCTCGCGCACCGGTAACGCGTCCTCGCAAGCGGTGCTTGGCTTCTTCCAATCGACAGGTTATCATGAGGTGGTTTCCGTAGATCAGGCGAAGGCACAGCTGTACTTGACATTTGCTGCCCACGGTGGCCACAAAGGCGCGCAAATGGCGCTGGGGTACAGGTACTGGTCAGGGATAGGTGTTGCAGAGGGATGTATGGATGCTTTGGACTGGTACGAAGAGGCCGCTGAGCAGGGTGCGTGCTTATCCTCTCGTTGAGCTCATGGCTGACACTCTGTAGCGATGGCGAAGTTCATGTCAGGGCCTCCAGGAGGAAGAACGCTGCCACTAGCCGCTCCGCGGCTGTCTGATCTTGTCGGTGGCATATACGGACCCGGCGCAAGCGTGGCCTCGACAGGCCTCAATGCAGCCCGTCCTGTGATCAAGACGGCGAATGCGCGAGCAGCAGGAGAGACGTGGGAGGACCTGCTGGAATACTATCTGGTGTGTTTGCCGCAGATATTGGCACGTCCAACGTGCTCATGCACCTATCCAGTTCAATGCCGACCGCGGAGAGGTTGACTTTGCATACAGGCTGGGCAAAATCTCTTATCAGGGCAGTATCTACACCCTGCCTGGCGGCATCGCGTCCGGAGGCGATGGCGCAAGCATTGTTCCGAGGGATTTTGCTCGTGCGCGGTACTACTTCCTGCGCATTGCCCGTGCGGTGTGGCCGCGCGATCCCTCCAGCCCAGGCCAACCGCAGCCTCCCACAAAGGAAGAACATTCTACGCAGGCTGGATACGCCGCGCTCGCTGCGGGGTATTTGGGGCGCATGTATCTCCGTGGCGAGGGTGTTAAGCAGGATTTCGCTATGGCGAAGATGTGGTTTGATCGCGGCGCAGAGTTCGGAGAAAAGGAGAGTCATAATGGCCTGGGCATCATCTGGAGAGATGGACTGGTTGACGGACGGAAGGACTTGAAGAAGGCCATTACGCATTTCGGTGCTGCTGCCAGCCAGGAATTGGCAGAGGCTCAGGTGAACCTGGGGAAGATTCATTATGGTATGCGGATGACCTTCCTCTTGCGCACGAGATGATACTTATATGGTTGGCAGAGCGTGGCGATTTGAAGCTTGCCGCAACGTATTTCGAGACGGCTGTGAGACAGGGCTCACCATTTGAAGCATATTATTACTTGGCAGACATCCAAAGCAGGCAGGCGAGGAGCTCGATAACTCCTCCGAATATTGCTGGCAGCTCATGTGCGATCGCCGTGTCTTTCTACAAGCTGGTTGCGGAGCGTGGCGTCTGGGACGAAGACCTTATGAGGGACGCAGAGGTTGCCTGGAACACGGGTACGGAGAGAGGTAGTGAGATGGCAATGCTCCGCTGGTGGATTGCTGCTGAACGAGGAGTCGAAGTGGCGCAAAACAATCTTGCATTCGTGCTTGATCAAGGTAGGCATCTCTCCTTGTCATGATCAGCGTCGTCTCTTACAGCACGCGACAGACAAGAGCATACTGCGCTTTACCCGATTTGCTCCCCATTCACCATCCAACGACACTGCCCGGCTAGCATTGACCCAGTGGATACGTTCTGCCGCTCAGAGAAATGTTGACGCATTGGTCAAAGTGGGAGACTACTACTACCATGGTCTGGGCGTCCTTGACGAGCCAGAGGAAGCACGGTGGGAGAAGGCGGCAGGCTATTATCAATCTGCGGCGGATACTCAGATGAGCGCTCTGGCGATGTGGAACCTGGGGTGGATGTATGAGAATGGTGTCGGAGTCCCTCAGGCGCGTCCACGTCCCATGAGCTAGTTATGGTGACCTGCTGACTGCCTGATGGTTCAACAGGACTTCCATCTCGCAAAGCGGCATTATGATCTCGCTTACGAGACAAACAGCGAGTCGTACTTGCCCGTGCTGATGTCTCTCGTGAAGCTGCATTTGCGCAGCATCTGGCACACGCTGATGGGCGGCACGGGTGGCCTAAGCATCTGGGGAGACGACGATGCTGATACTAGTTGAGTCTCTGGTAGTCTTTCTGTGCGCCAGTGATTGACTCGGATCTGCAGTCCCGACACGACAGTCTTCTGCCGACAGGCAAGAAATTGAAGACGGTCGCTCGGAAAAGGTGGATAACGTAGAAAACCGCGAAGAATTAGATGAGTATGACGACGGCCCGTGGTACCTGGGTAAGGCCAGAGACGAGTTCAATCGGCGTCGAAGAGGCCAGGACTTATCTCAATTGAGCCGCGACGAAGACGATCCCGTCCAGGTTAGCACAACAAACGGATTGCTCTACGTGCTTCGTACTGATGCGTTGCGGCCAGTGGGCCCGCCAGCGGAGACAGGCCGAGAACGACCGCGACGGGGACTTCGGTCCTGAAGATTACTTCGATGCCGCCACGCGTGGACAAAATCGCGGCGATGAGGACGTGGATGAATTCCTCGAAACCATGCTGCTCGTTGTCATTTGTCTCGTTGTGTCTATCCTGCTCTACCTACGTTCTCGATGGGTGGAGCGCTTGCGCAGAGAGGAGCAGGAACGGCTGCAGCGACAGGCAGCAGGTCCGAGAGCGCCTGGTCCGAACGCCGATCCGGTCCCACCAGGTGATGAGCGGCCTCAAATGGAGGACTGGGAGTTGGCGTTGTTGCGATGAAGTTTCCACACGTCGTTTTGTTCATTTGTTTCGTAGCTACCTGGGGTTTGTTTGTACTATATATCCACAAATACCCGCCCGAGTGGGCCTCAGCACAGTGTTCGACAACCTGGACCTCCAGTTCGGGTGAGAGAAGTCTCGAGAAGCGTACACGTTTACAAGTCGCCATGGGAATGCTACGTTCCTCATCATGATGCAGGCCTCGATCACCTTGTCTCCCCTAGGCAGATAACAAAATACCTCCTTCTCTGAGGGACGGAGGTCAGGAGGTTATATAAAGTATCGATCACCGTCGCTGCCTCTTGAGCTTGAACTTACTTCAAGCGCAATCCGAGTCACTCCCGAGCAAGATTATTAGCGCCCATACGGTCCTTTTAATCGCTCACTCTCGCTGGACATCCAGCGATACACTGCGCCCACAGTATGGATGAGCAGGACATCGTTTTCCTGAGCATCGTCCTCTTCTTTTTCTGCCTCATCTGGGTCCGCCTTCTCTACCTCATACCCATTGTCGTTGTCGCTGTCGTTCTATTCTGGGGAATACGTGCATACAATCAACGCGTCAAGACACACCACCATACCCGCTATTGATACGGGAAAGCATGCTGAGTGCGCTCGAATTTCAACGTCCATGTCGTGGCGACTTTCCAGGCAAGCGTTCGTTGAGAATCGTACCGTTGCTGTTCGTCTGACAGCGCTTCGTACAACTCATCTATCGCAGGTGCAGAATGCATTGACTACTCCTGCAATGGCTCCCATTCTGGTGAGAGGATGAACAGTGCCAACCATGTGTTCGGCTATTTTGTTCCCTACGAAGCAAATTGCGTCCGTGCAATCACTCTGATTACGAAGGGAGGTCAGACTAGATGAGAGGATGGAGATCGGGCATATCAATAGAACTAATTATGATACCATCAAGGATGAGCTAGAGAAGGAAACGTGGTTCGTCCATTCCATCGTCGGGTATGTGCCATCTTTAGTAACGGCCTATCAGGGATGCACAGAATATGCTCTTCAGAGTTGACTCGGATGGATCTCTGGGGCCGTTATTTAGATCCGATAGAATCTTCATGAGAGCCGCAGCGTTCTCAAAGAACATGTGTTAGCCTTAGGTCTTTCATCTGACGCAGCACGGTATGTGGTATGCGGAAAATACGAATTGGATCGTTCATGGCTGCTCTCCATTGGTAGCCGTGGTGAGGTATCCTGGTCATCCGAATGATTATGTCTGCTGACTGACCCGGTAATGTCGACCGCGAGGTCAATGCGCGTAAGTTCCTCCACTACCCTCGGAGTTGCAACATGCTCCGCGGTGCCGAACCCACCTAAACGCTTGGACGAACTTTTTGACTATTTAGTGGATCGACCCGGGGTAATGCGCGTGCGTGGATGAACCCAGATTTAATGTGGACGTGACTTTTTTTTGGTTCCGTTCGATCGTATTTCTTCATAACATCTAAATAGTAGTACGATATACGCGCGTAGTTCAGGTATGATATCGTGATTGCTTTCGAACACGCTCGTATATCGCGTTTCGCACGGCGCCTGTCCGTGCTAATGAGACCGATTAAAGCTATAATTGTTGCACAGTACTTCCTGCACATGGCTCGTGGCTACTGCCACGCCCGTAGGCGAAGACGCGTTCGTTGATGTATATACGTGTTGATCACGTGCGCACTTGCTCCTCGCCAGCCAATAGGAAAAGCTCAGCCACTTTCGCGCCTTTTCGCGCCTCAGCCAAGACCCGTGCCATTCCAAATCGCGTTCGTCGTTCAGATTCCTACTCACTGCCACTATTCGCGCCTATCGTTTCCTCGAATTTTTCCCATTTCGGAACAGCTGCTGCAGTTTGCCGCAATGAAGTCACAGATTCAGGCGTTGGAGCCCAAAATCCGCGAAATTCTGACTGCGCCCGGGATCGACCTGGGTACCATCAGCGCAAAACGCGTCCGGAAGCAACTTCTGGAACAAGATTCCTCGCTCACGCAGGAGTTTATCAAAGAGAACAAGGACGAGATTGACCTGTTGATTGCGGGCGTGTACGAGGAGGTGAATGCGGAGGTAAATGGCAACGAGGAGGAGGAGGAGGGTGCGTCATCTCCTAAGGGAAAGAGGAAGAGACGAGCTGAAAAGGAGGAGGAATCTGTGGATGAGAACGAGGAGGAAGGCGAGGAGGAGGTGTCCGCCGCTTCTCCGAAAGCGAAGAAGTCGAAGAAGTCCGGGAGGATGACGGATGAGCAGCTCGCGCGCCAGCTCTCAGACGAGATCAACGGCCGCTCTCGCAGCTCGCGCGCTTCGTCGACCAGAGGGACTAGGGGCAGGGGCGGTGCGAAAAGGGGCGGAAAGAGGGGCGCGAAGAGCGCTGCCACCGTTGACTCAGAGGCTGAGGGTAGCGAGGGAGATGGTGAACCGAAGAAGAAGAAACGGGGCGGTGGATTCCAGAAAGAATACATGTTGAGGTCAGTTTCCATTCCTGTCGTGATTACGGAGCCTTGCTCATGTTTCCACTTCGCCATCTGCAGCGAGCCCCTGAAGGCGGTGTTGGACGTGGAGAAAATGTCACGCCCCCAAGTCGTCAAGCAGCTGTGGGTGTACATCAAGGAGCATGATCTGCAAAACCCAGCATACAAGAAGGAGATTATATGCGATGATAAACTCAAGGCAATCTTCAACGTTGATAAAATTGATATGTTCAAGATGAACAAGGTTCTGGGACAGTAAGTCTTTTAGAACTGGTTTGTCTCCTACTCGCTGACATTCGTGGGCCTGCAGACATCTCCACGAGCCATAACCGCTATATGCGTGATTCCTACACAGCTGGTATAACTGCCATTCAGTCTACTTTCGTCGTGGTTCCTTTAGCGCGCATCCCTCTGGCATCACATTTCTCCATTCATTCAAGCCTTGCACTGTTCCATACTTACAAATAGCTTTTCATATGCATCTCGTGCCCATTTGGAGGCGGCCCTGCCTGACGAAAGTATCAGTACACCGTCGTTACTTGTTCCTATACATAATGTTGATAACCCAGATCATAACCCGCTCAGGTGACCTATAATATAATAGGCGTTGAGCCCTTCACATGTCACACCTTTTAGCAGTTACAGCTGTGGCAAGCAATACACTCACTTTCATGGCCATGTCTTACTGCTCTAAAGACAGCTCTCTGAGGATTTCTTGGTTGTCCACGTTTCCAGCGATCATGTGTCTTGCAAGCTGGCCTTCTCTGCCTGTGAGCAATCCCTGCTGCAAATGGGCGCGGAAATGATTATCAAATCCTGATCGTGTGATGCTCCGCAGCATGGGATTGCTGGAGGCGGCTCACCTGAAGAGACAGCCACGCTACGAGCCGACAGGCATGCCTATGTATAAGCGGCGAATCCGCTGTTGTAAGTGACTGTGGTACCGCGCTTGACGAGGGATATGCGGTGATATATCGGCGCGCAAACGAGAGGAGTTGATTTCTAGTGTCACGATCTGAAGTTCCGTTCCGGCGTGGGACGGACGTGCTTGCGCGCAGGTAGAGCCACAGCGTCTCGTGGTCGGGGAATGATTCGACGAGCGACGCTGCGTGGTCTAGCATCGGCGGAGCATCGAGTACGCTCGACGGGAGTGCGCGCGAGGAACCTGGATGGGTAGCTCCCAGAAAGAATGTTTCGACAGCACACAGGTACTGCACGGCCGTGTAGTCCGAAACGTGAAGTTCGACCCACCGGCGCATGGAAGTGAACTCGCCCACCAGAAGCGAGTGATACACCGCAGCAAAGGGAGAAGAGGAGCGCGCGAGAATGGTGAGAGATTCCAGGCAAATGTAGCGGTGGATCCAGGCGTAATAATTCCTGTGATAAGTTTCGCATGCCTTCGCAGTGACAGCAAACTCCTCTTGAAAGGCTTCTGGCGTCATGTCGACATTGATGAGCGAGTCTGCGCCATGCTCGGCTGAGGCCTCCGTGCTAGTGGTGAATGGCGCAAAAACATGTCGGAGTAACCACCTCCGGTGATGCCACAGGATCGACTGCTTCGAACAATCACGCACAGTCAGCAGCGCGGTAGTTACCTCCAGTTCATGCCGCGCATCGACGGCTGTCGACTGCACCAAACGCTTTCGCACATTTAAAGCAGTTTGGTGCGCTGGATTGGCAAGAAGGATCACAGCACAAGAGTTGCTAATGGATTCTGTGAAGGTATCGGACGGATGCACAAGGCCGTCCGAACCCAGCCCCTTTTTCAAGCGCATGAAGACTGGAATAGCAACCAGGTACGCTTTGTACAGCAGCTTTTGAGGGACACCCAAGTGACCCTCGGAAAAGAGGAAGGGATAGACGTTCTCCGCTTTGGTGCTTCCTTCTTCCCAGTCGGAGCCATCTCCCGGTACAAACTCAATGGATACGCTTGAATGCAGAGGTTCCGGTTAATCACCGCACGCCAGGCATTCTGGATAACCTACGGAGGTATGTTTATTAGCTTTCCAAGTCTGTCGAAAAGTTCCATCGCTGCGTGATCTCGTGAAAAAATTCAAGTCGTCGGCCTAACTGCTCAAGTTCCTGTTAAGATAAAGTTGTGACAATTGAAATGCTACTAATCGCTGAATTGTCGGTTTGATTTACCACAGAAATGTTGTCCTCTCCGATTCTTTTAAACCTTCCAAGCACCCGGTTTCATGATTGGGACTTACTTGCAGCGGTAGCGTGGCGGCCCCAACGGCCACGATCGTCGATCACATCCGGATTCCGAACTGGGACACTTCGGATAATTTGTTTGGCCTTGTTAGGACTCAAAGCTCTTGACAAATACGCGTAAATACGATCCGCATCATCCATAACATATGTGCGATCTAAATCCCTCCTTAACCTTCCACCTTAGTTTTTTTACGGATCGTATGGATGTGAGTGTGGCTATATTTTCTTTGGCAGATTCGACTTATTCAAGAGCAGAAACATGACTGTAACGAAATTTACAATGCTTACTGTCGTCTCACGCACGACCAACTCTTGATGTTCCTTAAAATACGATCTCTCCCGACAGGCGGGACAGACCACGAGCTCGCATCACGACTTGCACAACACGATTTACACATCTATCACCTCCTCCCGGCTATCAATGGCATGACAAGCTCGTCTGCCTTGTCCTCGCCCACAGACGGATTAAAGCAACGTCTCCGACAAGCCAGAATTCCCGACTTGCCGGTGGAGTTGCTGGCTGAGATAATGGACCGCGTCGGGGACTGGGAACTAGCGAAAGCAGTTGGAGTACCATCATCTCTACCCGAGCCGCTCGAATGGACACGGGCATCTCCTTCCGACTATGCCATATTGACAGGATATCTCCCTGTCATCCGTGCATCTGACCCAGCCACTCATCCGCCCACAAGACTTGGAGCAATACTCGCCGCCCGCTTTGGCTACGTCAATGTGCTGGAGTATTTCTTCACACTGCATCGCTCAACATTTATGCACATGTACGAGAAAGACCTCCTCCCCGTTACAGCATCGTTGCATGGCCGCACAACCGTCCTTTCCTGGTGGAAACATGCTCACGACCAGCATCCGGATTTGCTACCTTTGCCTAAACCTAATTCTATCGCGGATACGATCGATGGCGCTTCTCGCAATGGGCAGGTAGCGTCGCTCAACTGGTGGCTCCATTCCGGAATCCGGCTTGAGTACACGATAGCGGCGCTTGAAACAGCGAGTTCGAAGAACAGGCTTGCTGTGCTTGCATGGTGGAAGCATGCTAACAGCGCGTACGGACTTCCGTTGAAGATCGGGCGTGTGATGGACATGGCGAGCATGGCGGGGCACGTAGATGTGCTTGAGTGGTGGGCACGTTCGCAACTCGACTTCAAGTATGATATACATGCGCTGTACCATGCTAGCTGCCACGGCAATGTGGACGTCCTAAAATGGTGGCTCGGCAGCGGATTACAAGTGGTGTTCGACCAGGATTCATTGACTGGAGCGACGCGGCATAACCGTCCAGAGGTGCTGGAATGGTGGGACAAGAGTGGATTGCCCATCCAGTACCGTATGTGCGACATCGAGGAGGCCTTGGAGGACGCGATTGGCGGTGGCGAGGCGGCGCGGGAGTGGTGGAAGCGGAAGGGTGTCGACTTCAATGCGAACGACAAGGAGTGGATGAAGTTGCGAAATCTCAATTAGGGCATTACAGCGCACTCGTAGGTCGTGGTCTTTTACTCTTTTACTGTTATATAGGATGATGATTCCAATTTGCTGTCCGTGTACCTCTATCTATCCATATCTCCGTCTGATACATTCTCATTTGCGTGCGGTAGTCACTATACTCGTAACTGACATTGAGTTTTCGTCACTGTAGCCTTTAGAATACGGTTCTTCCGCTGATCACTACGTCGTGTCTGCACCATTAGAGCCACCTAGCATAGACAAAGGATGTATCATGGATAACCAGGATTACATAGACAATGACAACTGTGTCAGAAGGCAGGTCCCCGCGGATAGCGACGATCTCGACAACAAAAGTTGGCGAAAAAGTCACGTCGAGCGACGCCCACCAGCATCCGAGATGAATAGGACTACTGGTTAAGAACGTCAACCTATTCGCAACTCGCAGTTTGGGATTGCGTGCGTTCCCGCGGAATGAAGATATTCTTGCGATACCATTGCAGCTCTACAAGCATCATGAGAAACAGCGGTGTGTGACAATGGGTTGTACATACCTCTGATTGATGCCTGAATATCATCCAGGGCACTGCAGACCACTTATCAACAAGGGATGATTGCAGGAAGCGCAGCAAAAAGCTTACCGATGAGTGATTTCCTTGATTCCGTCCTTGGGCATTTTCATGTTAGGGTACCATCTGCGACATAGCTCCTACGCGAAATAGTTAGCAAGAAATCTTATGAAAGATTGGTGGACTGACTTTGATAGACGAGACATCTGATGAAGACGGTTAGTATAGTAATCACGCGTAGAGATCAGAGGACCGGGCTCACCAACAATACTGAACACGCGCAATTGAAACGTGTCAACGTTCGCATTGCGAATATAAGTTGCATTGGATTCCTTTGACAATATCACGCACCGATAATGTAGCCAATCCGTAATCTCTGGCATTTCCTCTACCAAGAAAGACCTATCAGCATGGACTGAGTTGCCTGCTAGTACGCCTGTCTGCGGGTCGGGAATCCATTTTCGAATGTACGCGAGCACTTGCTTGGCTACGTGTTCCTTCGTATATGGAGATTCTAGGCAAGCTGCAGTCAGACCGGACTGGTGCTCAGACTGTGAGGTCCCAGACTGAACAAATGAGTGCTATGTGCGTACCTTTCCGTGCTGATTCGTACACCATTCATCCATTCTAGGCAAAATTTACAGCTCAAGAGTCTTTCTAGTCGATGATATGCAAGACGCACCTATCAAGGACTTCCTTTTCAGTGCGTATTACGAACTCGATTCCATCATCAACGAGCTCCAAGTTTCCATTGGTAATCAGCACCTGTTGTATCAGATGGATCAGTGGTAGACCCAAACTATGACAGGAAACTGCTCACAGCGATTTCCAAAATTTTGTCCGTGCGTGGATTTAGTCCGGTCATCTCGCAGTCAATCCAGACCATGGGTCCCGACCCAAAGGTAAGCGGCAGTCTTTCAGTTGTCATGGTATAGCGCCTCAACGAAAAACTGCGGCAGTTTACAGTGTTGATACGAAGATATCTGCACCGCAGGGGAAGAATACGAGCGAACATTCACTCGAAAGTGGAAACTTGAGCGAGCGAGCTCAAGCGTTGGCAACTGCATGGCGTTGGCATGGCCCAAGCCCATGGTGTGAGTCACGTGCCATGATGCCTGTTTTGGGGCCACAGTAATGCCGCCATCAAAAACACCCTTTAACTAAGCTCACTTCAAAGGCTCTGCTCTATCTCTCGCGCCCAAGATGACGACGCCTTTTTCCACTCCCAATCATCTTTACCCGACTCTGGCGTCATCGACAGTTCCTCGAGCACCAGTGATTAACCCGTTTGACAAGTTCCCGCAGTCAGACTTCGACGCGTGGATTGGCGACATTACCGGCGCACTGAAACGCGTGCTGGGATATGAGGTACCCGAGAAAGAACATGCTCCTGCTCCTGCTCAAGCTCAAGCCCAAGCCCAAGATCAGACCATTGAGAGCGACCGCGAAGATGATGTCGTAGAGGATTCCTTGGCTGAAATCAAGGCTCGCCGAGAGGCGAAGGGCAAGCAGCGAGCGACAACCCCTGGTGATGCAGAGCAGCCCATTGTCATCGGGTCAGACTCAGAATACGAGCATGCAAGCAACATTTTGGCATTGGAGCATGAGTCCGAGGATTACGAGGATGAGGATGAAGTCCATGAGGAGGAAGAGGGTCAGCCAGAGTCGGATGAAGACGAGCAGGCAAATGACTCTGCGGGAGAAGTCAATGAACTTCTCTCCGACAACGAAGGTGAAAGCGAAGACGAAGAGCTTGCGGCACAGGCTGAAACGAAGGCCTCCGGCATATACGATGAGGACGCGGGAGACGAGGAAGAAGCTTCTGAGGGAGGATCCGACGAGATTGCTCTCGCAACGGAGCACAAGCCGGAAAGTGAAGCAGGGGTCGGTTACAGCCATGCGCACTATGGCAACCATGATGAGAAGATGACCGTCGATTTCGATATGGAGGAGGATGAGAAAGACGATGACTATTTGGAGGAGGAGAACGAGCAAGCCGAAGGTGAAGCTTGCATATATTCACTGCTGCCGTGTACTGACTTGTCCAAGAGTTCCCCCCTGCAGCTGAGACAGTTGCCCAGCCCGTAAGCTTGCCCGATCTTTGGGATGGCCCACGGATGTTCGCGGAGGACCTATATTCCGGCGGGGATGTAGTGTTGGACTCGAGTGCTGAGCGCAACCCCCACGTACTCCCTCCGGAAGAGTACGTCATCGAGCGTGCGGGAAACGAGCCCGAGCCCGAGTGCAAAACAGGTAACTGATCATGCCCCTTTTTTGAGCTTGCATCGTGACTAACTGCTCTATGGCTAAGCGGACCTTTCCTACGCGGATGTACGCGAATATCCCTCATCACACGGGATTGCTATGGACAAAAGCGTGGGTCACGGGGAGGACGCCGCCGTGCAGCACCATCAATTCGGCACTACTGGTACGTGACCTGGGTGCTTCTGAGTAGTCTCTCTCTAAATAAATCATGGCAGAAGCTGCTGTGAAGAAAACATCAGAACACGTTCAGCTACCAGATGTGTGGGACGGCGTGCGGACCTACGGCCAAGACTTCTTTACAGGTGGCGACCTACGCGAGAGTGATTTGCGCACGCGTGTCCCGTCGCCATCTCATCTCACCGCAGCAGATGACGAAATCAGCATGTTTCTTACACCTGAGGCACTCACCCCTCAGACAGTGCAGACATCGGCGGGAGATTTGCTGCATCCCTCAGTAGAAGGAATCCCGTTGTCAAAAGAGCACGAGGATCGTGTTGACATAGGGCACAATGCGGAGACTGAAGAGACACACGCGGTCCAAGATGATACGATCATCCACAAGCAGTCCAGTATGATAGAGGAGCCTTTCTATGCAAATTCTGAGGATTTACAACAAGGCGAAGAACAGCAAGACACTATACTAACCGAAGAAGGTGGGTTCTGCTTCTTCCATACCTAAATGCAAATCAATCGAACCAACATTGTCTCAATAGACTCGCAGGATGTTGCTCACGCTGAATTACGTCAAGGACTGTCAGAAAGTTTGAAGGCATTGAACGAGAATCGTAGGTCTCCCTCTCCACCTACTCTCAATACCCATGTAGACTGGAGTTGGCCGCCTGCGTTTGTTCACGGCCGTATCGAAACAGGTCCAGGGCATTTACAAACTTCAGACACCCGGGATGAATCAGAAGTCATAGAAATCAGTGATGACGAAGCAGAAGCCTTGCCTGAAGAAGAGGCTCCCGCCTTCTCCAGCTTTGTTGACCCCAAGGAGACATCCGAACACGTACAGGAAGGGGAGGCCTCTTCGAATCAGGTTACTGAGGCTTCTACGCTCGCCAAGGAATTTGTCGACCAGATGGAGGATCTTGCTGAATTAGGAGGTTCGTTCGTTCGATGCCTTTCCGTTGTGCATGCTTAATGACATGTTTCTGCAGATATCGGCAGACTTTCGCCTGAGGACATCCAAGCCATCTATGCAGATCTGGGCTCCTTTCTTACTACGGGACGGGAGCGCCATTCTGCTCAGGTTAAGGAGGGTGCAACATTATCCGATGAGTTCCTTGATACACATCGCTCAGCAGCGGTCGTGCATCAGCAGGCAGCAACTATCGACGACTTGCTGATAGACGAAGATGTGGAGGAGGACTATCGTTTGACGCCTATACTTGTGAACGCTGGCCCGGAAGTAGCAGAAAGGTTGCAAGTCGCACAACAACCGAAAACCGACGATGCTGACGAAATCGATTCACTCTATATTCACCAGAAGACTTCTGTCGTCGGGATTGCTGACGGTGAGTCAGGAGATGTCACTGGTGGCATAGCCCTTGGAGGCACCTCAGATGCGCCTCCAAGATCCACTTCTGTCGAGATCGAATGCGTGTCCGTCTCCGGAGAAGAAATGAACGACCAATTGGAACATGAAGTCGAAAAGTCTCTTCCTGAAGGACATCGGACTGCAGTACGCAAAATTTATAGATGATTTGCTTGCGATTGGTGACACAAATCTGCAGGAACCTGAGAATCGCCAGTGGCATGAACATGGGCGTCACACGGGGGATGTCGTTGTGGCTGACTCCATATACGCTGCCGCTTGTCGGCTTCCAGAACAGGTAAGCTGCCCTCCGGTACAGTCCGACAGTTCGGCTTACATTGCATAATTGTAAGGAGCCTGCTATGTCGTCCTCTACTGCAGATACGGAGCAGTCTGAGGAAAATCATCGAGAAACCCAAGTCTTACCTCCTTCAAGCCATCATTGGGCAGCTCCTGCTGACTTGCAGCTGCATGAAGTACCAGAAAGTACTGCAGCTATTGATGAGAACATCGAGGAGGGCAAAACCTTGTTCCCCGCTGCGCACCCTGAAGCAGGGCATCCGGTTTCTTCAAGCGAGGGCGCTATTGATGCGAATAACGTGCCAGAGAAAGTGCTAGTCAACGGCATTCCGATGCCTATATCCGCAAACCCACTCGTCCCCGATCCTACCAGCGTGCCACATACACCCGTCTCGCCTCCCAGCCCGCATCAGTTTGACTCTGGTTCGGCAATCTGGACAACACGTCGGTCACGTTCGCCCACTTCTGACTCCTCCAGCAATTCAACAAATGATTCAAATCGTAGCGAGAGTGCCAGTGGGCTCTTCACTCCGCTTTTCGCAAAAGAATCGTCACCAATCTCACCAGAGTCTCAGAACATCGGCCTTGGAGAGGACGCTTATACAGAATCACCTCTGAAGCAAGGAGTCACCGCTGAGCAGCTGTTGCAACAGCCTGAGGGTAACAGTTCTGTGGATGAAGGTCACCAAGAAGGTTGTCATGAAGATTTGCCACCAGAGAAGACTCGAGAATCAACTATTGAAGACTTTGTCGACCTGCAAGAGCCGAGCGAGGACCTTGCTGCCAACTCTCCTGTGCTGAAGCCGACCAAAGAAGGCCTAGAAAGTGTAGTCGACATTGAACAACTCGAGCTCATGTATCCTTCAGATTCGGATTCCGGTGCTCGCAGCGAGGTAGGCGATCGCGATGTTCGACCTACCGAGACGGGTGGCGATGCAGATGCGGAGGGTGACGTCGATCCGGATTATGATGCAGGCCGCAGGCAAAGTTCTACAGGTGAACTGGCCCCTCGGACGCCTCAGACGAACGGTCTCGATCATCCTACGGACACTGACGAAGTGGTCTCATCTGAGGTTGCCGGGGAAGAGACAAATTTTGACGTCGGTCAGGACCAGAAGGCACCGTCAGCGGATGATTATGCAGCGAGGTAAGCTTTATCTGCACAGCTTGAGCGTTCCAATTGACTTACACCCGACGCGGCTCAGCTCTGAGACTTCCAGGGCTGTTAAGCGTGGCAGATCCTCTGAAAACCAAGAGAATGGAACAGTCGCATCACGTGATAGGGGCAAAAAGCAGGTCATGGAGTCGGCGATTGCGGAGTCAAGCCAGGAAATTGTAGAACATCGGCCCCTCAAACGCCAGCGAATCGGTTCAGTGCTTCCGCCGCGAATCACTCGTTCCATGACTGTCAAGGACACTGCATCGACTATCGCGCGTCACCTTGATGAGAGCCTATCCCCTCGTTCCGAGAAGGACAAGGGTAAACAGAAAGAGGAAGAGGGTGATAATGTCAGCGAGACTCCCTCGACCAACCAGAAACCTACTAATGGTAGTGATGGTACTTTTCCCGGCGCACAGCAAGAATCGACCAGTCGCGATACATCTCGAGCATCGTCGATTGCCCCTACTGCTCCGATAAACGATTCCAGTGCACTGCCTGCATCGCCTACAGCCCCGCACACATTGATGCATTCGCACCATCTCAGACGATCAGTGCCACCTTTGGAACGCTCGCCCACCCGTGGCTTTGTTCATATCCATGGTCTCCCCGCTTCATCTGGGTCATCGCCTTTGGAGAAACCCAAGAGACGCTCACCATCGATGCCTCCGCCATCATCCTCTCAGATTTCGGCGGAGCCAGGGCCATCTCAGCAGGCTACTCAGCTTTCATCGAGCTCTCCAGTTACTCGATCAAATTGTCGCTTCCATAGGATCAGTATCCCTCATGAGGAGGATGGACCTCGCGTATTCTTTGCTGTCCCTGGTTGTTCTCTAGGTGATGCGGAGCTCATGGAAGAAGAGGACATCGAAGATCACGGTCCACTGTTGATCAATTCACGCGTACGCCTGGAGGATGATCTGGAAGCTTTAGACCTAGATCCAAACCTGGTCGGAGTCCTGCGTCAGTTGGTCGGTGTCGATCTGCTTCGAGAACAGGAGGTCTTCTACATCACAGAACCTGGCGAATCCATTCGATACAAGCATAAAGCAAAGTCTTTCGCGAGCCAGAGTAAGCTCTCGGGACATTCTCGCAAGTCCATCGGGTCGCGCAGCTTCTCGGCAGCTGGATCTTCTGGTCCTCCTGTTATCAGCGGAAACGTCTCAGTCGGTTCACTACCTTCTCCAGCCGCTTCAGTGTCCACTTCAATTTCCGGTAAAATCAAAAGTCGTCTGTCTGCAGCTGGCAGCGTGGCGACAACTGAGTCTATAACAGATAGCGAACTCAGCGATTTGAGCGAGGATGAAGAGGCAGCCACGAAGCGACCCAACGACCATCGTGACTCCGACATATTCGCGAAAGGCGAAGTAGAGAAGGGTGAATCACCGTTAAAGGCATCCACGTCTACTCCCATCCGGACATATGCTGGGCGCCGCAGGCGTCATCATACTACTGATGATTCCGCTGAGAAGCTGGGAGAGGACGCCGCTGAGGACTCTCCTGAAGAAGAGCACGTGGATGCTGGCAAACAGAAGAACAATAGAAGAAGCTCCAAACGGTCTAGGGATGATGAGGCAAATGAGTCACAGGCAGGGTCCGGCGGCATTCCTCTCAAGAAACAAAGAGTCCGAGGAAAAGCTAGCACGGATGACAATTAGAGGATATACAAACGTTCATAAATGGCCTCAAGCCTGTGATGCAATCCGAACGTCTGCTTCAATGCGAGTTTGTAGCAGTAGCATAATTTGACAAAATATCGTCAACCTCAGGATGAGAGAAAAAACATTGGCATGGTTATCACCTGCGGAGTAACCCAAGCAACCACAAGCACACTGCATACGGCGGAATGATATAGACGCAGCAGACAGTCATGCGGATGGGTATGTGATCGATGGAGCGGAGACATCAACAGACCTTCACTTTGTGTACAATCTCTTCTTCTGTGGCCTCTCTTCTTCCTCGTTGTCGTCGTAATCATCGCTTGCTTTCTTCAAAGAGTCAGTCTGACTTCGTGTCACTTTCGCCTTGCGTTTCTTTCCTCTGTCTTCCTTCTCATTTCTGTCCTCATCGGAGACGAACTCATTTTCCTGAGGTACGCTCTTACGCCTAGGTTCGGATTTGCTAGAAGACGGCTGGGCCGGCGCGGGCTGTTCTTTCAGCGGGTCCTCCTCGTCAGACGCAAATGGGTTATCTTCCCCCGCCTTCTTCTTAAGTTTCGGTTTCTGCTTGGTGGGTGCCTTCTCCACTGCTGTTTTCTCTTTGTCTGCGCTCTTTCCTGTTTTGAGCTCAGCGAAGAATTCGTCCTTCAGTTTCTTCAAAGTAGATGAGCGATTTGCAGGGTGCGAATTGTTCAAAAGAAATACCTTAATCTCAGTATCCGGCAGAAGAGCCGTGTTCTTCCAGACCTGATGGTTTTATTGGCAATGGGTCCTCTAAAATTGAACAGGTCATACCGTGGATGGGATACCGCTCGGATGTTTGCTATCGAGGCCTGGAGAGGGACGCATTACTTTGACCGTAGATGATACGGGAGTGGGCGAAGACATACCAATCGAAGTGTACAAATCGGCTTTGACGCCCATCAGGTTCATGCCATGTTGTCGCAGCAGAATTTTCATGATCTTTAGTTCGCATTAGCGCACGACAGGCTGTTCGCACAGATAGCGTCCTTCTCACCTCGGTCACTTCCTGCTTGTCGTAGACGTTCGGAACGTATAAGCAGAGGACGTGGGAGTAGTTGGGCGTTTCGTCTTGTGGAGACGTCGCCACTTTCGCCACATCTGCCCTGGTAGAAGCCAAAAAACCTGAAACAAGTGATTCTGCACAAATTGAGCTGAATCGGACGGTGCGAAGGGATCAACCGCGCCCTTACTGGCAATGGTTGACCAGACCAAGTCGACCTTGTCCGAAGGGGCAAAAATCAGCCTGTCAGAACGGAGTGTGTGAGTTTTTTTGAATTGTCTTCTCCACTGCAGCGGGCACCATTTCCCATGCACGTAACCGTGCCGGACTGCTATGTCCTTGAGTTTCTCAGCGGCTTCGCTTTGAACCTACACGGGGTGAGGAGCGTTGTTCCAGTTAGTGGGATGGCGCTCACAGCCTCACGGAGCTCCTTCTTGCTCTTTGTGCCTTTCTTCTTGTTGGCCCGGACTGGTATCGAGTCATCGTTCTGTTAGGAAGATGTGTTGAGCCTATGCATGACCGCATGGTTGCCCGTTTGCCTCTCGTCTGCAAGCCGATGTGCAGCAGCCCAGCTGACCAAGTAGCACCTGCAAACACCTCCAACTCAGACGGAGGTTCACCATCAGGAAAGTTCTGCGTCCCGTTGCCGCTTCAGCGAGCTAAGACAAACTGCCCACCCAATCTCCCCCGGGGCATCACAAGAACAGCGCGAAAGAACGCTAAGAAAGCGGGAAAGGGGGCCAAATAGATCTCCACAAGTTTTCACGTTCCACGGGTCATAAGGAGACGATTGGACATTCCAGATGATACATCTGCCGGCACATCGACATGCACACAAACCAAATGCTCCTACCTTGATGTTATCCACTTTCTCAGTAACTTCTTGTACTATTAGAAGGTAAATATAAAGACCGTGAAATGAGCCATTGATACTTACGTAGCGCTGTAGCTTCTTCCACAGCAGCAGCTTGGTCCGCAGAATAATCCTCCTTGGCGGGCTTGGATCTTCTCACCCACAGCCACTACGCGGGCAGCTATCAGATTATGTCTTTCGCGAATCTTACTGGAGATTCCCACAGGTTTGGTGCCGTCATTTTGCACCATCGATGGCTTATACTGGAGTGAGAATTCTGTCAGTTCAAGTGGGAACGACTGGACATGATATACGCGCTTTGGTGAGAAATTCCTCCAGAGGAATGCTTGATTCGGGAGACCATGCATACTGGTACTCGAGTGGGATGGTATCCTCGCCGTTGCTCATCCTGATGACCGAGCAAGTTGGGAGTGGCACGGAATAAGGAATGTCCCACTTCGTGGGTGGCGTCGTGACGCGTAGCGCGTTGTGTAGTCATATTTTGGCCAGTCACGTGGCGGTGAGCTAGCGGCACGAGACTTTCTAAAATACGCAAATATTGGCTCAACAAGATTCTCCGACGGTTCACAGATAGTAGATCCACAATACAATTGAAAGTGGATATAAATACGGACTTTTGAGAGTAAACGCAACAGAGAGTATCTGAGGAAAGTGAAAAGATATCTAGAGGATAATGGCCAGCGACTTTCTCCGAGATCCCAGGCTAGGCCGCTATCGTTTTGAATACAACTATAATGAAGTGACAGAATTTGAGGGACCCGAGTGAATAGTATGCTCGGGATCAGATCGGACAGCACCATATACAGTTGCCGAGGAGGAGTTCTCAACCCTCACAGTCGCAAGATTTCATGCATCTGGGTGTTAGTACGTACGCGACGCCCGATTTGTTCCTGAGACCGCCCAGGAGTCGGACAGTGCCAAATGAGCAGATTTTTGAAGACAAAGCAGTGATGGCACGTAATTTGTGGGAAAATAATAAAAGTCACACTTTGAATATACTGAATTTTAAGAAGTCGAGCTTGTCGTTGCCAACTCTAGCATATCGAGTACCTTACCTTTCTCCAGACCGGTGGAGTCATCCTTGCTCTGAATAAGCGATGGCAATAGTGGAAGCCGGTCCGTTTGTTGATCCGTACATTCTCCAGCATGACACTGGTGCCCTCTCGAGTCCTGAGCCAAAATAGCTTGGACTTCTACCTGGTCTTCCCCGGCGTCTGTGGCCTTGGGACCATAGAAGCCGCGCGGGATGCCAATGTGGAGCATCTGTCGTTATCAATGAATTATACGACATTGACAGCAACACCAGTGGCAATCTGTGTGAACAGGCTGGACATAACTGGTCTTGTACCCATACCTCTTTACTGGCACCCTGCCATCGCAGAATAATCGATTTGCAAGTAAAGGTTATGAGCACGGGCCAGAGACAATGAGCTCAAGATCCAACAGACGTTGCACTGATGCTGGGCAAGTATCTCACCAGTGATTATCAGATAGGAGTCCTCGTGTGAACAGCAGCAATGGCAACACACCAGAAGTCAGATCTGTTCATAGCGTTACAACGAACAAAGGCGGTGATTCGCCGTAATACCAACAGCGTGTAGCACGTTTTCAATCGAACCAATGCATGTCATGGAAGGTATGAAAGACGGTGCCACCCTTTTGCACCGGGAAGCGTTGGAGTGGGAAACAGGGTGGATTGAACCCGTAAGGCTTAGCGTTTTCAGCCTGGTATGGAAGATTGTCCGGATAAACAACGAACTTTCTATACAGAAGAGGAGACGAGTCGTACTCTGGGGTAGCACGTCAATGGACAATTTGAGAAAGAGCCTTACTAGATGAATTGACGCACAATGCTATGGCTGCAAAACACGATGCAGACGTCATGAGAAGACGAAGTCGTCTACGTCTACAACGGAGCGCCCTGGTCCGGCAACCTCTCTATCGCGTAGCGTCTGCGGACGATGTACATGAGCGGCACGCCAGGAATCTGGCGGATACGCCGTCGGAGTTCGCGATCACAGGTAGCGACGATGTAGCATCGGTGTGCTGTCACCCGTTGCACCAAGCAGTCATCGGCATACGTACCCGAATGTGAGCATGCTAGACGCTCGAAGCGAGGATCACGGGCTACCCTGCGTGGACGTCAGAAACGATCACCCGCAGCGAGTGAACGCGAAGCACACCTCAGAGCGACTCGGTATCTATGACCCAGCTTCTCCAACTCGGCCATCACACAGTCGGTCACGCATGGAATGCCTGTGTTTGTCCGCGCATGAGTAATGCGAACCAAGCCAGTCTCGTGAAGCCTTACATTTCGCATACAGACAATCCATCATGCCGCTGATGAGCTCCAGCTTATTTTGCAAGCTAAAGTTGATAAAATTCGTATCAATGAGGACGCGATATGGTGGTACGAGGGCATCATTGTGCTGCAGGAACAGTGATGAGGCGACCTGAGGTCTGGGAGAGGGTAAACAGGTCAGTGTCAGGAGACATTCTGACAAATGGCCGGACGTACATCCGACGGACGGCCTTCTCCTTCTCCTTCTCTTCCTTCTGCTTCTGCTTCAGCTGGTTTTCCTTCCTACGGACGCGGGGTAAGCTGACCTGGGTCTCATCCTTCTGTTCGCAACCTACAGTCGAATATCGTTTGGGTTCAACAGTCGCTTGACGGCCGCGAACTTTCTTGTCTTCTTGGCTTTCCCCTACACGCTTTGGTTCAACATCTCAGCAGCAGCAGCAGTTGACGTAAACACGTACCATGGTGATGGTGTATTTTGAGATTGAGAGCTGGCGAAGTTCATGCACTCAGAATCTCGGCTGAACAGCTGTAGAATTTGGTTAAATAATGAAATAAAAAAATAAAAAGTAACACGTGGGAAATACTCGGCAGCCAACTAGTCTGCCACAATAAATCCATTTCACAAAGTTTAGGATATCTAACCATGTCCGTCTACTAGAAGTTGTGGTCCTGCATTGTCCTGCCTCCTCTGCATTCCTAGCAACTGCCTGACTTGCTTTGTCCTATATCCTCTATATCGAAAGCCTTCCTGAGGCTCAAGCAGTACGGAGCAGTATTCTGCGTTGGCGTTGATGCTCTGCACAGCAAGGGAGTCGGCGCGAATCCTTCCCAGTGACCAACTGTCATCTCGACATCTTTACGAGTCAGGATCTCCGTTGATTCGACATCTTGCTGTGCACTGCGGGCATCCTCTGACCTGTTCTGACATGTATATCCTGTCGCGTCCGCCATAGCCCGTCCGTCATCATTCCGTCCCGATCATGGACAGGTCATGCATCATCCCGTCCCACTGCCAACATGCTGTTCACCTGAACACGTATCCTGATTACACCCGGCTGTCCGCCCCTCCGACGCCATCGCACACATCACACATCATCACCGCCGTATCTGTTCCACAGTTCCGCCACGAGACCAGCGCAACTGAGTTCTGAGCCACATCCGTTCACCGGGGCACGAACTGCCTCGGCGGGTCAGCAGCCCTTAGCTCGACCCGTGCCCGCGACTTCTCGCCTTCTGCCATCAATACACATGGTGGTCCCCTTGGCTAGGATTGCGCATGTGGCACTACGTCACTCGTGGACGACTACCCGCGTGATGTCTGGCAATATTCATTTGCAGGCGGTGAGCGGTACAACGTACGCTCTCGGATCTTTCATTGGTGGTCAAGGTCTTGTCTGGCAGGAAGGGGGTGTATGTTCCAATCCGCGATCGGACTAAGGAGATTCATCGGTCACATGAAGGCAACCCAAGAAAACCATCATTCGTCAGGGAGAGTAGCTTGGCCGTCGAACAATTCTTGTTCCTCAATGAGAGAATAGTTTCTTGTCAATCCCCGCGGTTTTTAAACGTCTCGCCGAATTCGAGAGTTACTCTGCCTTGTGTGATCAAGGCTCTCTTGAGCAATAGCATCCTTTGTTTTCATCCTTGGCTCACCTCCGCCGATGCTAGCCACATGTGTTCTTTGCCGACCCCATTGGTCGCGGAAGCTTCCAAACGCAGAGAATCCTCCGGCCGGAACATAGCCACGAGGCACTAGGTGAGAGAATGCGATCGAAGACGATAGATCAGAAACAAGCTGATATCCGTATGGGATCTCTCTCAGGTTCATATCGGTCGGACGTCATTGAGCAGTTATATATGGACACCGACCTCAGATGCCGGGTGTGATTGCACACGGCACATGATGCAGGGTGAGTCGCTCAGTAGCGATGAGCTTTGTGCCGTGTGCGTCGCTCAGTGGCAATGAGTTTTAGTGCATCGACCTCCCCGTATCGCAACCTGTCTTGTCAGCTCGATTGAATGTGATCGTGCCAGGTTGAATGCACCCTGGTCCGTGGATAACGCTAACGTATTCTCCACTATCCTTGTAACAGCAACGCACAGGTGCAGGGAAGACGGCATCGGGAGGGGTTCACCGTATGACATTAACCCAAATCGACAACCGATGATGCGGTTGGGAGCATCCGGCTAATCACACAGCAGTATAACTATCACTCGGGGTCGTGCGGCGTTGCTTATGGAAAGCCGAGGATGCATAGCCGTGTGTCAATGCTCATACCCGTGTCCTGATCAAAGCGATGAGAGAAGAGTCGCCGACTCCACGTTCGCACTCATGGGATCACTCGGGCGAATGGTGCCTTTTGCCTACCCCGTTTCTAGACATGAATCCGAAGGATTCCACGGGTGCGAGAATAAGGAAGTAGCCTGTCGCGATCCATTGGTCAAGGACGTACTCCTCTCATCAGACCCGTTTCTTCGAGCGGGATGCGTGAAGGCTGGCGCCACGATAACGGGCGTTCTGCTGTGCTTCGGACGATAGACAGCTGTCGCTGTATGGCTATGAGGACGCCCATCATCATCATCATTTTGACAAGCTGTTCTGATCGCTGCAAAAGATTGTGAGCGCCAGTCTGCGACGCAGAATCGGACAACTGGCTGAGCGGTTTGTATTCGCAGCTACTGGTGCAATACCACATACATCTCCGCAGGATTTTCTCATGTGGTAACCTCTGTTCTTACGTCTTATGGATATGAGAGCTTCAATATGACAAGTTGTAGATATGGGGTTCCTGATAAGATGAGAACATCTCACACCCGGCCCCGTCGAAAAAAGAAAAGGCGAAGACAGATCGCCTGAACTGAATGCTCCCACTGAGTATCTACCCCCATCCTGAGGTCCAGGTCGCGAAGAGGTAACTAGCATCCGGCGTTCGTTCGCACGAAATTATTGGTTAGGCCTTCGGCCGGATCTAGGAAATGGGTAAACCAGAAATTGGTATTCTGCCTGAAGCGGCTATGCGATCATAGCAGTTGTTCGTAAATTCCGTCTGGCTCCTGGCCCTGTCATGGCCCCGTCTATATAAAGGGATCCGCTCGCTGCAACGTCTCCCCATCCAACTCCTTCTCCTCTTTATTCTACTCAACCTTCACTTAGCGTTTCAACATGCCTAGCATCAGAAACAATGGATACGTTCATGCCGTCCCAGCCACCCCGCTTGCCCAGCGTAAGGTTGCGTTGCACGGGAACGGCGCAGGGAGGAACGGTCACGCGGACGTCGAGCACCACGTGTCCGCTGCTGGCCTTCTGACCCAGTTCATTGAAGCCCATCACCAGTTGGAGGCCTACAAGTATGCATCCAGTACTCTCATCTCGTTCTTCCCCTAAAACTGACACGCTTGCAATAGGAACGGAAAGGCTGTTGTTGTCGACGGAAAGACGCTGTCCGTCCCGGCTGTTACAGCTGCTGCGAGATATGGTGCAGATGTAACGCTAGACGAATCGTCACAGCTCAAGGAGCAAGTGGCCCGAAGCAGAGCCGTCATTGTAAAGAAGGTTGAAGCCGAGACCAGTGTCTATGGTGTCAGTACCGGATTCGGCGGCAGTGGTAAGTCCGCGAGAGCGCTCTCTATTTCCGCTGCCAGACGCTCACAAAATTTGTTGATCGTGCACAGCTGATACCCGCACAAATGACCCCATCATGCTCGGACACGCACTGCTCCAGCATCAGCATGTTGGCGTTCTGCCATCGCAAACGGACACTCCAACACCTATACTACCGCTCACAGATCCCCTCGCCTCCACCAGTATGCCGGAAGCCTGGGTCCGGGGTGCCATATTGATCCGTATGAACTCCCTCATTCGCGGGCATTCCGGCGTTAGGTGGGAGTTGATTGAGAAGATGGGCTCTCTTCTTCGGGAAAGCATTACACCATTGGTGCCTCTTCGCGGCAGCATCTCGGCGTCAGGAGGTGAGCGCTACGTTCTTCTACCGGAGCAGATTGGCGGACGCAGCACAGCACAGCGTGATAGTCAAAAGAGTGTTGTATGATAACAGATGCGCTGCGCTATCTGCTATTCTCGAGTCCCCTCTGATAAATTGATCTGATCGCATCGCATTCTGTCTCAGATCTCTCTCCACTGTCATACATTGCGGGCACGCTTACTGGTAACCCATCAATACGCGTCTTTGACGGCCCCGCCAAGTTTGGGCCGCGCCAGATCGTCGCGTCTAGCGAGGCGCTGGCCGCGCATGGCATCGAACCCATCCCGCTGGCATCCAAGGAACATCTTGGTATCCTGAACGGCACCGCGTTCTCCGCGTCTGTTGCAGCGCTCGCACTGCATGAAGCCGTACATCTCGCGATGCTTGCGCAGGTCTGCACAGCGATGGGAACGGAGGCGCTCCTGGGAACGCAGGGCTCGTTCGAGCCATTCATCCACGATGTTGCACGCCCGCATCCGGGACAGGTTGAGTCCGCTGCAAACATCAGGTCGTTGCTAGAGGGAACGCAGCTGGCTGTGACGAAGGAGGAGGAGAGGAACATCAAGGATGATGCCGGTGAACTGCGCCAGGATCGCTACCCCCTCCGCACCGCGGCTCAGTTCCTCGGCCCTCAGATTGAGGACATCCTCTCTGCTCTCGGCACTGTCACACTTGAGTGCAACACTAGTGAGTAGCCTATCCTCCCGAGTATCTTCCCAGATGCTCATCATTTTCTCTAGCAACGGACAACCCGCTTATCGAAGCGGAGACGGACACCGTGCATCATGGCGGTAACTTCCAGGCTATGGCCGTCACGAACGCTATGGAGAAGACGCGGCTGGCGCTGCACCACATCGGCAAGTTGCTCTTCGCACAGTGCACGGAGATCCTGAACCCAACGATGAACCGTGGACTGCCCCCGAGTGTTGCTGCGACGGACCCGTCGCTCAACTACCACGCGAAGGGTCTCGATATCCACGTCGCTGCATACGTTGGTGAACTGGGATACCTCGCGAATCCTGTGTCAACGCATGTTCAGTCGGCCGAGATGCACAACCAGGCTGTCAAGTGAGTGGAACGGTTTTCCACGATAGGGAGGATTTTGACATGCCTTGCCAGCTCTCTCGCCCTCATCAGCGGCAGAGCAACCATCAACTCTCTGGAGGTCCTCTCCTTGATCACTGCAAGTTATCTTTATATCCTCTGCCAAGCCGTGGATCTCCGTGCCATGCAGAACGAGCTCCAGGAAGGCATGAAGACGATCCTTCGCGAGCAACTCGACGCCTACTTCGGGTCGAGCGTGGCCGGCCCGAGTTTGGACAAGCTCTTCGGCCTCGCATGGCCTGCTATTGGGCACGCACTGGACGCTACGAGTACCATGGATGCGAAGCCGCGCATGCACAAGGTCGCGTCCGCCTGTATGTCCACAATCGTCGACTTCTGCATCGCGCACGATGCGGCGGGCGCGCTCGGCTGCCTCAGCGAGTTCCGCGACCAGATCGCGGAGCAGAGCACGGACCTACTTGTGCGTCTTCGCGAGGCATACCTCCGCGGCGAGCGCGGCGCCACCCCCTCGAGTGCGTTCTTGGGTAAGACGCGGGTGGTGTACGAGTTTGTGAGGGTGACGCTCGGCGTGCGCATGCATGGTGTGGAAAATTTGGACGGTTTTGCTGCGGGGCCGGGCGTCGTTGACTCGACGGTGGGCAAGAACATCTCGCTTATTCATGAGGTATGTGCCATTCTTCGCTTTTCATAATTTTACGTCGATCGGAAGCTGACTGGTGCTCTCCGTTTAGGCCATTCGCGATGGCAAACTGCAGAGCATCACTGTCAGCCTCTTCGAATAGAGGGAACAGTGCAGTGGGGATTGGGCTGGCTTGTAGACGTCAATATTTATGTTTACAATGAGTTATATGTATCTTATACAGTGGAGTACGATAATAGAAGCAATTCTCTACGGAACAGCCAGAGTGTTGCGTAGCTGGCCTCTATAACTGATCGGGAGTCATTCATTCAAAGGTGCAGAAAACGTTCTGGTATGCACATATTCATGTACTAGGTCACTTTGAATGGGAACTTCGAGAAAATGCTCTGGAAGAATGGACAATAAGTTATATAACACCATCCTCGTCGTGGATTTCGAAGTGCGTTTGTGCCGCTACGAATAGGTACAGATCAGAGTCAAGTTGCGAGCGTTCAACGTGTTCAACATTGTTACGGGAAATATACGGGAAATGGCGAAGCTTGGGGACGGACTCGATGGCAAGAAGCTAACGACCCTCACATAAATGAGGACTTGAGGTTTCGCAGGTTCACAGTAAACCTTGCGCGACCGGTCTCCTCCGGTCTCCCTCCGGTCTCCAACTTGAACGAGGTTGCAGCATTGCAAACCTTTTAAACTTTAAGCTTTTAGATCCATCAGAAGTACCACGTGATCGTGTGGGGTGGCAGCGGCGTTTCCGACCGCGACCATAAGATATTTTGCGCCTATTGCCAGCGGACTGGCGAGTCGACCATTCGCAGTTTTTCTTGACCGACAAGCGACGCACCGGCACACTTTGCTCACGACCATGAAATCGGATGAGTTGTTCTCTTTTTTGCAGCCAATTGCGGCGAGCGAGGTTGTCGTTGATACAAACCTCACGGACAACGAGTCAAGAAATGAGCTCAAGCGCAGGGCGGGCTCTCCACCTCCCTTCTCTGCTTCGGCGAATGATGCGGATATTCCTTCGAAAGTTGATGGTTCGGCCAGTGGTCCCTCTTACAAAAGGCGCCGTCAGTCCTCAACGAACCTCTTTGTACTTGATGAAGTCGAGATAGACTCAATGCGCGAAGTTACTAGTGATCGAGGTTTACAAGGGCCAGTTGAGGACGGTACACGGATTGAGCTTCGTCATCAGGTATTGATCTTATTCTTGCACTCCCAATGTCCAAACTAATATTGCGATGCGATCAGGTTCGCCATCAAGTCGCGGTTCCCTCGACATATCCATATGTCCCTATTTCACAGCACGTACCTCCTACAAAACCGGCTCGGAATTTCAAGTTCAATTTGGGTCCGTTTCAACAAGTGTCGGTCCACGCTATTCAGCGTAATGAGAGCGTCCTCGTTTCTGCACACATGAGTGCTGGCAAGACAGTGGTTGCCGAATACGTTATCGCTCAGTTTCTGCTGAATAGGCAAAGGGTCATTTATACAAGTCCGATCAAGGTCAACATGCCCAAGTCTCCCATCCACCACTTGTTCACTAACTAGATTTTGTAGGCATTGAGCAATCAGAAATATCGGGATTCTCAAGTCGAGTTTGAAGACGTGGGACTGATGACCGGCGACATCACCATCAATCCCTCTGCTTCGTGTCTCGTCGTGACGACTGAAGTATAGTGTTGATCTTCTGGGTGACAGTCTTATGATGCTGACCACTTGATAGATCCTACGGTCGATGCTCTACCGAGGCTCCGAGATAATGCGTGAAGTTGCTTGGGTTGTATTCGACGAGATACACTATATGCGCGATAAGGAGCGTGGCGTCATCTGGGAGGAGACCATTATCCTTCTCCCGCATACTGTGCGCTATGCTTTCCTCTCAGCGACAATTCCGAACGCTATGCAATTCGCCGAGTGGGTCTGCAAGTTGCATGACCAGCCATGCCACGTAGTGTATACCGATTTCCGTCCCACTCCTCTGCAGCATTACCTCTTCCCCTCTGGTGGCGATGAGATTCACCTTGTGGTGAATGAGAAAGGAGAATTCCGCGAAGATAATTTCAACACGGCGATGGGGATGATCCAGCAAGAGCGGGGTGACGACCCCGCTAATTATGAGAGCGGAACGTCTCGCAAAGCAAATTCTCGGAAGGGGACCGAGAAGAAGGGTGAGAACATATATCCGCACTACAGCTTGTTTTGACGCTGTCTCAGAACCTGCAGACATACAGAAGTTTTTGCGAACCATTATGGCCAGGCATCATGATCCTGTCATCGTCTTCGCCTTCAGCAAGCGAGAGTGTGAGGATCTCGCACTGACAATGTCGAATGTCGACTTCAATGATGCTGGGGAGTTGGAAAGTGTGGCAGTTGTGTTTGCAAATGCCATTGATGTTCTTTCTCCAGACGATCGCGTGTTGCCCCAGATCACAAACGTCCTTCCACTCCTCCGTCGCGGAATTGGAATCCACCGCGGGGGGCTCCTCCCGATTCTGAAGGAGGTGGTCGAGCTACTCTTCCAAGATGGCTTGATCAAAGTTCTCTTCGCTACGGAGACGTTCTCGATAGGCCTCAATATGCCTGCCAAGACCGTCATCTTCACCACTGGTGCGAAAGTTCGACGGATGAGTTCCGCAACATCTCTTCTGGCGAATACATACAAATGTCGGGACGCGCGGGCCGTCGAGGGCTCGATGATCGTGGCGTTGTCGTTCTAATGTGCGATAAGAAGCTCGAACCTCCGGCTGCGAAGGAGATGATCAAGGGTCAAGCAGATTGCTTAAACTCCGCCTTTCGTCTTGGGTATAATATGATCCTGAACCTAATGAAGATGGAGGGCATCACTATGGAGTACATGCTGGAACGAAGCTTTTATCAGTTCCAGAACTGTGCCCGGATACCGATCTTAGAACGAGGTATGCTCACCATAGTATCAGCCATCGAATCTTATTGATGTTGCATTAGAGTTATGGCAGGAAGAGGATCGGAAGAGAATGATTACGATTCCGGATGAGTCGCTCGTGGCAGAGTACTCTGAATATAGGCAGCAATTGGACCAGCTGGCTGCTGACTTCAAAACCGTGATCACAGACCCCGCTTATAGCCTGCCTTTTCTGCAGCCAGGACGGCTGGTGAAGGTCAAGCAACAGGAAGACGACTTTGGGTGGGGAGTCATCATCAGTTGTCAGAAGCGCAGGGTGGAACCATTCCTCTCGCCTGATTTTTCCTCGTCACCGTTTTCTGATATGCCATTTCCGCAGAATCGACCGGCGTTCAACCCCGACAAACTGCCTGCTAATAAGCAGTACATTGTTGATGTTCTCCTTGCATGTGATGACAAGTTGGAGGTGTCGAAGGATCGCAGCGCGCTGTCTGCTCCCAACCATGTTCGTCCTCCACCTCCAGGGCACTGCGGTGTGCCGCTGGTGGTGCCGGTGCTGTTATCCACATTGTATTCCATCAGCAGACTGCGTGTCTATCTGCCGAAGGATCCAAAGTCACTTCAAGCTCGAGAATCTCTCTACAAGAGCGTCCAGGAGATTCACCGAAGATTTCAGGATGGCATTCCTCTTCTTGATCCGGTTAGTGACATGGGCATCACTAATGAGAAGTTCAAGGTCCTGGTGAAGGTTGGATATGTCAACTATCACCTCAAGTGGGAGCGATACTTATCGTCGTTGCTAGAAAATCCACGTCCTGGAGAACAAGTTGTCCGATAGCAAGCTTCATGGTGACAGCCGTCTCCCCGGTCTGTATGCTCTATATACAAATAAAATGAGTGCCAGGAGCGCATCCGCGAACTCAGAAAGAACATACAAGCCACAAGAGACGTCGTGCAGATGTAAGAACTGAAAAGCCGCAAACGCGTGCTCCGTCGTCTTGGTTTCATTACGTCGTCTGACATTGTCGATATGAAGGGTCGCGTCGCATGTGAGATCAGCACTGGCGATGAACTCCTGCTCACAGGGCTCCTCTTCAATGGCGTCTTCACTACGTTTCTCCGGAGCAATGTGCTGCCCTATTGAGCTGCTTTGTGTTTGCAGAGAAGGTGCGATAGCTGCCCTCGACGATCTGCCTCAGTGATCATGTCTTTTTCTAGAGCAGCCAAGTCACGAAGCTCAGGGGTGACTTGGCGCGGCCGCTTCGCGCTATGCAGGAGATTGCGCGGCGAATTGCAAGAGTATCTATCGAATCAAAACTCGCCATAGTTGAAGACGAGTACGTACAATCCTTCAAGGTAGAACTCATGGATCCGGTCATGCAATGGTGTCGCGGCGCCTCGTTCGCCCACATTTGTAAGGTGTGTCAGACACCTCTTCAAGATTGCAATTTACTCGCCACTGACCGATTATATGATAGCTCACTGATCAGTTTGAGGGTAACATCATTCGCGTCTTTCGGCGTCTGCAAGAGTTGACCCGACAGATGAGGCAAGCGGCCAGAGTCATTGGTAATGTCGAGCTTGAGGAGAAGTTTGAGGAGGCTTTGGAGATGTTGGAGCGTCCGAATTCTGTAATCTTCTGTTCCTCCTTATATTTGTAGATTACTCCTGGAGATGCCAATAAGAATTTCATTTCCCCCAACCGAGTGTGGTTGTGTTTATTAGTGTCAAAGAACCCTTGAGATGCGCCACTGCGCGCAGGCATTGTGGCGCAGGCTGGGCCCAACTCAGTGCACAACGCCTTTCTCGGTGAAACGGTACGGATTGGCCATCCGCAGGTGGTATAAGTACGAGATGTGTTAAGCAGATAATTATAACCATGTTTAGAAGCGATGATCTACACATAGACTTGCTGTCATTTTAGCCTTCTCGAACGTATCGATTGGCTCCGAGAAGTACGCGTAGCATGCATATCCTTCGTCGTGTCGCATCTTACATATTGTTACAATCCCGTGTTACGGCGAACCGTCGCCGATGCCAACGTGGAGGCATCCTTCACAAGTTTGTTGAAGGGGGAGGGAGCAGATCTGCCTCCGTGCACATGTCGTTGAACTCCAATTTCCGCACTTCAAAGTCGGGACGCGAATGGACGACGGAGTGGGTCGGACGATCGACCGCGAACTTCTTGACCAGCTCCAGCGCCATCGTCCCCTCGATCGCATCTGCGACCAGCCGGCCGAGCACAGGGAGGAACTGCATGGTACACCGATACACGTTCAGCAACACAGCTCAGATAACAGGGCAATGCAGCTCACCTTGTACGCATGTCCGCTCCCGGCCGTCGCCAGCACGACCTGCGGGTCGGACGGGTGGAACCCGATCAACCAGTCCTCATCCGGCGTATCAAGGTACCTGCGATCGGCACATCAGCATGGCGCATGCCTTCCCTCGGACGAGGTGTCTCTCTCACCAGCACATCCGCGTGCTATGCCACGGCTTCGCTGCGAGGTCGGGAAAGACCGCCGCGAGCCCCTGTCGGAGCTCCTGCAGGGCACGTTTGGGCACGCGCGACGCCTGCTCGGCGTGCGATCCGACGAACACGGGCGTGGACACCGTTGGGCCGTACTCGCGTGTGGGCTGCGGGTTCGTGTACCCGGCTGTGTGGATCGCGCATTTCACGATGTTCTGCTCGCTGGGCTGTGCGTGGCCACTTCAGCTGGAACCAGTTGGTTGAGGGCACGAAGTGCGAGACGTACGGGAAAGATGTAGAACCCTGTGGTCAGGTCGAGATAGACAGGATTTTTGCGGTATACTTCCGCCTCTTCTGGGGTAAGCTGGATCTTGCCGACACTCTGTCTGCCAGTCAAATGTTAGTTGCCGACTGCGCATTTCAGTGGTCACGTACCCCGTTGCGGTACATTTCTCGCTCAGCTTCAAGCTCGGAAAGCTTGACGCAGTCCACGAGCCTGCAGCGATCACAACCAAACCCGCCGGGAACACCGACCCATCTGCACACTTCACGCCGACCGTCTTCCCGCCTGCCTTCACAAGATCCACTGCCGCCTTACCGGCAACAATCCGCGCTCCCATCGCCCGGACTCGCCACATGAGGCGTTCGATGCCTTGCGACGAATGCGCCCAGCCTCCGTCGAGATTGAGATAGCCCTTGCGACCCTCGAAGGAGCATGTCTTCACCCCGGGAGGGAACGCATTTCGAAGAGCTGCAGCGTCTGCCAGCGGCTCGACGCGTGCACCGAGCTTGACATCGTTCTCATAGGCCTGATCTGCGTACGATCCGGCATCACCGGACACCAGCACGACGACTCCGGATCTGCGGGCACGGTGAGTATATTGTGAACATCGGCGATAAATTGGCTCACTCGTGGTACGCGTCACCCCATAGTTCCGTGTCGTTCGTCCACTCGGCGATAGCATCTCGCGCAAACTTAGCGTAGAACAAATCGGCGTACGAGCTCCGCACGACTATTCGAAACTCGTGTCACCCTTCGAAACGTGTGAGGAAGGCGAAGACACCCACTTTTGTTGATGTCCGTACTTGCGGCATGAGGCGCAGGTAGCTTCTCCGCACTGTCTAACAACGTGATGCGGCTGTAACCTCTTTTCAAGAGGTGGTATGCCGTCGATAGCCCGAAGCACCCGGCACCGACGATCACAATCTCGCTGTTCTTGTCGATGGACATTGCTATGGGTGAGCAACAGTTGATGTGGACTGACTCAATCTATCGACTCGCGAATAAAGAGCAAACAATGGTCATGTCTCGAACTTTATCGAGTCATGAGTTAGCAAAGAACGCAATCACGGCAGGATCAGATACGCGTACAGTATTACAAATCGATAGTACATCGTCCTCGATAGGACCCGCCCTTGGCGGCCTGTAACCTCGACCCTCTCTCTAGCTTTCGAAGTATGATCGTCATGACTTGCCACGGCGATCTTGTCTACCACAGGTTGATGTTGCCATTGTTGCGTGCACGGACGCAAAGCTTGGTCACCCCATGGATGAGTGGTCCGAGTGACAATCCCGCCGGAGTTGATGTGAGCATAAGGTTGAACGGGGAGCCGTCGCCAGATCGGTGGGTGAGATCGCAGCATTTAGATATGAGCCTGCCGGATTCCGCCGGAAATCGCTGGGATGCTGAATGTCCATTTTACTAAGTGCAAAGGAGAACTGTGCTCATAGTTCACATTTGTCCTGCATGTGGCGCATTAAGAAACCACTCCACATCTGCAGTGAATCAGATTGAGGGTCTGCCTGAATCAAGGATATGGACTTGGTTTCTTTTGGATATGGATATGTGAGACGATTCGCCAGACAATTCGATAGTCCAGTGCAGATTGAAAGTACAACAAAACAAGTTCCCCGACATCTTTTGCTACACGTACACATCAGGAAAACGTCACTTTTTCTTTTTTTTGCTTCTTTTGGTACCTTTTTCTTACAAAAAAGGCAGAAAAGAGAACAATGTAGAAAAAAGCGTGAGGATCGGCTGATTCCTCACTTTCTCATGGCCTTGACGACGCTTGGCAACACTGATTTGCCCAAAAAGTTGTCATCAAGTCCATTAAAGGAACAAAAGCCCGGAAGCCTATCAGGAAATTCCAAAGGCAGATTCTCTAACCTTTTGTCCTTGAACAGACTTTTCACAAACTTTCTGATCAGAAAGCACCCAAAAAGCGCTCAAAAAGAAGCAGATAAGGCAAATTCAAGCCGATCCTCACGCTTTTTTCTACATTATTTTCTTTTCTGCCTTTTTTGTAAGGAAAAGGTATAAAAAGAAGCAAAAAAGAAAAAGTGACATTTTCCTGATGCATCATACAATAGGTAAATCGGGAAGGAAATGAATTGTTTACTGCAAAACACGCAATCCCTGTGCTAGAGATGGCATAAGCGTGATGCGTGAATGCAGGAGAGGCGCAACGACTATATTACCCTTGTGTGCGGAGAAGTGTTGCCAAGCTCAAGCAGCGTCCTCAAGGAGCTCAGGAACACGCTTCCTGAGCGGAACCCCGGTGTCGATCTCCTCGAACTTGGTCTGGGATAGCAGACCGGCTTTGACCATAGCCTCGAGAAGATCACGCGTCCAGGTCCGACAGCTGTTAACACGCGATCTCTTGTCATATTGGACCGCCTTCGCGAGCGTGATAATCTGGTCACGCTGCACCCTGGTGTACTGTCCAAGAGAGTAAAATGTGTTACTGTTGCGAGAGTTCTCGGACTGCTTCTTCACGACAGGTGTGAAGAAGTTGTAGTTGCCAGGTCCGCCAGTGAGTTGGACAATCTGAGTGATGTGAGCGCCATCGCCGTCCATCTTATTTAACCAACGCATGAGAACGTGTCGGTCGCCAGTGCCCGCATGTTGTAATCCGTCAGCCTGTAGGACAACTTCCTTCGTACTGTCGTCATCAGGGTATTCGTTCGCTAAACCGTGGCGAGCAGCAGCCAGCATGACTTGTGGGCAACAGTGAACGTGAGATGACGTAGCGTGGCATACTGCTTGCAGATTTCTCACCGGTAACAGTTCTGAAAGTCTGTGATGGGTAGATGGAGCTAGTGTGTTTGGGTGCTGGCAGATTCGGGCTCGCAGAGACAGCTTTTATACCGAGATGTCAACGGATGCTGTAGCTTGATCTCACGGACGCTGCTGCACAGAACATATGCTACCAGACATTTGGAGAAAGATGTGATGAAGATGCGATAAAAATTGATGAGATGTGCTTGTATATTCATGCTGTTCGCATGCAGCATGGGCGCGGCGTCGCCTCCAATGGCCTCACGAAACGATTGTGGTCAGGATCCCAACTAGGTAAAAACAGCCATACCGGAGAGCAAGAGTCATTCTTCCTGCACTTCTTGACGACTTCTAGTGCGGCGCCCATGATTATAATGGGAGTTCTAGATGCTGCCCAGACAATTGCTGAGGATGTTCCTGGTGTCACAGTCCGCAAGGTGAGCCTTGTATAACATGATTGGTACCGGTTCTTCGGATGGTACCGGTTCCAAACATGTTTTAGGGCCTGATGCTACTGCAGCTCGGTCTCGTTTCACGAGCGAGATTCTCAATTGTACAATAAGTCGCTTGCCCTTCTCCCGGTTGTGGCGATAATCGATCAGTACTGACACAAGGATGAACCTCGCCACATAGAGCGCACAACCACATATTTTTCATGTAGACGGACGTCTGCGAGTCCCTTCAGGATTGTGAAGTATTTCATGCCGCTGCAAGCTCTCACCGTTGATGGCGGCTCCAACGGGAGGTCGAGCTCGAGCCGACCTGGCATTACAGGTGCCACACAGACGCCGAGAGCGCCGATTAGGATCAAGTCCCGATCTGGTACGTATAAAGCTTATGTAAGTTACCTATGGCCTACATAGGCTCATAAATCAACCTTCGTGCAGGATCTTGACAGTCGTTCCTTATACTCACCGGTACCTATGGCCGCTCTACAGCATGCCACACAACTTACGCGCCCTGTGACTCCTCGACTTGAACGCTTTGGGATGGTAAGCCCTCTCAGTCCGATATTGGTGCAAACTTACTCATTCACTGTGGGCACACTTCAGCCGTCGACCTCTCCAGCCAGTTTGAAAGCGAGTCTACCTTCACCAGCCAACTTGAAGGCGAGCCTACCTTCACCAGCCAACGGGAAGGAGCTCACCATTTTGGAACCTGTCAATCGCGACGGAGAGAAATCGGTCCGTCGATTTCTTCCTGGCGTTCTAGTCAAGTTCGGTTGGGACCACGAGGAGGAAGTCCGGGCACTGCAGTTCATTCATGGACGTCTATCCGTTCGTACGCCACGTGTCTTGCATCACGCTCCCTTTCCCAACGCTTTTGTGGAGCCTCGGGATTGGGGAAGGAAGGGTGTTTGGTTTTTTTTCATGGAGGAATGCCCAGGAGTGCCTCTGGATGGCGTCATCGACACCATGTCCCCTACCGAGCTCGACCATATCGCCGATCAACTCAGCGTCATTCTCAACGAGATGCGGTCATTTAAGAGCACGGTGCTTGGATCTCTGTCCGGCGGACCGTACAACAACCGTTTCATGCCTTACCCCTGGAACCCTTCTCGCCCATTTTCAAGCGTTGAGGAGTACCTTCAACACAATCGCGGCATGTTCCTTGAATTCTGCGGGTTGGAATACGTGAACGACTTGTTCAGCTGCTTTCCGACCGACTCCTCGGTCTACCTCACCCACGGCGACCTCTTACCTCGTAACATTCTCGTCTGTGGATCTACGATTACCGCCATTATCGATTGGGAGACGGCCGGCTTTTATCCTGAGTTCTGGGAATATTGCCGCATGCATTACCCGGGGCTCATGACACCGGGCTGGGCGCACGTCCTTCATCGCATATTTCCCGAACCCCGTCGGGAGAAGCAGATCGAAGCAGTTGCTCGGATTATTAATGACCTCCATTACAACAGTTGCTTTTGAGTGTGACCACCTTCGTGAGTTCGAGTCAATCTGGTCTCTTCTTGGTTATTCAATTATTCATGTACTTCACGGCTTCTAATTAGAGATGGATCGTTCGCCGGACTGTCGTCATTACCCTATTGCCTGTCGTGTATTATTCAGGAATATCATGCACTTTCCGTGCTAGCGGATAGAATGGCGCGGATCCTACCTCTCTTTATGGCGGTCAAGTTCGCTGACCGGACTGGGACGTCGCAACGCACGTAGTTCATCTCGACCCTGTGACGCTGACATATCTCAACATCCTTCAACCTGCTCACTTCGTGTTCTAGCCGACGACGTTGTTCTCAGGAATTTCCTTGGCCAACTACCGCAACGTGTCGAAATGCGTGGTCATGGCACTGCGTGTATCTTGTTGAGAGAATATCTCGCAAGGGGCTCGCTGAAAGACTTTGTCTACCTACCTACTTTGCGACTCACACGCCGATGCTGCTCCATCACACGATCAGGCGCTAATCACGTACAGCTCTAGGCAGAGTCGGTGTTCATCGCCCGCAGATCAGTGCATCATTTTTCAAAACACGAACTTAAGCTGATAGGAACACATCCAAGCTTATTCATTCGCTGTGCTTATCTTAGTAGGTAGGATGCAATACAAAATAAGATCTGGCTGGAGTCGTCGAACTTCAGCACGAACTACATCCAATCCACACAAAAGCGCAAGCTCGAGCGCATTACACAGAAAATTACAAGGGAAGGAGTGTAGCGTCTGAACTCAGCAGCCTTGTTGCTATTCTCGTCGCGCTCACCCTGAACACCGTTGGTTGGTGGAGGTAGACTCGCTTTCAAACTGGCTGGAGAGGTCGACGGCTGAAGTGTGCCCACAGTGAATGAGTAAGTTTGCACCAATATCGGACTGAGAGGGCTTACCATCCCAAAGCGTTCAAGTCGAGGAGTCACAGGGCGCGTAAGTTGTGTGGCATGCTGTAGAGCGGCCATAGGTACCGGTGAGTATAAGGAACGACTGTCAAGATCCTGCACGAAGGTTGATTTATGAGCCTATGTAGGCCATAGGTAACTTACATAAGCTTTATACGTACCAGATCGGGACTTGATCCTAATCGGCGCTCTCGGCGTCTGTGTGGCACCTGTAATGCCAGGTCGGCTCGAGCTCGACCTCCCGTTGGAGCCGCCATCAACGGTGAGAGCTTGCAGCGGCATGAAATACTTCACAATCCTGAAGGGACTCGCAGACGTCCGTCTACATGAAAAGTATGTGGTTGTGCGCTCTATGTGGCGAGGTTCATCCTTGTGTCAGTACTGATCGATTATCGCCACAACCGGGAGAAGGGCAAGCGACTTATTGTACAATTGAGAATCTCGCTCGTGAAACGAGACCGAGCTGCAGTAGCATCAGGCCCTAAAACATGTTTGGAACCGGTACCATCCGAAGAACCGGTACCAATCATGTTATACAAGGCTCACCTTGCGGACTGTGACACCAGGAACATCCTCAGCAATTGTCTGGGCAGCATCTAGAACTCCCATTATAATCATGGGCGCCGCACTAGAAGTCGTCAAGAAGTGCAGGAAGAATGACTCTTGCTCTCCGGTATGGCTGTTTTTACCTAGTTGGGATCCTGACCACAATCGTTTCGTGAGGCCATTGGAGGCGACGCCGCGCCCATGCTGCATGCGAACAGCATGAATATACAAGCACATCTCATCAATTTTTATCGCATCTTCATCACATCTTTCTCCAAATGTCTGGTAGCATATGTTCTGTGCAGCAGCGTCCGTGAGATCAAGCTACAGCATCCGTTGACATCTCGGTATAAAAGCTGTCTCTGCGAGCCCGAATCTGCCAGCACCCAAACACACTAGCTCCATCTACCCATCACAGACTTTCAGAACTGTTACCGGTGAGAAATCTGCAAGCAGTATGCCACGCTACGTCATCTCACGTTCACTGTTGCCCACAAGTCATGCTGGCTGCTGCTCGCCACGGTTTAGCGAACGAATACCCTGATGACGACAGTACGAAGGAAGTTGTCCTACAGGCTGACGGATTACAACATGCGGGCACTGGCGACCGACACGTTCTCATGCGTTGGTTAAATAAGATGGACGGCGATGGCGCTCACATCACTCAGATTGTCCAACTCACTGGCGGACCTGGCAACTACAACTTCTTCACACCTGTCGTGAAGAAGCAGTCCGAGAACTCTCGCAACAGTAACACATTTTACTCTCTTGGACAGTACACCAGGGTGCAGCGTGACCAGATTATCACGCTCGCGAAGGCGGTCCAATATGACAAGAGATCGCGTGTTAACAGCTGTCGGACCTGGACGCGTGATCTTCTCGAGGCTATAGTCAAAGCCGGTCTGCTATCCCAGACCAAGTTCGAGGAGATCGACACCGGGGTTCCGCTCAGGAAGCGTGTTCCTGAGCTCCTTGAGGACGCTGCTTGAGCTTGGCAACACTTCTCCGCACACAAGGGTAATATAGTCGTTGCGCCTCTCCTGCATTCACGCATCACGCTTACGCCATCTCTAGCACAGGGATTGCGTGTTTGCAGTAAACAACCCATTTTCCTCCGATTTACCTATTGTACGATGTACGTGTAGCAAAAGATGTCGGGGAACTTGTTTTGTTGTACTTTCAATCTGCACTGGACTATCGAGTTCTCGAGCGAATTGTTTCACATATCCATATCCAAACGAAACCGATGCATCAGTCCATATCATTGATTCAGGCAGACCCTCAATCTGACGTGTACACTGAACAGATGGGGTTTCCTGTCATAAATGGATGCTCCGAAGCATTTGACGAAACTTCGACGGTCAATACTACTCGAAGCTAATCAGAATTAATCTAGCCGACCAGATCGAGATGATAAATGAGCCATCTGAAAGCGACCGCGAAGCGGCTGAGCGTAGAGGCTTTTCAGCTGGAAATGATGTTGAAGGGCACTCAAGATCTCAACCGCGCGAAGAATCCAGAGCTTGAATAGTTCATGCAAGATACTCTACGTTAGTGTTCATTGCATCACGGGCTGTGGCGATGTACTGTACACGGCATAACACAATTAGAGCCACAGGCGTACTATGCGTACTTTTCGTACTAGCTATGAGATGGCTAAGATGAGCAAGAATCTATATCTATATGATCACAGATCACGCCCGCTTCCCGACGAACTCTCGCCATGACCTGACTTCAGAGGGTATTTTGCCTTCGGTGTATTTCCGCAGACCGCCCTGGGGTATCTTTTGTGCGAGCGCCTCCACGAAGAGCTGGGCGCAGCGCGGGTTGTTGAGCAACGGCAGACCAAAATCGACGGCGTTCCTGCGAAAGATTGTCAGAAATATGTTTTGCTGGACATCAGGCACGACTCACCTGCGAGCGACATAGTCCTCGTCCGTCGCATCCTTGCCGCGCGTCTTCGCCAGGTTGATCACACATTCGATGTCGTATTCGTCGAAGACCTCGCGCAGCTTGCGCTTGTCCTTCGTAGGGAAGAATATCCGCTTCGCTGAGACGTACGGGATGTTGTTGAGGTATTCTTCAACAATGGAGGACGAGCAGTAGAGCTTGAAGCCGAGGTTGAAGAGACCCTGCGCAACGCCTTTCATCTCCGGCGCGTGAATGTCGCCGCCGATAAGGACACCGGTGTTCGCGCGCGGAATTTTGAAGCCTGTCGTGCTGAGGAGGGCGGTCCAGTACGCTTCATGGATGTCCTTGCCGAAGCTAGCGACTTCTCCGGTGCTAGCCATCTCTGTACAAATTATTAGTGGCCACGCACACGCGAGTCTGCAAGCAGTTAACTCACCAACTCCGAGGAATGGATCAGCACCAGCCAGTCGAGTCCACGAGAACTGAGCGACCTTCACAGCAGTGTAGTTGCGCTTCTCGGCCATGAGATCCACAGGCTCCGGAACGTCCTGTCCGACGATAGCCGCGGTGGCCACATCGATGAAGTTATGCCCGAGCACCTTCGAGACGAAGGGGAACGATCGGGATGCCCGAAGATTACACTCGATGACCTTCAATTGCGCCTCCTCGCCGGGCGCTTCGGCTGGCTTGCGGATGATCTGCATGTTGAACGGCCCAGAGATGTCAAACGCCGCAGCAACCTTCTCTGCGATCTGCTTCAGGCGCTGCATGTCACTCTCGGGGAGCGACGTGGGCGGCAGCACGAGCGTCGCATCGCCGGAGTGGACGCCGGCGTTCTCAACGTGCTCGGAGACGGCGTGCACGAGGAGCTTGCCTTTGTGTGCGACGGCATCCACGTCGACTTCCTGCGCGTTGTCGATAAACTTCGTTATGACAACCGGGTGGAGCGGAGAGACATCTGCTGCGGCGGACAGGTTGTGCTCGAGGGTCGACTCTTCATATACCACGTTCATGGCGGCTCCCGACAAGACATAGGACGGACGAATCAAAACCGGGTAGCTTGAGCCATCATCAGTAAGTTCACGCATTGTTTACAGATCTGTCAAACGCACCCAACACGCTTCGCGAACTCCTTGGCAGCCTCCACGGACGATACCTCGGTCCATTCAGGTTGGTCGACGCCGACACTGTCCAAAATGGACGAAAACTTATGACGATCCTCGGCACTGTCGATCTTCTCAGGGTCAGTGCCAAGCACCTTAACGTTGTGGTGTTTCAAGCGCAGGGCGATGTTTTGAGGTAGCTGACCTGCAGCAGAAATGTCAGCACGAGTTCCACGTTGATCACTCGTTAACGCAAGCAAGACTCACCGCCGACGCTCACAATGACACCGTGCGCCTGCTCCAACTCGTAAATGTCCATCACCCGCTCATAGCCAAGTTCCTCGAAGTACAACCTGTCAGCCTCATCGAAGTCCGTCGACACCGTCTCCGGATTGTAGTTTATCATGATCGTCCTGTTCCCCATCTCGCGCAGCTTACGCGCACACGTCACTGCGCACCAGTCGAACTCGACGCTGCTGCCGATGCGGTACACGCCGCTCCCGAGCACCATTGTGCCGTGCTCGTCGAAGTCGACGTCGTGCTCGGACGCGTTGTACGTCGTGTAGAGGTAGTTCGTGTGCGCGGGGTACTCGGCGGCGAGCGTGTCGATGCGCTTGACGAAGGGTGTGATGCCAACTGACTTGCGGTGCGCACGGACGGTGTCTTCCTTGGATGAGACGAGATCGGCGATGTGTGCATCAGAGAAGCCCATGCGCTTCGCGCGCTGCATGAGCTCGCGGTCGATCTTCTCGATGGAGCCGGCTTCCTTGAGCGCATAGACCGTCTGGACGATGTTGTCGATCTTATACAGGAACCACTGTGTAGGGCAATTAGCGTCGATGTATTTGTCTGCGCTTATCCTGCGTGTACCTTGTCGACCTTCGTCAGTTCATGAATCTTGTCGACATCGTACTTCCTGTTGAACATCGCATATGCAATGGCGAACAAGCGCATATCCGTCGGCTTGGAGAGTGCACGGTCCAGGTCTTCGGGCTGGATGTACGCTTCGAAACCCTTCCAGCGCGGATCGACCTGGCGGATGGCCTTTTGCAAGCTCTCCTCGAACGTTCGTCCGATAGCCATGACCTCTCCTACGGACTTCATCGACGAGCCCACCTCACGGTCCACCTGCGACGAGAACTTCGCCAAATCCCACTTCGGGATCTTTGTGACGATGTAGTCCAGCGAAGGTTCGAAGCACGCCGTCGTGGTCTTAGTCACCGCGTTCGGCAGCTCTGGTAGTGTATGTCCGAGAGCGATCTTTGCGGCCGTGTACGCGAGAGGGTAACCTGTAGCCTTTGATGCAAGAGCACTGAAGCATAGCTTAATATCACGATATTGCGAACGAGTGATTGTCTTACCTGGAACGACTCAGCCGAGCATTGACTTCGATGACGCAGTATTCCCTGGACGTTGGGTTTAGCGCATACTGGATGTTGCACTCGCCAATAACGCCTAGATGCCGAATGACCTTGAGAGCAGCCGACCGAAGCATGTGGTACTCGTCATCCGGGAGTGTCTGCGAAGGCGCGACGACGATCGAATCACCAGTGTGTGTACCGAGAGGATCGAAATTTTCCATGTTGCAGCAGATGATCGTGTTCTTGTTCAGCAAAGAAATCCGGTTAGCTGGTAAAAGCTTTCTAACATGCAATACGTACATCCGCAGCGTCACGAACGACCTCGTACTCGAGTTCTTTCCAGCCTTTCATGCTCCGTTCAATGAGGACCTGCGGGCTCAGACTAAGACTCTTCGCGGAGAGGTCACGCAGCTCATCCGGGTTGCTCGCAAAACCAGATCCGAGACCACCCAAAGTGAATGCAGACCGTAAAATGACCGGATAACCAATCCGTTCTGCGGCAGCAAGAGCATCGTTGACCGAAGAGACAGCAGTGGATTGCGCGACCGGAATATCGATCTCTGACGACAGAATATCAGCTACGTCCACTCTAACGATGGATGCGGTGTAAATGCAGAAATGGCAAGAGCAAACCGTGTTAAGGACGGATGTCTGGCAGATAATCTAAGTGCCAACCCTATGCTAGTGTTGTGTCACGTGACTAGTCAGAGGGAGCGGAAGCGAGGAACGAAAGAGGCATCGTGACGACTGAGAGATGTTAGCAAAGAAACAGAAGAAGCACAAAACAACGAACAAACTGAATGAAGACTTACCCTTCAAGGCCTGGACGAAAAGATCACGATCTTCCGAAACCTCTAATGTCCGAATTGGGGTGCCGAGCACCTGCACGCCTAACCGTTCGAGAATGCCCATCCTGTCGAGCTCGATGCCTACGTTGAGCGCGCTTTGTCCACCAAAGGTCAGAAGAATTCCATCTGGGCGCTCCTTCTCCAAGACATAAGCGACATAATCTGCAGTGATAGGCAAGAAGTAGACTTCCGAGGCCAGCTGGTGAGATGTCTGCCACGTAGCAATGTTGGGATTGATTAGAACAGCCTCTACACCCTCCTCGCGAAGCGCCTTCAGCGCCTGAGAGCCAGAGTAGTCGAACTCGCCGGCCTGGCCGATGCTGAGACCGCCACTACCGACAATGAGGACTTTTTGGACATTAGGACGCGGAATCTTCGGCAGGACCTTTGCAGATATCTTTCGAGCAAGTTCAGAGGGAGAGCTCAAAATGTGTTCGCCATCTTCATGACCGTACGAGCCGACTGCAGAGCGCGCGATCGCCTGGACAGGTCGCGTAGGAATTGGAACAGATCGCGGACGAGAGACATGGAACCGACGAGAGAAACGAGTATGTCGATTCACGTCAAATATTCGCGAACTCCAGGATGTCGGAGGTCGCAAGAGACCCATCCTGCGAGAGGGAGGAAAGAGAGACCAGAGCCTAAGTGACTCGGGCGCAAAAATGGATCTTTGCCACTGAGTCGTCACAGGTTTCCCACACCACCGATTAGGTTAATCCGGTATCAATTGATCTTGCTTCTTCAGCGGTTGTATCCGTTAGTTCGAGCTGCAAGAAAATACTCAGTTCAAGCAAGCTGCATTTCCTATCCCTGAGCTAGACAGAAGATATAGAATTTCGCACCATGTGCATGTTACGAATTTGTATTCCAGGGTTCCGCTGATCGTAGGACCGAAGACTCGCGCGAGAGTTTACCGATTATACTAGTCCTGTCTTTTCCTCACGTATTCCCAGCGTGAGCCAGCCTATTCTGAAGATACGGAAAAGTTCAGTAAAAAAACCTCGTCTCCACAAGGTCTGTTAAAACTGTGCATTCTAGATCGTTTGCCCGCATTGTTGGTTCGGTAGTGTTAAGTCACGTAATCGTGACACATTTGTGACACCACGTTACGCGCTGTTCAAACCTCAGCGCTCAGCTTGCGGAGCTGTTGCAACGACTTGTGCTTACACTCACTTTGACCTTCCTGTGCCAGCCCAAGTCCCACGACGCAGGGCATCAAACCTTTGGGACTGACGGACATACCTTTGAAGATACTATGGCCTTCGGATTGACTATCGGAACACCGCGTGCAACGGCTCTTCAGGTTTGTTCTGACATAGCCTCGCAAAGCAATTATTCATCACATTGCTATCATAGAACTCGATCCAAGATGAACTAATGAGGCGGGGCTACAGTCAGGATGCAGGTTCGTTCCTGTTGGAGGTTGTTACTGGATGATATTGACAATTGTATAGACCAGGTCATGGCGGAATACATCACGATCATGATCATTAACAACAAGACCTCAGGTGTGTATGGGACGCACATATCTCCTCCAAGGATCGCGACTTATCATGATGCAGAACAAATCAACTCGGAGTTGTTAGACTGTGAGCGTCGGGCGTGCATGACTGCCTGTTACCATGACTGATGAATCTTTTCAGTGATAGGACCAGATTTAGGTTAGTCGCTATCTACACGAATGGCGAGCCTGTATACTGAATTGTATCCAGAATCGGACTTCGTTGAGTGGCTGTTCGCCGAAGCCGCTAAAGGAGCCCCAGAGTCTGTTGCACCCCCCACCGCTGAATCACCAACATCGGTGCAAACGCCCACTGGCGAATCGGCTCCATTCGTCGTCGGCGCCAACGAAGGCGGGCGGCGTGCTGTTGGAAAGCCGCGACCCAGTGCACCTCTGTACCAGCAAGCACTAAATCAAGCCTTCCCCGCCTCCGCCGGGCAAAAGCGCCCTATGTCCGCACGATCTCCCTCCCCGGTTCACTTGAACAAGGCGCGGCGTATGGACCTTCCCACTGGTCCACGCGCGATGTTCCGGGATGGACAGGGCGCGGTTCACGGCGGAGGAGGGGGTTCGCGGAGCCTGCTAGAGCGGGTGGGCCCGCCGCGCAATGGACCTAACTCGCGCGCACAGGACGACGTTCAGATGCGCATCGACAACATCACAGCGAGCTCGCCTGACGCAAATATGATGATGATGGGTGGTTTCCCGATGGCCGGAATGGACATGGGCCAGATGAACGTCACGACGCCTGTGATGCTCCAGGAGATGATGATGGGCCAGATGGCGCTGATGACACAGATGGCGAGCGCGATGGGCATGATGGGCCAGGGGCAGTACGCGGGCGGTGGTGGGTTCCCGATGCAGCAGCAAGGCATGGGCAACGATATGGGCTTTGGCGAAATGCAAGGGCACCATATGAATGAGGGCATGGCAGGCAGAGGGCGCGGAAGAGGACGGGGAGGCATGAGAGGCACTGGTCGAGGGAGGGGAGGGGCGCCAGGGCTGCAGGCAGTGTCTCAGCCGACAGATGTCCCAATGGATGGCGTGCAGCCAGCTCCGGCACAGATAATCAGCCCCGCGCTATCTATGCCTATACCGACGCCGGCAGCGGCGTTTCCCGCGACAGCTACAGGCACTCCAGCGATATACAATCTTGCGGCTCAAGTGCATCCTGCCTTCGTCCCACCGGAACGACCACAATCTCCTACACTCTGCAAGTACGGAGTCAAATGCACCAATCCACTCTGTCGGTACTCGCATCCTTCACCCGTTGCGACTGTCGACAGCGGCGTCGTGACCAGCAAGGAGGCATGTCAGGAGGGCAAGTATTGCAAGGACCCGCATTGCACAAAGATGCACGTCAGCCCTGCTGTACTCAAATCCAGTGGTGAGTAATTGTGCAGAACATACGCAAGATGACTTTTACTGATGTCCTCCCATCACAGCCGAACAACTACGGCCAAGTAAATTCACCTTCGTCGCTCCTCCCGTCACCCATGGGCAATCGCAGATGCCTTGCCGATATGGGGCCTCCTGCACGCGTCCAGACTGTATCTTTCAGCATCCTGGCCGTCCCCCCCATCATGTGCCTCCTTCTTCCACTCCTTGTCGGTATGGAGCTGCGTGCACGCGCGAATCATGTCCCTACCAGCATCCCAAGGGCCGGGCAGCGTTGCCATCGACATTCCACCGTGGGTTGACACCGACGGGACCGATGGTTAATGTATCCACGTCTGGGACAAGATCATTTGGCACGCAGGGTTTCAACAAGAGTGTAACTTTCAATAAGCCTGATTCCGCGGCAATCGAAAAGCGCCTGAAAAAGATGGAGGAGGAGAAGAGCCAGGCAGAGAAGGCGATCGCGCAGGCGGAGGCCGCCGCCGCAGAAAAGAAAGACGAGGCGATGGCCGTCGGCGCATGAAATGACGCTGCGTCATCGCTTCGATGTCTCCGTATCAAATGTCTTGAAACGTGCGGATCATGCTAACTGTAGATAGTTGTACTCTCAGTGCTCTGAATCGTGTGTTTGCTCCTAGTCACGTCGTTTTTCTACTACTTGCGTATCTATCCACAGGCATACGAAGGGGGCAATGAAATGTATAATATGCGGCTGTCTGTGCAGACACGACAGCCGGCCCCCCTTCGATGTGGACTTGCTTCCGCCAGCGTTGTAACATATGACGGAGCGTTGGCCCCGTCGATCCCTAGGTAAGCGGCGACATCGGATCAAGGACTCTGATTTGTCAAAGCGGGGCCAGGTAGTGTGAGGCATGTGTATGGACCACAGTATGTTCCATTAACACAGTGCACGCCGGTAGGTCGATTGGAGAAACTAAAGTACACAACAAGAACACGCCCAAGAAGATACATAGCAGTATACAATGCTAGGTGAATATCATCTGCACACGGCAGAGGTATCCGATGGTAGATAATGAATAATTTAGCGAGTCAAGGATGTGCGCGCTTTGCTCGAGATCGCGTCTACACGCCATCGGAGCCATCACTCTGCGACAATCCACCGAGTCTGCTCATGCGACCTTTTCTTGACATTTACCATGGTACTTTGTGAAGTTTCTCATACCGCGTGTTTGCCGAGGAGGCGTGGACCACAGATATTGTTCGAGAGCGAAATCATGAAGGGATTGACATTACAGCAAATTACAGCGTAGATGTGGTAGTAAAAATGTGCCGAATCAATTCAAACCGTGAGATGAATAAAGATATTGCTCATCTATGTTAAAATGCGTAGAAGATTCCGTCCGTCCATGGGTCAAGATTGCAATGAAATCGTGATTGTCATGACTGTGATAATTCCTCCTCATGAGTCTCTTCTGTCGACGGTCGCAGCTCACGCAATGGTATCTGATGGGTAGAGTCGGAAGCGACAGATCTAGACATAGATTGACTGCGCTGTCGAGAGGCTCGACGACGGCTTTTTTCGCTTCTCCCGTCAGGAACGTGTCCATTAGGGATGTCTGGCCGGTGATCTTCGGGAAGTCCTTCTTGATCTCCATCCTTCGCGGGCTCGTAGAATTCCGCCGGCAACATGACAGCTCGATCAATAGCGACAGGTAAGCCACGATGCCTTCCTCGCAGCATGACTAGGCAGATGATAAGTTTCGATAGGGGCCTCAATGCCCCAGAAAATGAGTAATTGTCCTAAACGGATACATCATTATCCATCATCTGATAAAATCGGATGCTGATTTCTCTACTCACATAGGGCACGCCGAGACTCAGGCCGACGCCACCGTATGCAGAGACGATTTCAAAAACTGACGCATAGTCAGTAGAATGGCTTCCATAGAAGTCGCACGATCTACTCACGGATCCTGAATATGTTGAACCATGAGCTGTTTGACTCATCTTCCAGTCCGTCTCGCTGCGTATGAAGCTACATTAGCGAAAAATCTGTACTTGCTCATCAATGGCTGTACCTCGATGATACAGACCAGGACCAGTGCAGTTCCGAGCCACCACATATCTAAGACAACGGGTGAAAACACGTTCAACCAGTTACATCGGAACATACCGAACGAGAGCTGCTTCCGCATGTGCGTGGCCAAATAACGACTCCAGACTGTTACTCGATTTTCCCTTGGATCAAAAAGACTGGCTGTCGCGTCATTGTCGTCTTCATATATCCCCAAGGACTTCTCCTCGTAAACATTTGTCGAACGCACACTTTTAACGTCATCAGTAGTGCTAAATTCGAATAGCAGACATAGCCACCTCATGGCGAGCGGGTCTGCGCATTATCAGCGAGCGCTACACGCAAAAAACGATTCGGGCACTCACAAACACTGATGTACATCATCATGACATAAAGTGTTCTAACGAGGTTACGGGTTAAGATCGCACAACCCGAAGCATGTGGACTTACTTCACGGCCGGAGCAAGGTTGGCCAAGTTCACAGTGCTGAAGCCTGCAGATCTCACTGCAACCGCTTGAAGTAAGCCAACGAGTACTCGATCGCCTGGGGGTATTGTCATGACGGTAGGATTGCCCAAGTCCAGAACTTCAAAACAGAACCAATCCGTGCCGCTTTGGACAGGAAACAAGACCAGTTAGAGTGAGAGCTGTGAACTTGTAAAGAAGGACCTACTTTAGAGCGATTAGTACTAAAACGAGAAACCACGTCTGATAAGAAGGAAACAGGTATATATAGCATCGCCGGGGATGGTCTAGTAAGAAGTGCAGCGTCTCCCTAATTCGCGACCCCTGCGGAACAATCTTGCTGAGAGTCCATCTGTGCTGGGCTTTATGATCTGCAGTGCGGGAAAGAAATAAAGATGCCTACATTGTCACACGTAAGCTGAACGAAGCGGGGGAATAATTAGAAGAATAGCGTCGCGAGTCTCATTATCACACTTACAATATCGGCTGACGAATCACGGCAGGAACAATGAGTAGTGAGATACGCACGAGATATTCGATTACTCACAAAGGCAGTGTACCCGGCCAATATCAGGAAAATCATGAAGAAGATCATCGGGTAAGCTCGCTGGAAAGGTATCATCGATTCGTCCTCGAGGGACATTCCACTATTAGTGTAGGAAGTGACCACCTGGAATGCTGCGAACCTAGTCAAAAGCCCCTTAGACGTGAAGGCATCGAACACCAGACAAAACGATACTTACCACACTGGTGAAACGTCTCTGTACAGCTGGGGAGGTTTGAAGTCGCTCGCCCATCGTGGGATTGACATGTACGGTGCGATCACGACGAATGCTAGCAATTGAGTCATGATGTGATACTAGCAGAATATGAGAGAACGCTAAATTATCGTCAATGAACACACACCCCGCCCACAATCCAAAGCAAGGCGCCGAGCGCGCGATACTCCACTCCCCCTAACTCTTCCAGCTGTTCCTTCGTGAGGCTCTTAAAGGTCGAATTGCGCCCGACAACAGCCTCGAAGCTAATGTATGAGACAGGTCGCGCTCCCGGTGCCATCGAGCCATGCTGCGAAACGATCGTCCTCGTCCGCGGCATGGTCATAGTACGGGTCAGCTTGCGCTTCAAGTTCGGGAACAACCGACCGAACAAGCGTGACCCGATCTCCAAAGGCATCGGGAAGCCTCCAAATTCACCGTGCGACGTATTCCCATCCTCGCGGCGGCTGAAAGAATATGCATCATAGCTCTCTGGGTAGGACAACGTCGGCCGACGCATCGGACCTGCAACGAACACACTGTGAGACGCAAGCATGCGGCAGTGATGGAGGTGTTACAGACGTCGATAGTCAAACTCAGCCTGATCGCTACGCTGCGACAGAGTACTTTGCAAATGTCGAGCAAGAGGCCTCTCTGCGGAACGCGCGTGGCGCAAAGGACGGGAAGAAGCCGCAAACTCTATCGTCTGCTGACGAGGGAACGTGCCCTGCCTGTTCTGTGCGGCACTTGCAGTAAAAGTTGAGCGAGGCGACGGCTCCTCCGGTTCTGTGGAAAACAGTTAAGCATTGTGGACTGATGGGCGGTTAGTCTGTCACAGACCTGAGATCGGTGAGTCCGTCATCGGCGCGGACTCTGACAACATACGAGCAGGCCTGATGTCATCAGGACCTTTGACAGCTTTCTCGCAATGGGTAGGACTCACTCCTTCTGCTGCTTGCCCTCCTCGTACGTACCCTGATGATCGCCTGTGTCCGCAAAATCAGACTCAGAGTCGGTCCTGGTGGAAGAGGTCGTTCCAGAGACGGTGTCGGACTGATCTGCAGGCTCCTTTACGAGCGGCCCACCCGGTGCGGCAGCGTTGACAAGGGCAGGGTTGTCAATATCTGAGAACGCGAGATACCGCAATGGAGAGGGAACGTCGGGCTCGTGAGTACCGTCCTGATCGAAACCGTGTCCTGTCGCGACCTCTGGCCGGCCCTCGCTGATCCAGCCGCTTGGATTGACTAGCCTCGGTGCATCATCCGTGCGACGGACCATATCCGTGCGCAGCCCGCCTCGAGCATCCCGGGATGAACTCTCCACGCTCTCGCGGCTGTTGATCGAACGAGTGTTGCGGGGAAGGAGCGATTCCAGTGCACGCCGCCACCATGGAACCAGCTTGACATGAACTGGCTCGTGATATTTGTGAGCCAGCTTGCGCGCCATGTCGGCTTCCATAATATGCTGGAACCTTTTCGCGAAAAAGCTCCTGCTCTTGATATTGGCACGCGGTCAGAGATGAGAACAAGAAGCACACACCTTCGGACGTAAACAATCACCCACGAGACAAAAATCTGTGTTGGGATCAGAGGATGCGATGGCAGAGCTTGGCTCGATGCACTGACCGGACTGCCAAGACACATTTGGGCAAATAAGAGGAACTGTTGAAGCGGAGTCAACTTGCTCAGATCGATGGATGCCAGACCGCAGACCATCATTGCGCTAACACAGGTGAACAAGCAATCAATGTAGGGTATGTGGTATTTGCCATTGACCGCGTAGAATATGCCTGAGAAGATGAGCGGCGTGAACGTGCTGTGATAAGAGAACGTTAGCGCAATGCACCTGCATGCGTCAATGAGCGGCAATAAACTTCTGTTCCAGTATGCAATATTCCCAATGTTGTACGGACAAACTCTCTGACGTGGTCATTCGAGAAGCGAGGCAGCTCAGTAGCCGTACTGGGGCCGCAGATAGCCCGAAATGATATGACAACCACACACAGGGAAGAAGACTTACAAAACAAGAATATGGATCCGGTAGAAGTTGAGATTGCTGAGAATGTAGGAGCCTGCATCCTGAAGCCGATGCAGCCAGTTACGAGAAAGGCGACGTGAGGGCAAGGAGGGCATTCGCAAAGTCGGGGCCGCTCAGAGACGAGAGAAGGCGCTACACGGCCAGGTGTCTTGCGGCTCGTCCTGTTAGCTGGTTAGGCTCATATGAATATATTCTGGGAGGAACGATGAGGCCTTGAGGATGAGCAGATGGTTGCAATGTGCAGAGCTGGCCGACTCCTGCGCGCCACTTGCCAGCCACAGCATTTCATCTCCGCCAAGTACCATTCAGCTTGCGCTACCACTGCAACTGTCTCGGATTTCGCATTCTATTCTACTTTTCAGCGGTCGTACTCTGTCTGCGATTTTGTCGCTACAGAAGCTTGGGCTCTAGAGAACACTTAAAATAGTTTTTGAGTTAACAAGGCGCCAAGTCAACCGATACGGATGTAATCGCCAGCCACAGTGCCGGGATGTTCATTTGATAGTCCGATCCGGCACCACTGAAAGTGGTCATTCTCCGACACAACTCAGCTCGAATAGGCCAAACCTCCCAGTCCAAACCTCCCAATGTTAAGTTAACGATTCTGGTCTCTGACAGCCACCACTCCTTGTATCACCGTGTGCAGGCTGGTCCATGGTTGATAAAGTCATGAATGACATTCTGTCATATGAGCAAGCAAGCTCCGGGACAGCATAAACAACATCTTCACACGACAGACATGATGCGATTTAAAAATGTGGAAAATAGTGTGGGAATGTCGGCTGATGTCTTACACTTGTGATAAAGGTTTGCCAATGTAGCATTTAAACGGCAAATAGCGCACATTTGCAGCCAAAGGGAAACGTTTTCGACATGAAATGCCATGGTTGCAAATATTTGTCGCATGTGTAAGAAATCAGTCGACATTCACACACAATTTCCCACATTGATAAATCGCATCATGTCTGCCGTGTCACTGTAAGTAGCCGTACCGTACACCTTCCACGCACAAGTCAACAATCTGAGTAGGCAGCCTCGTCTGTGACACTTGCCCGCACATCCTATGATTCTATTATGCATTGAAATTATGCCTGGACGGGAGAAAGGCGAATTGCATGATGTCACGATTGCATCTATGGGCCTATAATAATATCCAGCTTTCTCTCTCTTGCTGAGTCGAACTGCCACTTCCGTTGGCAGATCTTTCAGTTCTGGGTGATCGTCATCGCGCTTCGACAGTAACATCAGGCGATGTATGATGCGCATTGCGAATTGGATTCTGAAATATTGAAAATATTGCACAGACGGGGTCAATCCTCGCTGTGGGAGGCGTCAGAAAGATACGTAGTCATGATATATTGTGAGGAACTGACTCCGGTGTTTCTCGTCGTAAGAAGAGATCTATTGCCGCTGAGAATGCCGCAAAAGCGACACCACCGCCGAAGGCAGCCTTTGGGCCAGCATTTCGCGCGAGAACACCACCAGCAACGAAACCGGCCGCGATCGGGTTCACCATGTCGTTCTTTGCGCGATACTAAGCAGATGAAGGTCAGCTTGTAGACTCCAGCGGGTCCCATCATAGTACTCACCGATTCTATCACGCACTCAATGCCGGCGAACAGTGCGCCGACTTTTCCGAACCCTTTCCCACTTCGCCACATACCGCGCCCCATCTCTTTGAACACCTCCGAAGCCTTCTGCGTTCTGCTCAAGTTACCGGTCTGCTGCCGTAATAGCGGATCCTCATAGGCAAATGAAGCGCTCATAAGTGAAAAGAACGCTCCGATTGCAAAACCTATCCCGACACGAAGACTTCTAAAACATGTCCGGAGCTGAAGGTCAAGCTGGGAGACGGAAACGTACCTCCGCCGCCTGCAATGATGGTTTTCGCTACGCAGGATTCCATACCCTTAGTCATATAGTCTTGATATTTCTTCGCTTGCAGGTAGTTCTCTCGTTCTTCCTCTGAAATTCCTGGAGGTAGTGGCTCCTTGCCGGCAGGAAATATCGGTGCGACCATTGGGATTGAAGTCATGACTGTGTTTGAATAAATCAAAAGTCCCTGCGATAGTTTCTCTTCTAGAAATTGGGTGGATGCGGCAATACACTACACCCTGTGCAAGACCCAATAACGACAGTACTCGTAGAATGTGGGGCCGAGTGTGAGTTGGGTTAGAAAGAGATATGAACAGTGCGAATGTAATTATCCCATATTTTTTGCACCCGGAGATTGCCGACGGTCGAATCAGTCAGGTGCTTTTGGATGATCGGCAATCTCCGCAGCCGCGTAAAAGAATTGCAATTCGTAGATGAGCGCTTATGAGACCTCTACGTCAAACTTCACCGCTAACAATGCTACCTCCTGCCTTTAACCGAGAAGAATCCGCGCAACCTGATCCAGATGCAGCTATACGTTTAACGGACACGGACGCTGCGTTGGCTCGTCTCTCAGCTGTCCAGAAACACTATCTAAGTGACCCGTTCACTCGATACTTTGCACCTCGTGCCTATCTGCAGCCCTCGCGTCCACCACTCATCAACATCGGCACGTACGTGCGTTCCGAGGCATTAGACAAGCTCGTCAATCAATGGCTTGAACTGTCAGAACAGCAAGGCCTTCCATGCCAGATCGTGAGCCTAGGAGCTGGAAGTGACACGCGATTCTGGCGTATCACGGTACGAAATACTTTAATACCCTGAATGAAGTCATTTCTGATCATGCTCGTAGTCAGACAGGACCGAGAAAGTCATGGTTGAAGGCATACTTTGAGCTTGACTTTCCAGAGGTAACCACTAAGAAGGCGATGGCTATACGGAAGAGCAGGGACTTGAGCGCTGTTCTAGGCAAGCCGGAAGACATTACAGTAGGTGAGTGAATCTCTCTCGTCTGTACTCTACGTTTAATCAAAGTCCATGTAGCAAATGGAGGTACAGCTTTGCACGCGCCAACGTACCACCTGCTACCCGCTGACTTGCGACGCCCTCCTTCGGAGACATTGGCACCACTCGCCTCGCTTCTGTCTCCTTCACATCCGACACTGCTGTTGTTCGAATGCGTACTTGTATACATGACGCCAACAGCATCGTCCGCACTTCTTCAATGGTTTGTCGACCACTTCGCCGGTGCCAATGCAGCTGCACTGGGCGGACTCGTTTACGAGATGTATGGTTTGGAGGACTCGTTCGGAAGGGTGATGCGGGCGAATCTGCAAGCCCGCAATGTCGTCCTACCTGGAGCCCATCCGTACCCCACGCTCCAATCTCTGCCAAACAGATTCCTACAGCACGGATTTACAACGGCGAACGCGTTAACTCTGCGTGAGATACGTCGATCATATATTGATCCCACTGAGCAAGAAAGGTGCGTCTGGCGATCCGTTCTCGGACGTAGCGGTCTAAACAGTGTGCTAGAATCTCGCATCTCGAGATGCTCGACGAGATCGAGGAGCTCGAGCTCGTCCTGGAACATTACGCCATAACTTGGGGCTTGAAGGTTCCTCCTACGTCCAATGCGAAAGTCGACTGGACAGAGTGGCGGCTTCAGCAGAGCCATTAGCATGTCCTGTTCGTGGGCTAGTGTCTACGAACCTGGCTCATATGACGGAAAGAGCAGTAAAGTCTAATGTATTTTTATATACGCAATACATACGACTCATAGGTGGTATGAAAGAACACAGTCGCGCCGACTATTGCTAGATCATTATTGTCACCTCCGTCACCTCTTGCATCCAATAATCTCCTTCATCCATGCATTTTTCTTCAGCCGTCAAGTCTTGGGGCGACAATCCTGCCTTATGGCGATTTAAGCTGATGTGATAGCGCGATCCTCTGCAGTGTCTCGGAAAGTGCCGGTACCAAGAAAGCTGGCAACGAACGCCGTACTTGCAGGTTAAAGTCGCTGCAAGAACCGTTAGGTCGCTGTTCAAAGTCATCTACGGTGTGTCTCTTAGTGTCCCCAAGCATAAGTTGCAGCAAAGCTTTCTGGGAGAGTTGATGGCGCTAACGGAGCATACAAACGAGAAGTGTGTTAATTGTCGTTTCAACATGGTTGGTGAGGTGGATCATGATCCCGCCGAAAATGTTACGAAGAGCCGTGGCTGCCATCTCCTCAGTAAGATGATAATGCAATTTGCACAGCCTCTCGTCGAGTAGTCCACCATTGACACATGAGCTTGAAGGTACCGCCAAATCTTGCCCTCCAGCTGTGACGATGAGGGCGTCCATATATGTTGTAGTTTCAGTGAGCTTTCATACCGCATTTCTGCCGCAAATCTCACATTTCACTTGTATCGCCGCCGGAGCTCAAGAAACGGACGATTTAGTTTAATGCTGCACCCGTATACTAGAAAATAAGGTGAGAACAGTATGGACGTCCCACATGATTTGCATAATCGGAAAGCAAAGAAAGTGATAGCATGAGGGATGCCGTCAGAGTTTCGCGCGTCTTCCTCTAACAGCACCACCGTCAGCGTCTTTCGTGGCAATCCAAGCGAGTTCTCCAATAAGAAGGAAGACGTCGCTGTACATGAAGGCCTTTTCCGAGCTGGCTTGTCTCCGCGCGTAACGAGCTGCGATCCCTTGCGCGATCACGGCCAGCTGCGAGGTTGTCTCAGAAGTCTCGCCGCTAGTTATACGAGGTGTGACTACGTACGCGGAACAACATCCAACTGCGAGCGAAGGTCATCTCCTTGATTGGGTAAGACTGCTTTGTGAGCCGGCAGTATTCACGCTCGAGATCCTCTAGTGTGATTGGGACGTTCTCGGTTGTGTTTTTGAAACCGACAAGCGCAGTATCTCTGGGCACCATGTTGACATCTAACGCCCACGGTAGTGTTAGGTTCGCGAGATCAGCCAACTTGTGAGGGAAGCCTTGAGCAACCTGACAGAGCCAGGAGTGGAGGGCATCATACCGGACTACCGAGAGTGCACAGCTCCCAATCAAGAATGCCGATAACTCGGTTCTCGGTGGGGTGGAAGATAAGGTTATCGAGCTTGTAGTCTCCATGTACGATGCGCAGACCCGTCTTGCTCTCGTCGGGCAGGTTCTTCTGATACCACGCGATCAGCTGGCTGAATCTGGGTATGTCGCCTGTCGGCTTCTGGGTATCAACGTCGTTGACCTCCGCTTGTGCGCGGGAAACGCGAGTGAGAGACTTGATCTGCCGCGGGAAGTACGCCGTGGAGGGACCAAAGCTTGAGAGTCCAAGTGCTGCGGGGGAGAGGGAGGACAGAGCAGCCAGAGAGCGAACCGCAGATAACCAGCTGCAGTAGCAGCATTAGGCTAAACTTCAGTGATATCTGAGACGAGCACACCACCCACCACTCCCTTCTGGTCTCCGGGGACACCTCGGGCATGTGCACGTCGGTGAAGATGCGCCCGTCCAGGAATTCCATGATGTAGAACGGCGTGCCAATCACGGTATTGTCCTCGCAGAGCACGATCGGCTCGGGGATGGGCACCCTCTGTTCGGGCGGAGTGGTCACGTTCGTATTGTGCTGGTGAAGCGCGCGCAGAATCGTGTACTCTCGCTCAATTTGATGAGCGGTCGTCGAGACGAGCTTTCCAGCGGGCTTCTTCCTAAGCACGAAGCGCTTTGAACTAAAGTTACTGTCCGTAAGCACTTTACACGTAGCGGTGCGATGAGTCCATACTTCGCATCCGTCAGGAAATACGTGGGATTCGACTACCGGAGTAGATGAGCATGGTTCCATTTACTTACTGACTACTCGACGTACCTGCCCAAACTGTGCATACATTCAGCATATGCATTCGCGATTTTGTGGAGAATATCCACCTTGAACTGCTTCACGTCAACAGGCGCGTGCACCGCCTTCACATGGCCAGCGAGATACGCGTTGAGCTTCTCGATATCGATATTTGCACGAACTGGGCCATATTCACCACCTATCTTCGCTGGTGTAGACATGTTGGTAATGGTACGAAACGAAGATGGACCTGAAATGTGAATTCCTCCAGGTCACAACCTCCGGCGATAGACCGTTCCTCAAGCGCCAGCGCCCCGCGCCGCGCGGGGTAGAAAATCAGCTGATATTGTATATCTGGCCTAGTAGTGACATCTGCTCTATCGTAAAGACATGTACATAGCTCTAGAGCCTGCAATAAAATCAAAAAGGCATACGATGCACGGCGCGTGTAAATTCGGCCACAAATCTATCCGGAGGCCTTCCTTTTATGAAACCAGGTATCAAGTCAACATGAAGGTATGGCCGCATGTCAAAACACAGTACGAGAGCGGAACAGGCAACGCAGCGAGCGGAGAATTAGAACCATGACATGAAAGATGGAAAGAACACAATATCTTCAAGCACAATGCATCCACCCGTCCATCATCCATGATCCTGCCGGTTCTGCTCCAGAGAGGTGCTAGGCGAAGCGAAATGCTGATCAGTCCGAGCAGGTTCCGAATCATAAATATTGTGAAAAATAATCGGCGTGATTGCCGTGTGACGTCCATGCATACTATGCATCAGAACCCTGGCGCTGTATATTGCCAGTTCTTTGAGGCCGAGTTTCGCGGACACCGATTGAGGGTCATGATGATTGAGCAATCTATGGTATCTTCGATAACAGGGTATAAACATGGGAACTAAGCCTTGGGAACGTTAATCGCCGCATTCATGCCGGTAAAGGTTGGAACCGCGTGTAGTACGACTTGGTATACGCTTCGACCATCTCCTGTGTAGATTCCGGAAGGTCTTCTACGAATTGCCCTAACCATTGACCATCAGGTGGAAGATCCACACGCGTAGGAAGCCAACGCACCTGGAGAGCCGGAGAACATAGCCAATGCAGAAACGACAGTATTCGGAGGGATAACAGTATTGTCTGCTACCTTCGCACAATCCTTAATGATTGTGAATTTTCCCTGCATCGCGGGTTTGTTGAAGACATCTGACAGTGATAAATTTGTCAATGGAACGTACGATTATACAGTTCTTCCCAATTTCGACGTGGTTCCCTATGGTGGCTGCCTCCACGATGGTATTTGCACCAATGTGGACGTGATCGCCGACTTTCATAGGGTAGTAGTTGAAGTTACCGCGATACGTCTTGTATGGTGGCCTGGTTCGTGCACATAACGAGTCAACTTCTCGTTGGAGAGAAAGAATCTGCGAGGATGCAACTCACCGCATCACGCAGCCTTCGCCGATTAGACAGTACCTCCCGAGTGATATCACCACAGCATGTCCAGGACCCGTTCTTCTCAAGTCTCCCCGGATGATAGCACCGCTGGAGATGATGGTTTTTCCTCCTAGAATAATGTTCTGAGGACCAGCAATAGTGGCACGTCGTGAGACCTTGTTTCCGGTGTCCTGCACAGCTCGCCTTTAGTATTTGACTTTCAGAAATAGCGCTATGGCGAAAGCAGACTGTTTCGATATATTCAGCCTTCGTGTAGTAGATTGGCAATTCCATGACCTATTGAAGGTGTGGGCACTGTGGGGCGAGGAAAAAGGGATGAAGACGAAGTCCATCAGCCACCAGCGCGTTGCACTGCGCTGATGCTCTCTCTCCGACTTCTACCACAACTACCTGCCGTAGGCAGGGTAGGCATTTTTACTCAACGATGCCTCTTCCATGTTCACGTCAGAACGCCTTCTGCAGTACAAAGCCTTGCTCATCTCAGACAGGCTAGAAGTTTCGCCTCTAAAATCCCCCCAGATGTCTCATCGGCGTCAGCGAGTAACGATCCTCGGACCGCTGCCGAGCCGCCTTTGAAACCTGCGTCAGACACCTCCGTCCAGGATATAGTATATCATGGCCCTCTCACCAAGACCTTTCGCCGACTCAAGATATTCTCCCTTTCTTCGCTGACCCTCACCTTCGTCATGGCTCCTTTCATAATGGTTCTGGAGACATCGTCTCGTTTGCCTCTCGTCGGCCGTTTCATCCTCGCAGGAGTTGCATTTTCAACCAGCGGTATCTCCACTGCACTGGTGGCTTGGTGTGGCCGGCCATACGTAACGACGCTCCGGTGGATCGAGCCCGAGGCTCTGGGAGCCGGCAGTGGTCGCGCCGTCGAGATGACCACCCTGACGCTCGCGCTGCGCGAGCGCATTACCCGTGTGTACGACACTGCATTCCTCGTCCCTGCCGGCAGGCCTTTCGCTACGTGGGAGCTTGCCGAGGCTTTCCAGCTGCCGAAGGAAGAGGCTGAACTGGAGAGAAGCCAGGGCACTCTGCCGAGGGAGGAGACAATTGCGGAGACGATGACCAACAAAAAAGAGGTTATTGGGAGGTGGATCGTGCGCTGGGATGAGAATGGAAGAGGAGTTTGCAGGCAGGTTGGACAAGTTGTCCGGTACGTATCACTGAAATCATGGTTGAATGAGACCTTACACATCTGTTGTCTCTTAGGAACTTCAATGTACACGAAGAGCTGCTTGACAAGCCCGTTCGCTGATCGGATGTCCACACGTTAACTGTATTTTTCTTCGTAGCTATCGCGAATCGTTCCGGACGCTATGCATTGTCGCTTCGTATGACCGACCGCGAACAGCATTCCGTCCATTCCTAGAGAGGTTTCAAAAACAAGCTCCCCAGAAAAGCTGACACCTCTTCGATGATCTTCGACCAACTTCGTACGGAAACGTGCGACAGCTCCTCCTCTCGATTCTTCGATGTATAAGTTGTGCCACAAAATCTTACAAAATGCACTTTCCCGTCGGCGACATTATCCATACTCTACTCCATTGTCAATTCTCGTTTAGACTATGATCAAACTATGATAGCTCTTCCACAAACACGATCACGTGATTGGCGCGTCTCACGCGACGGCCGTCGCGACTAGACGACATCACGTCAGTCATTGACATGCATTTAGGATTCTGCGACCAGCATATAAGACATCGACCTCCTTCCACTGTTCTTGGTCTCTCCGGATCCTCTCTCCCTTTCTCCAATGGACACCAATATTGTGCTTTGAACGGTGTTGTACCGTATCATTTGCGCGGCAGAACGGGCTTACTCTTTGAGCTTGATTGGGCATGCAATCGAATATACAGCCAGTCTATTCTGTCACTAGATGGGGCTGGGGAAGGGAAAAAGCGGTTGCAAATGCGTCGGATGACTGGGTGAGGATGAGTTTGTGAAAGCAAAGTCTGTACCATCGGAAGAGCGTTAGGATGAGGTCGGCACTAGCTTAATGAAAAAAGCTGGCAGCGGGGGGTCAACATAGTGACTCACTATGCTGTGGGAGTTCACAATGTGGATGCCTTGAGCACAATGTGTCATCAAAGTGTCAGGCAAGGACAAGGATGCAACAGCTTTGTCATATCTCACAAGGCCGCTGACGTTTCGCCAGATGTATCATGGCGGTATCTTCGATAATAAGGCATGTGAACATCTGTTAAGTCTTACAGGTCTGCTTTTCTTATAAGGCCTTACAAGCGGTTATAATGGGCGCACAACTATGTTTCCATTTTCCTGATGGAGGTTCAGCTGAGTGAGGTTCAGCTTTGTCTTGGAGTTCGAGGCTGAAGCTCTGACCAAATTTGCAATCATAAGCAACGCGTGACGCGTGACAGCACGCGTCGCAAGTGGTGACTCAATCCGTGGCGCGTGCTCCTATCGACTTTTGTCTCGGCCACGCTAGGACGCATTGTAGATATGCGGCGGCATTGGTTATCTCTACGACGATTGTCGTCTCGGCTCTCGCAGAAAGCACCTAACCCTACCACGATCTACTTGTACCCGACGTTGACAGTCGCACATATAGTGGGATGAACACTAGCGCGTACCCAGGTTCTCCGGAAAAGACGCGAGACACTCTGTGAGTGTCAGTGTCTATGCACGTCTACCCCTTGTCTCAATACATTTCGTTCAGCCTGCCCAAAATTGCACTGAAGCCGTGGCTCAAGAAATCACATCCGCGACCCCTTATCCTGCGTAACGTGAGGCTCATAGAACCATCGACGTCGAGTGTGGATCCCGGTCTTGTGGACGTGCTTACCAGCAGAGGACACATATCTGCTATCCTACCGAGCTGGGAGCACGGCGAGTTTGAGGGGAACGAGGAGGATGGTGGGGATGCTGTGGAAGTGAACCTGAAGGGGAAGTTTCTTTGTCCGTGAGTTTATGCGCATTTCTGCTTGCATGACATTGGCTGAAACGTGATAATTCCCCAGAGGTCTCATTGATTGCCATGTTCATGTCATGGCTGTTCCTGGCGTGAGGTCGTTGGCAGAGTTAGCGCAAGCGCCACAAGAGACCGTCCATTTAGCATCGACGTATGTTTTGCGAGGTGAGGTGCACTCCAAACATATCGTATTGCAGCTAATTGCGGACAGAGATGCTATTGCGTGGATTTACGACTGTCAGAGATACAGGTATGAAAATCAAGGAGAATTCTTGTCATCTCTCTGAGACATTTCTCCAGGCGGAGCCAGCGAGGCGCTCGCCACCGCAATAGCCGAGGGTCTCATACTGGGACCAAGGATCATCCAGTGCGGACAAGGTCTATCGCAGACAGGTGCGAAACGCGCAGTCGAGTCCACACTCCGTCCGCTGATTATTGGCGCAGGCGGTCACGGTGATATTGGCAGCGAGTGCTGCGGTGGAGGCCACGGGAAAATACTTGGGCGGGTCTGTGATGGAGTATCGGAGGTACTCAAAGCCACCAGAGAAGAAATAAAGGGCGGTGCCGACTTTATCAAGATCCACTGTGGGGGTGGCGTAGCATCGCCTACGGTAAGCTTTATCATGCTTCTCGCTGATGCCAAATGTGGGGAGCCTTCTGATGAGTGGTTTTACGTTTCCGCAGGATAGCATTGAGTCGGTGCAGTTCACTGCTGAAGAGATCCGTGCGGTCACGATGACGTGCAAGCAGATGGGGCACAGGATGAGTGAGTCAGGGAACGTTACCTTCGCTTTGGGCTGTGTCAGACAGTCACCTCCTCGTAGGCACGGCTCATGCTTACACCGATGCGGCCGTACGCCACGCTATTGACAATGGTATCCTCGGCATTGAGCATGGTAACCTCATCTCAGAAGAGACTGCCGCGCTGTGCGTTCCCGGCATTCACGTTCAAAGCGTTCGACATTAATCACGTCGTGCACCGTGCAGAATGGCATTCAAGGGCATCTTCCTCACGCCGACATTATCATGCTATGGCATCATGGTGCGCCCGCCCTACGAGGACTACCTCCCGCCAGAGGGCAAGGTCAAGAACGAGCAGGTCATGGCGAAGGGTCTGGAGGCGCTTAAAGTGGCAGATGCAGCGGGGGTGACAATATGCTAGTGCGTATGCTGCTTTACGACGCTGTTATGTACTGACTGGACGTCGCGAATGCATTCAACAGTGGATCCGATCTGTTGAACTCATTCCATGCTCTGCAGACGGAAGAGGTAAGGTGTCAAAAGGAGTTGTATGATGGACTTCGTGCTGATGCAGGCTGTCTGTTCATATGTGATAGTTCACCGTCCGTGCTTCCGTCCTGCCCTCAGCGAAAGTGCTGCAACATGCAACCTGCAATGCTGGCAAGTATTTCTCTTCTTCCTTCTCTCCTCAATGCTTTCTTACAATTCTGATCAATGTGTATATTCGCAGCTAGATTGCTCGGCGACCACAGGCTAGGCCGTATATTCCCCGGTGGCTACGCCGACTTGATCATCCTGGACGTCAACCCGCTGGAGGACGTTTCGATCCTTGATTATCCCGAGAACCATCTCATGGGAGTCATCAAGAGCGGAAGGGTTATTAGCAGCAAGGTGGAGGGACTGGTGGCGGATCAGTTGTACTAGGATGGCAGTAACCAGGGGATCTCATCCGCTGACTCCGATTCAGAAATATCTATTTCGCTTTATTTGCTGATAATACCTGTTGCATCACTGTTCAATATTCAATGCTCAGCGCTCAATGGTCAGTATGCGACTGTGCATGTACGTGAGGTAGGTGTTTGGTCGTTTCGGATCGCAATGCAGGTGCGCAGGCTCTCAGATGCGTCGCGAGCATGCGCATCACATGACCGCGTGTCCCCCGGGCTAATTCTTGTCCCTGCAATTGCCCTGCAATGCGTCTGCTCCGAGTCTACCTTCTACAACGGTCGCACATTGCTGGCGTGACAGGTATGCATGACGGATGCCATCTATCTAGTATCTTTGGGTGTCGCGCTAAAACGATGGTCTTCCTCTCAGCTGGAAGAGTGGCACCATATTCTCTGCGAGCCTCGACGAACCTCACAGCCCGCGCGAAACTTTCTACCATGGCGGACACGTCTTCTATGGAACATCCTGCCACTGCAGCAATTTTGAGCTCAGCTCCTGCTGTATGCAGTACAGGCCTGCCGGACGCGACTGAGACATCCGCTAAGCCGCCCCTCATTGTACAGTTAGTCGTACGACGAGATCTGCTCGAAGTGTGTGCACCGCTTAGATTATTCAGCTTGACTGCTGACTGTCGATTGCTTGCATTTTCTTTTATGAACGCTTGATGCTCTCGTCATATACGACTCGATTGACTGGTTGGTCTGACGAATAGGCCGAAGGCTGGGGAGTCGGCCCTCTGATGTCACAGACTGCACACGCCGCTGTTGCTGTAAGTTTTTGTGGAATGCGCTTCTGAAATACCTTGTGGAAGCTATTGTAGGTGCTGCACGAAACTCGCGATCTACCAGAAACTCAAGCATACCTAGCCGATTTGAAGAACATGAGAAAGGTGAAAGCAGAACGAGATTTGTCCAATTTCCGTCAAACTGACGTTTCAACATTCATACGCTTGTAGGCGGTCTTGCAGGTCAGTATCGGGTATTTAATCCGATGATTGTGCTGCTCAAGGATTCGTTGCATTCCGACTGTTCAAGGTTGCAGACAGGAAAAGCCTCGAACGCTTGAGCGAGCTGCTCTCGTCCTCCGTTCCACTAATTCCGCATCATTTATGGATAGAACAGCCAGAGAACGAACCGACGTGCCTGGCTCTCGCGCCAAACCGACGAGAATCCAAGATTAAGAAGGCACTAGACAAGACGGGCTGTCGGTTGTGGAAGGGTTGATGTTCCGCTGTGAGGAAGCGTACGGCTGACTTCTATTTCACACTGTATTATAGTTGCTGCACAGTCACAGAATGCACGATAGATACGGAATACAATCGTTTATACTACATACGATAGCTGCAGAACGTCTCGACGGCTCCTTTGGGGGCGTGCCACGATGCTGCGAATTAAAAGACCTTGACGAGAAACACAACGATCGACGAGCTCGAGGTGCCACAAGATCAATACATCTCAAGACTCATCCCGTCGTGGATCTCATAGTCTGCTAGTGTGATGTGGTCCTTGTAGATCGTATACCTGTTGTGGATCACCACAAGTCAGCCTGATCTATGTGTGGTGTAAACCAAAGGTTTAGAAAGGACATGCCATTTCTTCAGCTGAATCTTGGATGCGTCTGTACCCGTCTGTGCGGCGATGAGCTTCTTGAGATCGCCGACAGTGTCATCAGGGCTGCACTTGACGCGAACTATAACACCAACTGTTAAGCCAAGACCGGCATTGTCGCAAATAGGAACGTGCCTTTGCGACCCAGACGATCGTTTGCAATGACCTGTCCGTCCCAACAGACGTTCGTCCGGGAGATCACGCAACAGGAAATGGATTGCGGAGGTGAGCCACGCCAGTGAAATCATAACACAGCAAGATCCAGTGAGCAGTAGCTCTAGCAACATAAAGTGGCACAACTCACTTCAATGAGAGGCATTACGAGTAGAATTCAGCAAAGAGAGGACTGGGAACTGGAAAGAATTAGACAACGATGCGAGACGCATTGGCGCATCATCACTCCATTGTGGCCGCGGCAGTATTACGTAATTTAATGATATATTTCATTTCCTAGCCCTGGAAAGAAAAGTCGGGTCACTTCAACCTCACTTCAGTCTCAGGCTTTGATCACAGGCCTCAGACAACTAAAATTCATGTGCATGGCTTTCCGTGTGCAAGTAGAGATGTCCTCGGCTTGCACTCTCTTGCACTTCGCTGCTAACACTCAGAAGCGCTCAGTCACTGATCACATCGTGATGCATGACGCAAGAAGATTACTCAGGCATGAACTCAACGCTATATAGGTGGGATAGAGGACTTTCACTTCATACTCGAACATCGTGCCGTCGAACATGGGTCATCCTGACGAAGACATCTATCCTGTTGCGACAGGTCCCGCCGCCAAAACGGTTGCGGCGCACCAGGACCCACAGGACCTCGTGTTCTGGGCTGGATGGGTATGTTCGTGCATTGAGCTATCACCGTTCTTAGTGCTGAATGCGTGTGCAAGTTTTGCCCATTTGTACAGCGCGTGTGGATTAGCTTGGAGGAAAAGAATATACCTTACCAATACAAGGAGGTCAATCCATACAAAAAGGAGAAGTACTTTCTCGGTTAGTCAGAAGGTTCCTCCATTTTACCCAACGTTCATGGTGATCATTTCTCAGACATAAACCCCAAGGGCTTGGTCCCTGCCATCGAGTACAAAGGCAGGCCGCTCGCCGAGTCGCTGATTATTTGCGAGTTTCTTGAGGACGCGTACCCCGATCACGCACCTCACCTCCTCCCAGTCGACCCATTCGAGCGTGCCTACGTGCGCCTCTGGATCGATCATGTCTCCAAGAATGTCATTCCTGGCTTTCACCGTCTGGTGCAGGCGCAGGAACCGGACAAGCAGAAGGCCTACCTTGAGGAGTTCAACAAGGCGCTCAGGACGATCGCCGAGAAGGCGAAGGGTCCCTACTTCCTTGGGGAACAGTTCAGCATGATTGACGTTGTGGTGGCGCCGTGGGTCGTTCGTGACTATATCGTAAGGGAGCACCGTGGGTACACAAGAGAAGCAGTCGGCGGTGGGTGGAAGGAATGGGCGGAGAACCTCGAGAAGAGGGATAGTGTAGTGAAGACGTCTAGCGTGAGCATTAATTTTGCCTTCAAGGAACATGGATACTGCTTGTTAACGCTTTCCGTGATAGGATTTAGAACATTACGCACCAATCTATACTCGGTACTTACGCGACGAGGCGCAGAGCGAAGCCGCGAAGGCTATCAGAGCTGGAAGAGCTATTCCGTGATGCAGGACTGTCGTCATGTCGTCAACCTGTACAAATACACAAGCCCTACGTTTATCACTGCAAACATGCATTTCGGATGATAGAATATACCGAAGGGATTCTAGATTGAAGATGTTGACCGATTTCTTGTTATATCAAGCTTTGTTTTCAAGTGATTTCATGATGTTTTTTGCATTGTCAATCTCCGGGCGTGTCACGTGACCTACGCCACGCGTGTGGCCACAATGTTTGCCACAATTATCGTTTCTGAATCGCGGTATGTTGGATTGACAACATGAACTCATATCCTCCAGAACTTCTTGTACAGCTTGCTCCGAGGATGTTTGTTGGTGGACTGGATCCTCCACAACCTCCCGGCGAGGGCCGCGATCCGTTCGCAGTGCTGTCGTACCGGCTGCGCGAAGCGCTGCTCAACCAACGCAAAGTTGCGATTTGGCAACCAGAGAGAAACAAGACGTTTCAGGTCGTGATTGTCGACAAGGTGTGCATCTATACTCTTCCCGCATCATGCAGTGACAGAGCCATCAGCAGGACGTGCGCTTTCCGCCGCGCAAACTCGTCCCGCCGGACGACCCGCAATACTCCAGCGCGCATTCGCCGTTGTCTCCGCTTACCCCTACATCTCCACTCTACCCGGACGGGCTCATAGCGCCGATATGGGTCCGCAAGCATACCACGCTCGTCCCGTCCGTATTCGTCATGTTCATGCACATCTTCGAGCCCTCTCAAAATGCGCCGCATTCCCCGCTTGACACTGGAGATGGAGACCACGAGAGAGAGGCAGAGGAGCGGATGAGGGACAACGAGCTGTGCGCGGAGATTGCGCAGAGGAAGAAGTCAACGAGCGAGCGGGGAGTCAAGCTGACGGTGGTGCTGTTGGCGAGTAGACGGATGCTGGGTAAGTGATTGAGGTCCTTTTTGGATCCTATATCATCTGATTAGTGCAGACAACCCGTCGTTGGACGGCCGCTTAACATACATCCGGAGACAGAGCGGGCTTGACCCGCGGGCGGCCCTTTTCGTGCTGAGTCCAGTATCGCAGGCCGAGATCGGCGATTTTGTACGCAGGTGCGACGGTGGATCTGCACTTAGTGCTCATTTCTCAACCCAATCAGCCTGCAGGAGGCTCTGTACGAGCCCGCCCTGGAGTATTACACGAACCACTCGAAGCGCGTGCGCCGAAAGCGCAATCGCCACTCCCAGGCAGGGACGTCGTATGCTGCACCGAGCCTAGCTGGGAGCAAGTCGGCCGCACGGCCGCTCAGGCCGGAGGGCTGGACGGTCAGATACGAGTACAAGATGGCATGCTTTGCGGAGTTTCGTGGAGAGGACGAGGTTGCGCTGAAGTATGTTGCGATTTGTATATTCGATGGCTTTGCTCATCACATTTGGTAGGCACTATCAGGATGCATATTCGACGCTGCTCCTGATGTTTGGGTCGACTGCGATCCTGCCCCCTCGTACCAAGCGTTGGGCAGAGGCAAAGGTGCTGTCCGACTGTATCGACCTCAAAGTATGCCCTGCACGCAGTAACGACAGCCATCATCGAATTCACTGTTCCTCCAGATATGCAAGCTGTATCTGTATAACAATGAGCACGCACTCGCACTCGCACAGCATACTAGCCACATGCGCAAATTTGCAGACTTCTCACGGGGTTGGGGAATAGGCGAGGAGACGTACGAGTTCTGGAGCTGGCTCGCGAGACAGTCAGTCTCGTCTCAGGACTGCCTTAATACCTACGCCTAACGGCAGCCAATTGCAGACATCGCGCCTTCGCGGAACTGCTCGAGCAGGGCACGCGTTCGACGCTCAAAATACCGACCCATTTTTCGACGTCCCCACCCGCCGCAGCCGCTGCAGCGCTCGCAGCACAAGCGCTCGATGCCAACCAGCGGAGCGTGCTCGAGGTGGAGGCAATGCAGGTGCTCGGACTGAACCCTGCGCAGGCGCTGCAGCATCCTGGCTTCTACTACTACATGGCTGCGCGTTGCACGGAGCGCAGACGGGAGCGCTTTCTGGCTGCTCTAGATGCCGAAGTGAGTGTTTGATGAGGATAGGGTGCGTCAGGTCACTCACGATAGGTTAGGCGAAGCAGCAAGTGACAATGACCGCTCCTGGGTTCTCGAATGAGAAGAAGGTGGAGCATCTTGCGGTTATCTTGGAGGTATGTTGATGCACTCCCTTCAACGTTGACTATGAGGCAGTAACACATTGGTCGACAGCTGTATACGAGAGCCTATGAGCTCTTCAAGGCATACAGCCCCGCGACCGTCCAAGGCCAGGGACGGTTGACACTCTGGATTGCATACGGGATCGCACACACGGACTCTTCGAGGCTGTTGTCGGGCACAACTCGACCTTCAAGAGCCTCATGTGGAGGAACTGAAGAGCTGGGAGATGCATGGAGCGGAGGACGTCAGTAGATCGTGCACTAGCGCTCGAGTTGTATACTTACAAAGCCTGAGAATATAATTCTGTTTCAATCACAATCATTCGACCGTGCAGATTGTTGGAGATGGGGGACTGGACAGAGCACAAAGAGGTGTAGAGGGCAGGAGGTTCACAGTGCATGGACTAGCACTTCATAGCAAACGGGACAGGGTAAGCCAACTTTCATTCTCGTCCCTTCTAACTGCTACCCAAAAGTCAAGCTCGCCCTACGATTATCTCCCACCATCCGAAACAGCCTCCTTCCTGCACCCTTGCATTGAAATGCCCATCGCATCTATTGTCTCTCTCCACCACGGACAAAGGCGTCCAACGCGAAGCACCGTGCGCGCCCGTATCGTATGTTCCCGCCTGTGCAGCATAACTGCAATCGCAATCTAATGCCAGCTGTGTACTATCTGTTTGATCACCAAATGAGCACTTGTCCTCCACCACTCGACCGTCGCGATCCAGACAATCGGTCACCGATGATGCACTATCCTATCGACATCCACAGAAGGTGCGCCTTGAATTCCTGGCCGAACGAAGTGCACGTGTGCCTGGACCTTTGGAATGATGAGCATCAAAGGCCCGACCGTCACTCATACAAGGTGAGCATGGTGAGCGGGCATCGGAGCTACTGGTCATCAGTTCATGTGGCCGTTATGCACTGGGCTTCATCTTGGTACGACCGTTGCGACAAGTCATGACCTGGAACTTTGAAGGGCGCGATGGAGGCCATAGCACATAATTGGTTGCTGAGAGATTTGGCGGAAGCAGTGTGGCCATCAACCTCATGTTCAGTCTGCCAGCTGCATAAACCGTGCTCGATGGATGTTTGTGCTCGGTCACCGTGCTCCTGCTGACATCTTCGGGTGCAGAATGGTACCGCATCGTGAGGCGTGCAACAACAGACCTACAAGACTTTTCCGTTGAGAACGCGCCCACAGAGGATGTTACAAGCATATGCACCATGTCCTAGTGTCATCATCATCAACTAACATTGGCAGAGCACAGCACCTTTGGCAGGTGCACGACGTGCCGAGTCTTCAAGTCATGGTGTTGTGTGTGATTACGGGAGTAAGCATAGGGGAACGGGACCATTGTATCCCGGAGATCGCTCCAAGCGAGCATTACCGATGAGACCGTTGGGAGGCAGATGCCGTTTTTCGTGGATTTTGATGGAACAGGTAGTGTAGCATGGGGTCCGCCGTGCACCGATATCCAATGAGTCCCTTGTTTAGCTCCTCGCATGTGATCGTGACCGTATCAGACACAGTGTGGGAGGAAGTGTGAAAGGAAAGCAGTGTTCGCATTCGCGCAGCTGCGCTCGACCGATCGGTTCATAGTGATGAACCGGTTTTGACTTTCCCACTTACCCTATGAATCGGAGTCCATGGTCTTTGTATCTTGCCCTTGATAAAGACCGCTATCTTGATTCATCGCACCGTTCTAGAGCATAACTCATTCATGAGCAGGAAAGCCTCGATTGAAAGTATCACTTACCTTGAGCCTCAGGCCGGCCGCGAAAATCAGCCGAAGGTTGAACATGAACGTTCCCAAATGTGATGCTGACATTTGCGAAGCCGTGACAGAGCGGGAGTCAGATCGCGATCTGATGGATCGGCACAAGGTCAATGGCTCACTTACCATGGACACCAAATACTCCGTTCTTCTAAGATGTTGTTTGTTGGCAAACGACATGAAAGCCTGAGGTGCAGGCTCAGTTTCAAATGGAGAAGCCACCCTATCATGACCTCGTCGGTGTCTCATCACTGGGGGACAACCTTGATTACCTACCGGTCAAAGCACGCTGTTTGCGTCCACTGGCAGGCAGACGGTAAATTAGTCTGTATTTAAGCGATTGTTGTTTATATAAGTCTCACCTCTCATATTCCTTCCCCTGCATTAGCTATCAATCAATCTGTATAGACATCCTTGCAGTGTCCTGGTGAGTGTGATAGTTCAGCTGCGAGAGCTTATCCTCATTATCATATTCTATTTACCTTGGAACAGTGGCGGCTCATGATAGGCAGCGGTCAGGTCCCAGATTCAAATATTCGGGCTTCAAGAGCATGCAGAATTTATCGGAAAAGAAGATGGATGAAGTGGCGAGAGCGAGCAAGCAAAGCCACAGCGTACGGTACCATAGGCACCTCAATTGACATGGGCACGTGATCAAGTCTTCTACGCTCGACGCGTCTGTGGCCCGTTTGCCTCCCCTTGCATGCTGTTCAGCACTGTCCTCGACGTCCTACCAATTCTCAGCTCTTCTAAGTCAGCATCCACCCTGGAATGGACTTGGTAACGGAGAAGGGTACTCATCTACGCTGGCTGGGGGTGTATCACAAACTTAGGACGCAGAGCGCCGACTAAGCCTATGACCTTATGATCAAACACTTACTGACTGTTGTCGACGTAAGGATGGACACAAAGATGATCAAGGTAAAGCAGTGCCTTGCAAGTGGGCGCTGGTGACACTGTATGGATAGGCGTAGCAGAGATGAGAATAAGTCTGGGGGACTTATGCGTCTCAGAGCTCTGGCTTATATACATGAGCGGAGGGACCCTTGGTACCCTGCTACCCCAGAACCGCTAGCTAATGAACATTGTCTGATTGGTTACCACTACCTGTCAGACTACGTGTGTCATGCATGCCGAACCTCCGAACTACTTAGTAAGACCATGGAAATGGTATTGCCTGTAATGGCTACATCTCCGGTAGCGTGTTATCTATCTACCTCGTGTATGTGAACTGATAACCCCTTAAGGACATATCTCCGGTGGCGTGTGGCTCCTTCCTTGGATTCTTCCGGAGTCCGACCGTTGCTTCTAGGTGGGATGATATTACTGTATAAGTTAGGCTTACCTAATACCAGCGCTACTTGTCACATGTGTGTATATCACGTGATATGTCACGTGACTAGACCTGAACCTTCGTGACGCTTAGAACTGTCAGTACTTCGCGTACCAGTTCGTTCCTTTCTGGACAGCCTAGCGCTGATGTCAAGTGATGTCTTGGTCATGTGCAGAGGTGAAAACGTGAGAATCTGTGACAGTACCCCCCCTTCTAGACAGTTCATCCCGAATCTGGCTTTTTGCGTGGTTTCTGGAAGTAATTATCGCCTGTTGAACCAAATCCACGGTGTCCTCGGGCTGAGGGTTTGAGGTAATCAACCAGTGAAACGACAGGGGTGATAATACGTTCAATGATAAGTTGAGCGACTCGATCGCCCAAATTGACTGTGAAGTCATCATTTGTATTAGAGGAAACTTTGCGTGGCGCAGTCATCTATTGAAGCATAGCGCGATGATGCTGTAGTGCGTCATAGCTCACTACCTGTCAGACGTGCCTCCGTATGTATATAAACCCCCAGTTCCTGTTCGACATCCCTCTGTCCGCTACTTTACCTTGGCTGAGGATTGACACGGAATAGGTAAATAAAGTCCGCCACTTTACTATGGCTAGGATTGAATATTGAATATTGACGCGCAGAGATGGACAGGAACAGCTTGAAGTGCCGGCGGGCACGGTGGTGTACACATTCGCGGGACTTCAAAATTACCGCATCGGGAAATGTGAGCCACCGCATCTCCGCGCGATCGTCCCGTGAACACCACTATTCGGCTACAGCGACAGCGTCCTTCCTCCACCGTCCACCTTCCCGCGCGGATTCTCTGGGCCCGTGCAGCGTGGTGTTGCAACGGGAAAGAAACTTTCGCTATGTGGTCTCCGGCGTTTTGATGTTGACCACATAAGGTTGCTGACTAAGTGAGGGCGGAAGACTTGGCTGGCTTGGCAATCCACAGCGAATCTCCTAATCCTGCTGCACCAACTCGTTCCGATGCAACCGCCAGGTCCTCGCGCTGCAGTCTCCCAGAAACCCCTCTGCGCCGAGTCTATATTCCTCTAATTGGTAAGCGTCGAGCAGACTAACGATAGTACATCCTGTTTCCTCACCGTATTTCATCAGCTGTGGCTTGAAGCAGGGGCCGCCCTGTCATCTCACGATAATCCAGATACAGATACACGCAGACGCGCTGGACGAGCAGACGTTCGTCCATGGACCGCCGCTGCTTATTTTTATCCTGTCTGCTGGGATCCGTTCTCGCACAGAGCGATAGCACTGATGATGGGTGAGCTCTCTGTGAGTTTGCTAAGAGTCATGTTCGCTCTCTGACACCGCCGTGCCAGGGCCATCAGCGATCCCATCTCCCAATATCGCCCTGTCTTCGCCCGCTCTCTCCCCGTGCAGCTTCTTTTGAACGGCATCGTGCTCACCCTTATGGCCGTCCTCCTCCTCCAGCTCCTCTTCACCTCACAGTACCACGTCCGCCTCGCCCCCGTCAACTTCTCCCTCCAGATCTCCGCCGTCTGTACCCTCCTCGTCAGCGCCATATCCAGCATCCAGGTCATCTTCGCCACGCTCGACCAGGAGAGCAAGATCTGGCCGTACATGCTGAACTATGTCGCCGTCGAGGTCCCCCCAGACGGCGGCAGCGACGGCTGGTCGACTGCCGAGATCGCCGCGTGGCTGCTCATGACCGCAACGACCGGCATGCTCATTCAGGTGCGTCCCTACTCATTCTCTGTTAACGTGCCCGGCATTGACCTGTCCTCGCACAGATCACACACATCCAGTTCCTCACGCTACTCTTCCCGTCCAAGCTCGAACGGCGGCTGATTTTCTGTCTCCTCTTCCCACTCTCGGTCATATCCGCCGCGATGCAGATGCTGCGCATTCGCCAAGAACCCCACATCGAGCGACTCGCAGTATACGTGCAGAACATATGCAACGCCGCGCTCTCTCTCCTCTTCACCGTCTCGCTCCTCGGATGGGGCCTGCTCCTCAACCGCAAGAACGCCTGGCGCACAGATGGCGGCACCGCGGCCTTTGGCGCCGGCGCGCTCCTCCTCGCACCTATGAGCACCGTCATCTCGCTCGTGTACATCGCCAAGGGCGACCAGCTTTCGTGGATGAAGCCGCTCATGTGGAGCGTCATCCTCTGGCAGAGCTTCCTCGGCTGGTGGTGGTGGGTCGGCGCGGGCATGGGCGTCGGCGAGCTCGACGAGCTGCTGAGCCGCGAGGAGAAGAAGCAGCAGAAACGGCTCCGCCGCTCGCAGCGCCGCAGGGCACAGCGCCAGCGCGCAGAGACGCTCTGGAAGGGCGTCACGGGCGCGTTTGGGATCAATAAGGGTGCGCCCGCGGCGGTGGCCGAGGACGCGCGCTCGACGCAGAGCGGAGGCACGTGGCGCGTGGTGCGCGGTGCGCGGAGCCTGGTGACGTTCATGCGGCGCGAGCATCTTGCGGCTGCGCGTGCGCAGGCGGCGGAGTGGGTTGAGCGGGTGAATGAGGTGTATGGGCGGGAGAGGGAGGGCGGCGAGGGCGAGGGACGCGGGTGGAGTTTGGGACAGTATGGGACGCGGCGGGTGTTGGATGTGGAGAATGAGACGGTGGTGGATTCGGATGGGAGTGGGGAGGCGGATGGGGATGGGGATGCAGATGGGGAGGTGGACAAGGCGGAGAAGGGAGTGGAGGGGGTGGAGGGCGAGGAGGCGGAGGATGGGGTGCACCGCGTCCGGAGGCGGAATTGGAGGAAAGAGAATGTGGATTCGCGTGATGCACGGGAGAGGAGACGGAGAGAGATGGAGGAGCACCAGCAGGCGACGTCGTTGTGGTGGTGGGGCCCATTGCGCCGGTGGCGACTGCAGGATACGACCGAGTATTGAGCTCATCGTCCGACTCTTGGGATGCTATGTGTTGTACTAGTAGGCTAAAACCACGCAGAATATTGTACTCAAATACCAGTATTTGCTCCCTCCCTAGTGCATTTCCCCGTCACTCGCAGTGGTGGGTTTTCCGCGTGGCACGATGCAGCCAAGCTGTAATAAATGTACATAGCAACTTGGCTAAGAGCATGCAGCGTAGCGATCCCAAGACTCTTGGCATCAGAAATGATCAACGCCAGCTTAGAGCTACCAAAGTATTTAGCCGGGTTGCTGTACATCAGCCGACTCTTGAACGCTATGTGTTGTAAACCACGCAGAATCACCTCAGACATGGCGCCATTTTTTACAGTAAAATATGCATGCTAAACGTGGTTTGGTATTTTACCTTTAGAGAACAGATTTGTTTCTGTTGCATGCAGTATTGTATATTGCAAATTTAGCATTCAAATTGCAACGGTGACAAAGTAATGTCACATATTATATCTATGTTTCATGTACAAATTGTAAATTTTGCCCACAAAATGTGGCACTACTTCAAATGTGTCTCTACATCACAGCAAAGAAAGTACTGATTCTCATTGCAGAAAAGCTGTTAGAATTTAATTTAATGATCTGGCCTTCCTCATCAAGGGAATGTTTTTGGGGAAAGGCTTAGAAAAGGCACGTTCTGCACCTTTCATGGGCAAGAACTTGCATGAAACAGCCATAATTGGCTCAGAAAATGATAAGATGCTGCAGCAGGGGAAAGTAAAAGATAAACCATTATTTCTCACACCTTTCTCGCTGTAGGTATTGGTACTTTCTTTGCAGTGCATGCTATTACTTGAGGGGTGAAAGACTTTTTTGTGATGAATCTGCTATGTTGCATTACCTCATGCACATTACCTTGAATCCCTGCCAGAGATGTAGGTAAAATATATGATGTCAATTTGTCACTATAGCAAACCAAGTGTCAAACTTGAAATATATCATGCCAAATGCAACAGATGCAAATACATATTCTAAAGAGAAAATACCAAATCAGATATAGCACACATATATAACTGTAGAAAATGGTTCCATGTCTGGGGTGAACATTGTACTCACTGGAGACATGGAGCCATTTTCCACCATGTAAGATGCATTACAAATGGGAACTGATATTTTACCTTTGTGAAAAGGATTCATCTCTATCACAATTGGCATTACATATTCCAAACTTGGAACTTGACATACCATTATAACAAATCAATATTATATATTTGATCTATGTTGAGGATACACAATTCTAAACACTGCACAAGGGCTATGCCAGCCTAGAGTATCCAGTTACAAATTAGCTCATTGGCCCTCACACTAAAGCATATAGTGGTATATGCAGAGTCATATACTCTGTGCATTATTTTGTGGTTTTTCTTCCAGGTATAGACAAAATAAGTCAACTCAGATTTACGATGGTGACAAGTTAAGTTACAAATTCAAAATATGTAACAGTACTTGCAATTGCACCAGATCCTCTTCACAAAGGTAAAATACCAGTTCACATTTGTCACACATATTACATGGTGACAAATGCCTCCATGTCTCCAGTGACTATGATTGCTCGAACGTCAGTATTTGCTCCCTCACCATAGACATGGAGCCATCACAGCAGAAAAAAAGACCTCGCTATATTTCATGCCTTCTCTCCCCATTGATAGGCTCTACAGCACCTTTACATACTCAGGAAATGTCAAGCCGTACATAGCATTAAGCACTGGAATAAAGCTACAAGAGCTTGCTCTCAGAGTCTTTCTACGTAGGGAAAGGGTGCTTTCTTTGCAGTGCATTTTCCACAATGAGAAATGCACACTAAATTCACTTTGGTATCTTATCGCTAGAAAATTGGTTTGTCTCGACCACATTTGGCATTAAATATTCCAAGTTTGTGACTTGACTTGCCACAGTCGCAAACTGACATCACCTATTTCACCTCAAAGAAAATACTGATTTGAGATATGAGAAATGATTAAAAAAAACTGCAGATTTCCTTTGACTTTTCCCTGCTGTGACACCATATCATTTTTTGAGTTGATATAGGCAGCTTGGTGCAAATTAATGCCCATGAAAGGTGCAAAATGAGCCCTTTCCAATCCTTTCCCCAAGATTGTTTACTTGACATGAAAGGCTAGATTATTCAATTCAATTCCAAAGCCTTTCCTGTGAATAGAACTGGTACTTTCTTTGAGGTGTTTACCTATGGAAAGATGGGCATAATATGTAAGTAATATTAATCACGACTTTAGTAAGTCAAGTCCTAAATCCGGAGTATGTAATGCCAAATGTGACAGAGATAAATCCATTCTTTGAAGATCAAATACCAAACTGGATTTGGTGTGCATATTTCACGATGAGAAACAGCTTTATGCCTCCCTTGCAACCCTGCATGTGCACCTTCCCTCGTCGCTCGCAGTATTGGTTCTTGCGCCTGCCACGCTGCGAGGCGAGCCACCATGCAGCAACCTGGCGAGAGAAATAACAATCCCAAGACTCTTGGCGTCGGAAATGATCAACGCCAGATACAAAGCGCATCCTACCCCACCTCCGAACGCTCACCATCGCCATCGTCCGTCTCTCCTCCAACCTACGCACTCGGAATTTCGCCCGTTCGCCGCAGGACGCGTCTCACCACAGGACATGACGAGCATGCAGAATCCATCTTTGCGCTTATTTACGGTGCTTATTTTTAGCCTCCGCGGGCGGTAGGGCGAATGCCCACTCAACTGCCCTGCTTGCACCTCCTCCTTAATGTCCTTCATCCCGCCTGTGCTCTCGCTGTCACTTCGCCCATCTCTCCTCTCGCGCTTTTTTTCTGCTGAGTGACTGAGCGCCGATGGCACGACGATGGCTGTTGGTGGGCGCGCTCCTGCTGTGCTGTGTTTGGTGTGTGCGCGCGGTGGAGCCTCCACCTGATTACACGGCGTACGGGAATGGAGTTGACCCTGGGTGAGTCGCATTCCATGGCGATCAAGAGGATGTGTGTGTGGGTGAGAGTGACTGGTTCCGTGGGGCGCGATTTGGCGTTCCATGAGAACAGTTGGATTGGATTGAGGCAAGTGCAGATGCGATGGTGGTCGTTTGAGGGCGAGTCTGCGCGCGCGGTGCAGCGGCAAGCGTGCAGTCGTCGAAATGTGACGCAGAATGCATAGTGAGCTTCGCTCAATATATTATTGTATACTTCCGTTTGTATGATCACGGCCGATGCAATGATGTGTTCCAGCTCTTGATGGGGAGACCCTGTGCGTTGTCCAGCGCCCGGGACTGTCTGCCGTCTCGAGCCTGTGCTGTTCTTGCTATGCACACCTAGCGAGATCCGCCAGTCATGATGCTAACGATATCACTTCGAACAGCTGGCCTAGCGATCCCATCCTCCAATTCCGACCGCCGTTTCCCCGATCACTGCCTGTCCAAATCCTTCTCACCGGGATCGTCCTCACGCTCTCCTCCGTCCTCCTCATCCAGCTCGTCTTCACCGCTCAGTATCACTGGGCGTTGGCCCCGGTGAACTTTGTGCTGCAGATCTCCGCCGTCATCACGCTCCTCGTCACCTCCATCGTGACCATCAACATCGTGTTCACTGCAGTGACCGAAGAAAGCCGTACATGGCCGTACATGCTCAATTACGTCGCCGTCGATATCCCTCCTAGCCCAGACACAAACTGGCCTACGGCCAACCTGGCTGCGTGGTTGCTGATGACAGCCACAACATCCGTCCTGATACAGGTGACGTTCACCCCGCCATTTCCTTGTCACTGCCAGACTCATCGCGTCAGCAGATCACCCACATTCAATTCCTCACGCTGCTGTTCCCGTCCAAGCTGGAACGGCGGCTGATCTACATCCTGCTCGGGCCGCTGGCCATCACAGCAGCGGTGATGCAGATCCTGCGGATCCGCAAGGACAGCAAGCTGCTCGAGGCGGCGAGCGCGGTGCAGAACATCTGCAACGCGACGCTCTCGCTGCTCTTCACCGCGTCGCTCTTCATCTGGGGCCTGCTCGTGAACCGCAAGAACGCATGGCGCATGGACGGCGGGACGGCGGCTTTCGGGCTCGGCGCGCTCGTCCTCGCGCCCATGTCGACCGCGATCGCGTTCCTGTACGTGCCGACGCGCGAGCAGTACACGTGGATGCCGAGCCTGATGTGGGCGATCATCCTCTGGCAGAGCTTCCTCGGCTGGTGGTGGTGGGTCGGCGCGGGCATGGGCGTCGGCGAGGTCGACGAGCTCCTCCGCCGCGAGGAGAAGCGCAAGATGAAGCGCGACATGCGCATCGCGAGGCGGAGGCTGCAGCGCGAGCGCGCCGAGACGCTCTGGAAGGGCGTCACTGGCGCCCTTGGGTTTGGCAAGCAGTCTGACGACGAGGCCACCACCGCCGCCACCGTCGCTGCAGGCCGTCCGGGCCGCCCCCTCCACATGCATCGCACAAGCACGACCACGTCGAGCCTCTCGTCGTGCAGCAGGGGCAGGGCGTTCTGGCGGATCATCGGCTGTCCGCCCGGCCGGCAAGTCTACGGATGGTTCCTGCACTGGCGGCATGAACACCTCACGGCGACGCGCGAGCAGGCGGTGCAGCGTGCGGAGCGGATCAACCAGGCGTTTGGGGGAAGCGAGCCTGGCGTACGGATGGGCCGGGCGGGGTCGCTCGTCGGTTGGGGCCTTGGCTCGTTCTCGTTCAGGAGGGAGCGCAGCCGGGAGGAGGGGCGCGACGATGCGACGATCGTCGCGTCTGAGTCGGACCGCGATGTCGAGGTTGATGTTGAGAAGGCGGGCGCGGAGCGCAAGATGGGCGATGCTCGCGAGAAGGTGCGGGCGGTCGTGGAGGAGGAGGAGGAGGAGAAGGAAAGGGAGGGGGCTCTGCGAGTGCGGAGGCGGAGCGCGCGCAGGAAGGACGTGCGGCGGGACGACTCGAGGAGGCTGCAGGAGGGGCAGCATAGTGCGCCTGAGCATGCCTCTGGCCTGAATTGGTGGTGGTGGTGGGGCCCGTTGCGCAGGTGGCGGTTGCAGGATACGACCGAGTATTGAGGGAAAACTAAAAGAAGGATGGTCCTGACCTGCGTGCGTCGCTAGCGCTTTGCTTATCGGCTCTTTCGTAATCGCTCGGTGTATGAGTAGGTTGTTTGTCGCATTGTTTTTATTTATGTTTTTTCGTTGTCCGTACGTACATATAGGTGAGGGCTTGTAATTTACTTGCCGGGTGTTGCATGCGTGCATTCACAGGACTTGGGTTATGAATTTGGTTGATCATCCGTGACGCGGTCCACGTTAACGTAACGTTGACTGTCGCAGTGCGTGAAACCGACGTGCCGCGTTATGGTCTTCAAGCTGACCTCCTTCAGCGAGCGTCGTCAAGGGGCTCAATATTCAAGGTGAGGACTTCAGCGCGTTCATCGTACACATTAACATTTATTGACTACAGCCATTGTGTTTTGTGCTTAGCCGCTTAAGTTTCTGTGTACCAATATCACTTTGCGATTACCAGGGTCCCAGACTGCCATTCGTCAATGCTTAATTCATCCCACAGAGGCAGCGTTCTACGTGACCATCATGGCCCTGCCTGTCCTTTTCGTAAATTGGTAATGTCTCCGTTCAAATCTAAATATGTTGCATATGATCGTCCCGTGATTGACTTTTGCGAGCAGGCAACGCGTATCGGACGATCTCAGGGCACAAATCATCATAACTTGAACAGTTGTCAATTGTCAATTCAACAGAGAGAGATCTGCAGAGGTGGCGGAGGCAGCTCGTCCCAATGAAAGTGAATAAAGGTATCAACTAAGCTACATCGATGGCGGTATCGGGTATAGGAATGTGTAATTACACGACATGCAGACAGTACATGACAAAGTGGCCTTAAAGGCAGAGGTCAAGCCGACGACGTCCGACAAGCTGCGCACCCGTGCGATAGCTACCAGGTCTGACGAGGTCGGTATTTTGACGGAGGATTAGATGTGAATATGGCGAGTCGGGATTTTCTAGCGCTAATTCATTGGACGACGAAACGACTGTGGTCCATGAAGGAGAGGCTGACAAAGGAAGGAGAGGTCGGGATGCGGCCGTGCGCAAATCCCTCGGCGGGGCTATATGAGAGCAGACTTGGAATCATCTGGACGAACGAAGAGGTGTGATTTTATGGAGGAAGCAAGATGTGTGATACGACGTACAGTCAGGAATTCTCAGTGTCAGAAGGCGGAGAAAACCTTTTGGCATCGCGCACATCCGTGACGAGGTCAATGTCAGGTTGTGCAGTATCAACATGTCCTATCGGCGCAGCATCACCGAGAACATTCGAGTCCGCAGGCTCAGCGATGTAGTTCGTCAGCATCTACTGCGACATTCAGTACTTGAGTTGTAAAATAAAAATGAGACATGAACTTGCATTTCTGCTATGCAGTTCAATATTCGGCGTCGACTCCAGGCCTTCCGGTGCAGCTGATAATGATTCGACTGATTCCACTGCACTCAATGGCTCATTCTGGGGTTCGGAGAACAATGTGGTATGATGCTGTCTGTAATATGAGCGCTACAAAAAGAATCCCAAGGATAATCACAGACGGGTTCAGCGAAGAGACAACCGAGGATCCTGCAGTTTCTCTCTTCTACCTCTCGGGGCTTGAGAGTCGTAGGCACGGGAGCTGCATAAGCTGACGAGATAGCTACGTGATACAGAAATAAATATATTGGAAGAGAAATACATGGGAAGAGCGATTTGCTTACCACCGACAAGCATAGCAGAAATGGCAAAGGCCCGAGTGAGAATGAACGTGGCAACCATGATGTGAGAGAAGGACCGTGCAAAGCTATTAGACAAAGTTAGAGCTCAGGGCAGTGCTCAAGGCTTGCTCGAGTTAGAGAACAGGCAACGTCTACAGCATCATGAGCGTAGCGACATGCATCGCAGAGTTTTATAATGTAATCGTTAGTTCCCACTATCCCGTCTCGCAGGGCTCCCTCAGCGACACCTTGCAATGTGCGCTGAGACGGCATGATGAACGCAAATAGATCCAGCGCGGAGCACACGCCCAAAAGAGTGAGTCGCTTGTGCAGCCGTTACGGCAGCTCACAAGAGCCTGTGAGAGTCCGTGATGGCTCGCAGCCTGCAGGCCGAACTATAACAGTTTCCGTTTTAGGAACTTCACATGTCATTCCCTAATTGGTCACACGTTTGTTTGTTTTGAACTTGAACCTCGCCACACTGCCGCCACTCGACCTTAGATATCTGTAGTGATAGGTTTAGCACCCTGAATGATATTCAAAGGGATTGAAATACCTTTCGACGTCATTTGCCTCCGGCCTGCGAGCTCGCTTCCGGGTGTTCGTAGCAACGGCAGAGGTCGGTGGGCAAGAAGCATCATGTGCTGAGAAAGAGACTGATCACACAAAGGTACGCAGAGACATGGGAGTACTTACGATTATGAAGCGAGGATGCCGGACCATAGATCTCGTCGAGAGGAGGGGAAGGGGGACGTCCGTCAGGGCGCGGTTCCGCAGGCAGCGATGGCAGACGAAAGATAGTGCTGATCAAAGATCCGGCAGCTGCGACTCAAAGCTCAGCATGTCACTTTCTACTCAACTGGACGCGGTCTATGAAAAGCTCGCGTACGGACAGGATCTAAGACGGACGGACATGATTCAACGGAGCCGAGGATAGATTCACGAGCCAGGAGAGGAGCGGAGATGATAGGAGGGCGAGTGAGAGACGGTGAAGGACTGGATGCTCAGATCGGTAGGGGGCCAGCACACGGGGATAGGGGGAGATCCCGAGGTAGAAATCGCCGCCTTTGGCGACTTGGGGACACGAGGGGGCCGGGAGTAGAGACGGAGGTCGGGACACAAAGTCCATTCGGTGCTCAGACAGGTGATGATGCATGGATCGACACAGAAGCTGAGACAGGTGCAGCTGCAGAGCTCGATGCAATTGCAAATTTCAATGCACGAACACGCTTGGGGAGGGGAACCGGCGAACGAGCTTGAGATGGTGCAGAAGCGGATACTGGAGGGCCAGCGCACACAGGGCGAGGAAATGTAACACGAATTGTAGCAGGTGTGAATGCAGGGGCTGGAAGACGGACGCAGGCGGCAAATGGTGAAGAAGCAGCATTCAATAGCTCGCCTCAGCAAAGGCCTGTCGCATCCCGTGGCATCGCCGAGGGAAGAATAGGCGGCTGGTCAGCAGGGTTTGATCCTTCGGTAGCGAGCTCCGTCTGCAAGTTTGTGGATATGTGATCTGTGTTTTCGCACTTGGGCTCTGATGACTTCAACTCAGTCATTAGCTTGTCGACCTGAGTCAGTAACTCCTCTGTCTTCATCTTCCGCCTTGCACACTCTTGATTGCTTTTCTCAAGAGCATCCTGAGCTTCATTGAATTTGCTTTGCAGCTCCCCTTGGCGCGCGGTGAGATCTGCGATCACGATTTCCAGTTCGCCAACCTTTGTATCCCGATTCTTATTGTCCATAGAGATTGCAGAATTTTCCTCAGGGGCTGGTAACCGGCTGGAGGACTGGCAGAAGAGAAATGTCAGCTACACAGAGTGACGATAAATCTGAAGACGCACTTGTTTCATTTGGGATTGGATCCACACTGTCAAGAGAGCACCAGCTAGCATTGAGAGCAATATGACAGCACAAAGTGTATATCCCAAGTGAGCACTTGTAATGCTCTCAGATACTGTCGAGGAAGGGTGAATTGTTGGCAGAAATACAGGGCTTGTCTCATATACAGGAACCATCTGTCCACGCCACCAGTACACCGAGTATCCGATGTCAAACTTGAACACAGCTGGAAATAACCTTGCACACTCCCTCCGCCACGTATTATCAACGTACCAAGTCCATCTTGCATCATCAGGGCTGACGAAGGAGGTAAAGCTCCAGAGGTTGGGTGTGGGCGTTGCTCCCTAGATAGATGCATAGGCATAACACACGAAAATTCGGGTGATGTTACTTACTGGTTGGAGGTTCGTCTGGACGGGCGGGGCAAGTTCAAGACAAGTAGCAGAGAATGCAGCTTCCTCAGCGGCTTTCGAAGAAGCTGTCCAGGAAGCTTTCAAAGAAGTGCCCAATACAGATAGTGCACTCCGTAATTCAAACAGTGCCACAGTTGCATATGCAATCCCTGTCACCATTCCAATGCAGTCTTGTATAAATGCGAGGCTCTGGTACGAAGCAAAATTCGGTGTGGGCCTCTAGATCATACACTATACATACCATCTTGTGAGAGATCTGAGGAGCTGTTTTGCAGTGGATGGAGCAGACAAACAGGTAAATGTGATCAATGAGATGTCTTGTCTTGTCTTGTAAAGAGCGCGAGGAACGAGCGCTAGACCGAACCACCGGCTTACTAAGCAGGTGAAAGAGGCTCACCTGACGTTAACCCGGATCTAATTCCAAAAGACTCGACTTCAAATCGGCTGCGAGGTTGCTCATTACTCTTACGAGCTGGTTGAGAACGTCTGGACGGTATATTAGCACTGCGTGCCACGTTGTTATCGCACTCGATTATTCGCCTGTTAAGGCTTCGTGACGTATTGTTCAGAGCGTTTGCATGCATAGGTGTTGGCAAGTTCCAGACATAGGGGCCGTTATCCTCGAGCAGCTTAAATCCGGATTCCGATAAAGCTATCGCTACTCTTGTCGCCCTTGGGACAACGTGCCGTGGCCTATCTGAGCCTGCGCTGGATTACACCGCAGGCATGATCCCATTGGTCCCCACGGCAAATGCTGGGTAAATGTGACGTGAGAGTGTGACCTATACCGTGAGGTCTTCAATTGTGACATATACAATGCTAAAGCCGGAATCTGTGCCTGAGTATTTGGCTCATCTAAATGATAAACCATAAATTGGGAAAAGGCAGTGCGATCAAACTTAGAATATTGCATACCACATTTAAGGTCAGGCCAGGCACAATTGCGAATTGTAAATATGTGCCGGTATGCCGCGCGAACGCAAATTATGCACAACATTTGCTTCAGTAACATGTTTTATTTGCAGAATGCGGACAGAGCCAACATTTATGCAAATGGTTTATATTCTGCCTGATCAACATCTAGGATGGTTTTCTAATCCTCAAATATATAAAACTTCAGTTCTCATAGAACAGTGCAGGGGATGAATCGGCCCGCCGAGCGACCCAACTCAGTGGGCCACTTCTGAGTCACGGGATTTAGACGCCACTGTAGGGCAGGCTGGCACTGAGGCACGGGTATATAGACGCACTGGGGCGCTTCTGCTCTCCTCTTCTCTTACTTTCATCTTCTCGCCTCCCTCGTTGTAGGTAGGAAAAATCTATTGAAGTATCCCGCTAGCCAATTTCGCTGGCCTCCCACCCGTACTCTGCGTCGTTTGTCGAACGACACAACGTGAGAGGTGAGTTGTTTACTCACCTGCTGGGAGTCGCCTGTGCTTGCTGGGGTCCACCCCCTCTTATACACGTATGTCTGGGCCTTACGCCCTCTTAGGGCGTTCGCACCCTTCCAAAATGCCTTTGCATTATTGGGAAGTATTTCCCTCTTGTCGGCCACTTTAGTCACGTTTCACTACGGGGACACGGTCTGACGCTTCTTCGCTCTCCCGGCAGTGACCACGGTGGTGGATCAAGTCCCACCCTCACCAGACCCACCTACCCGCAGCGGTGCTCCGCGGCTGCACCCTGCGCTATCACAAACAGTCGCACCACCCACTGCCAAAACGCACCAAGCTGAAGGCGACACTGCTCACGCGGCCATCACCTCTGACACTGCTCACGCGGTCGTCACCTCCGACACTGCTCACGCGGCCGTCACCTCCGACACTTCTCATGCAGCCGTCACCACCGACACTGTCCTGCTGGGGCACCACATATCCTCCCCTGCTGATCTCCCCATGGCCCGCGAGAAGCAACCCCCGCGTGATCCGTCTCGCATTCCCAAGAGGCGCTCCTTCCCTGCTATGTCTGCCACCCCCCAGCGACCTCCGAGGAAGCGAAAGTCAGCCATGCCTCCATCGCGTAACCGGCCCACCCTCATGAAGTATGTCCTCATGGGGCAGATAGCAGCCACTCATCGACGACTCTCAACACTGCAACAACAGCAGTTCTGCAATCGCACATCAGCTGAGCTCGCCAAGGCCTCCCAGAAGCTCTTTCAGCAACTTGATCGGGTCTACATTGACCTGGACACAGGTGCGCACGAGTACGCGTATAGCGAAAAGCAACGTGTGAACATGCTCTGCCGGAGACTGGGAGGCGTAAGCTTCCAGGGCATAGGGAAACGCTTTGAAGACGTGGGGCAGCAGATTGTGACGATCGCGCAGGAAGGCCATTGTGATTTCCTATGTGTCCCCTCCCCCCCCTCTGCCTAGCTTGCACATACTCTTTTCCGCCTGTCTGTATTATATCACATGTATGAAACTGTGTGTTCTCTTCCCTTCCCAGTGGGTGCGCCCATTCGTGCGAGCGGTGTGGCGTTGACGATGCGGCAGAGACAGCGAAGGTCGAACTTGCATAAGACCTTCAACACGGCAACATCGAAACGATTGAGGCAGTGCAGTGCCAATTCGCCAACGGTCGAGCCTGCGATGACGATTTTCACGCCAGAATCAGCGATTTCTTTGAAGATCTAAGGATTTCAGTGACCAGATAGCAGAGTATGGAAGGACAAATATTCACGGACCTTCTCCAGCTTGTAGGTAGATTAGAAACAACTATTGAAGTCGTGTAATGGGACCCGCCGGGTCACTCTGGCGGGTCCCCAGAGTCAATTCATCTCAAGCAAACGTTGGCGCACTAGTATGAAGGCGCACTATCGGTGCATCCTCGCCTAGTGCCTCTTGCCGCAAGAATGCCAGCAATGATGTTCCGCTGCACTTCACTTCCTCGATGAGGAACGTATCAGAACGTCGCCATATATGACAATTCGACAGATACGATCATCCCGCTCGTAGGAAATCAGCTCAACGGGACTGTGCTGAGACAGGCATAATACAATTAATCATGGTGCCTCTGCATTCCTCCAACAGTATCATACAGTCAGATTGCGTCCTCATGATCTCTGATGCTCCATCGGCCTCCTCTTTCGTGAATGCTTCATCTGCTATGTTTGACGGGGAGAAGTTTTTTTCATACATCATCACTGCGACATCTTTGTATGCCGCGGGCATAGTCTATGGCCTGATCCACTCATACACGACGTTCAGCTTCAGTCAGCGACGTGAGCATTTCTCAGCTAGTTCATTACGCGGGTGTTTATGTTATCTTTCTAGATTTCCTCGCCACCGGAGTGGTCATCCTCATCTCGATAGCCATCTCAGCGGGAGTCGTCTTCTTACTCCTCTTGCTGGGCATTCTTTGAACTCTATTCTCCCACGGTGGCGACACACTGCACGAGTATCGGTAACAGAGGATCGTGCTCCACAGGACTAGTTGTGTCATGTTCTACATCGTCGGAGTCACGGGTGCTGCTGAAAAAGCATAGACAATGCTGTTGAGAACGCTGTCAGATGGTTTTCTAATCGTCGCATATATAAAAGTTCCAACATCATAGAACAGTACAGGGGATGAATCGGCCCGCCGAGCGACTCACTCAGTGGGCCACTACTAATGTACATCAACACTCATCAAAGAACCGAGAAAGATAGCTCCTTCTCACCAGACCACATGAATAAGTCAGTCACATTGTTAAAATCTTCACGGATGCAGGAGAATTCCTCGCTCCGCTCTAGAGCGGCATCCTCCCACAATTGGAGTGCAGATAGCGCTGGGAATTGCCGAAGCCATGACGGGAGACTCCTCTGCGGACAACGGATTAGCAAGAGAACGCAACAGAATTAAGCGACTCACCAATAATGAGTGACTGAATGCGGCTTTTCGCATCCCACCGTGAGCGGAAGCCTGTTCGAGAACGACGTACCCGACCTCTGTGAGATGAAGGTTTACATCATGAATGAGGCCGAGACCTCCGTACAAAGGATCTTCGCATGCGGCAGCAAGTTGTGCCGGGATCGTACATTTGAGCGACCACAGCTTGTCGCAGTGCACCACGGCTGCCAGGATCCTAGACAGGTTACAGAGATACTGTGCTGGATCGTCGTGGCGGCTATCAGGCAAAATCCTAAGCTCCAGCAAGGAAGTGATCCGGTAATGAGGATCGCCAAGCAGTCGTATGAGATATGGAATGGGAGCACTTAAAGTGTGCAAATTGGTGAGCATAGGAGGCGGCATGCCCAGCTGGTGCATTGCATTTCCACAGTCTGAATAATTTCCGATATGGAGTTCCTTGACGTCAGGGTGGCACATCATGAACCGGTTTAGGACCGCCTGCGAGAGCTCTCCCTCCACGTGAAGGATACGCAGGCTGGAAATGTTCAGCCACTCGAGTACATGATTCCATGAAGGAGAAATGAGACCGGGAGTGAGGAGCGATAATTCACATATATCGGAACAGTTGATGGTCTCCAGAGTCCATTCAGCGAACGGCGTGTCAAACAATAGGGACGCGTGAGGCCGAAACACCTTGAGACAAGAGGATGTAACGACGCGTCGTTTGCCTCGTAGAGGCAACTCTGTTTTGCATATTTTGTTGCTACGGTGAACCAGGGTAAGATTTTCGACGGGCGTGTTACGCAGAGCGTCGAGAACGTGAGAGAACTCAGGCGTTGGCGCCACTTCCAATTGGATTATGATGTGTGGAATACTGCGTAGATCCTTCAAAGACCACAGATACCGAGAGAGCAGCTTGCATTCCTGCATATCTCCTGTAAAGAGGTAGAGGAAGGTGTGACGGGGGGGGCTCGAAAATGAGGGACTGCCGCCATAGATTGAGAACAAGAGTCGCCTCAGGTCTCGTAATGTGCAACGATCCACCTTTCACCGGAGGACGAAGGCCATGTCTGGAGAGCAACAACGGCATGACGATGCAATGAAGCTGGCGTGACAAGATAATAACGGCGAATAGAGCCGTCGTTGGCAGGAGCTCCGCGATGCCGATAAGGAGCTCATTTGGAAGGTCCAGTACAGTGACGGAGCCACAATGGGATTTCGACTGGACATCCAATGACTGCTGTTAGTAAGCAAAGTATCGTACACAGCTCTTGGACTGACCTCTAGCACGTATTCGAGCAGAGCAGGGTCAGACCGTAACGGGTAATGAACATGGTTACACCCTGTATCGTCAACAGCTTTACACTTGAGGCTAGTCTTTTTGACGACATGAGGGAAGTATGATGACAAATGACTGAGAGAAGTACGAACCATCTCCACAGAGGATTGAGAAGGCATGATATCATTCGATGATCGCATGCAAAGCTGACGATGTTGATGAAGCTCGAGACCGTGAACGACGAGTAGTTCGGAGAGGCTCACCTGACTGTTGGATGCAGAGGCTACAAGGTCATGTTCTTCTACTCCTGTGTTGTGCACGGAGTCAATGAGGAGGCTGACTCCTTTGTCGACGCACTTCGTAGACATCATCAGGACCATGGCGCCACTGAATGAGAAATGCTACATACCAGGCGCTTTGTAGGCCTCGCGTTCATGCTACGTCGTCTTCTGCAGGGACAAGTGATGAAGCTGAGAATGCTGCCCATGACTGTCGATGGGGGATTTCGGTGACTCTGTATAAATACCCTTCTGAAGAGCTGTAAACTTGCAGACTTCCCAAGTCCGTTCAGTGATACCGACACGGATTCGGAACACGGCCCAGTCCACTCACCGACATCCCAAGCGGCTGCATGCTGGAGCAGCTGCGATTCCATAACAATCCATTGCAAGTACCATTCTGGGCGTAGCGGCTTTTGATGTGAAGGCGAGGAAGTTCACGGAGGCCACCAGAATGGGACAAAAGGAAGTCCAATATAGCAAAGCCACTCACTAGCCTGCAACGTTGGCGACGGCGACAAGTACAGGACGGCTACAGGACGGCCACTGTGAAGGAGGACGTGCGATCAGATCTGTTTGCGGATCAAGTGCGGAACGCGGATCCGACTGCGCACCGGATTAGAGTGAGCACGGATCAAAAATAGTCGAGTGTGGATGGTCGGAGCGCGAAGGCGGTTCAACGAAGAGTACGTAAGAAAGAAGTCCAATACAGCGGAGCTACCTACTCACCAGCCTGCAACGTTCGCGACGGCCACGACTTGAGGTCGGCTGTCGGGACGGCCACTGAAGGCGAGATCGTGATTGAGTGGGGTAGCAGATCAGATTGCGGGGATGATCTACGGATCAGATTGCGGGGTTGATGATGTATGAAAGGTAGGCCCTTGGAGCAGAAGACGACGCGTGATGAAAGCGGGGCAGGCTAGCTCACCTGCGTTGGTCTGAAGTTGAAGCCAGATATTTGCGTTGAATCCAGCGATCTGCGTTGGACAGACAGGATAAGGCAATGAGAAGGCAGCCTGAGGAGGGGGCGGTAAGGGGGGTCTGTGGGATCGAAGCAGGAGGAAAAGATATAAGCGCCCGCAGAGCCGGTCTGATATACGCACGTGCCGGTGACACCCTGCCCTAAACATCGCCGCTTATGGTAACCGGCTTGGACTTGCGCACCTTCTCTTTTGCCCACTACGGTCAGTGCGGCCTGACCGAAGTGGGCGGCGATCGTTACGGTGTTTCAATATATATATTATCGAGTACTTGTGAAGCTCATAAAGTTTTAGTATCACAGTATAACTCGGGATCTTCTGTAAGACAAACGTGAAGGTGCGATGGCCACGCTCATCGACTTCTTGCTCGTCGCCGCTCGTCGTCCGCATGTGTTCTCCTGGATCGGCAAGGCTGCTCTGAGATCTGTCACGAACTATCGCAAGCTTCGTTGGAGAGTACCGGGCCTAGCAGGTATGTACGTTTGTTCCCTTCCGAGCTTCTCATTCATTCCGGTCCGTCACAGTTGCTCCACCTACACGGCATGCGACGTCGAAACACTTCGACGGAGGTGCGTCTAGCCATGTTATACCCCCACTCCTGGTGACCTGTAGGCGTCGGCATGGCCTCAGTCAATGGCCGCCCACGAGGAGTCAGAGTCTCAGTCTGATCATAACTACATCCCGACGGCGATATATAAGCATGATGGTAAGATTTATATCGAGCAGGGTATTGTTGATCAGTGCTGCGTCCCATTTTTCCTTACGCTTGTCTCGCAACCATGACTTCGGTGTGTCCATGCGTAATCATTATGGGGCCTGCTACTCACTGTGATATAGATGTCTTTGAAGCAGACCATATTTGCACATGCGAGGCCGGTCAACTGTATCGCCCTCAGTGCCGATGGCTCGCTGCTTCTTTCAGGAGGTTGCTCGCCGTTTCAGAATAAATTTCTCTCTGCTAACGCTGCCTTCAGGTGATGACGGGATAGTCATTGTCTGGGCAGTCAAATCCAGTAAAAAGATACAGGAAATATCCTGCTTCTTCTGCGGTGCAATCACCGCCGTATGCTGGATCGATCCACGCTGCGACAAGGATCTGTCGTTTGCCCTTGGTTGTGCAAGCGGCGACATCCAGGTCTATCTAAGATCGGACGCGAATGTGAGTAGGTTACATTAGGTTGCCTTTTGTAAGAACACGTCGACTTATGCTTTCGCAAGGCAACATTCCAACTCGCCTCAATGAGAGCGTGTCACGAAGCACACGTCGAGGACATCCGCTTTGACTCTAACAGTAGGCGTGTCGCCAGTGTGGGCGGGGGCGCCGTGCAAGTCTGGAATCTCACCTTAGGCTGTACATACCCCTATTCCGAGACCGCCATGTCGATATTCACTTTTGTGATACAGATAGTCTGGAAAGTTTAGTCAAGGATCCTCCTCGTCAAGCGGTCACCGTGCGATCCGTTCACTTTTGCGACGAAGGGGCCAGTGTTATCGTTTGCTTTTGTGAGTCGCATGACATGTGAGCTTTATGTTTCTCGTTTCAGTCAGATCATAACTTTTAAACTCTTTTATGCCCAGATTCTGTTACAACGTCGAGCCTTGGACCTTAAAATGGGCAAAGCGAGTTCCTACTCGGATGTAAGTGACAATAGAGCCCATTTTTGCATACATTTGACTGCGATCACATCAGCGGCCACTCGGCTTTGTCTCATGATGAACGAACCCTGGTTATCTCGAACCTCGAGACTGGCGTTGATGAGTACAGATTTCCGTCGTTGGAACGGGTTCGATCCTACACATATCCTATTCTACGCAATCATATCATGCAGGTAGGCATGATAGGGACCCAGATTATTGTCGGCGGCGATGACGGTTTCGCTCGCATGTATGAAAGCACCACTGGGTGTCTCATAGGAACTCTCGACCACTATAACGGTGTGTTCGACTCGATGTTTTGGCCATTCAATCCTTACACTCTCGAGATATCTCAGCAGGGGCCCTTGTGCAGATTATTGCTGTAATTGAACTCTTTATTGTACATCTGATAAGCTGAGTCGGCTTACAAGTACTTTTAGACACACAATGACCTCCAGGGCTGTATGGTGGCAAGCGCATCGACCGGGGATGGCCTATCGGAAATAAAGATTTGGTCTCGAGTGCGTAATCTGCCACATGACCCGACTCCTTCCAGTTCACGGCTCACATGGCAGTATTTAGCATCATCGCATCATTGCAGATTCGAACACCAACTCGAGGTTGATCACCTGGAGAGAGATCAGTGTGTTTCTGGTCACTGCTCTCATATGTACCCTTCTACGATCCATTGAAAGGGTTGGCATCTTGCAACCGCTCTGGCTCATCTTTTCATTCATGTTCTTGATGCCGATAGCTATCATTTCTGCTATTGGACCTTTATTTTGGATTTTTGCCAAGGGAGTGCTCGTTGTTCTCGCTACTCTCACTGATGATTGCATATGATACCATCTAAAATACTCGTACTCACATCGTTTCCTAATTCTCTGTGAACGCCATACAATTAGAATGATAATGAGCATGGCTTAATGCCTTTATCTCTCCTGAACTTAGCAAGACGGCGTCAGAGAGGCTATCGAAATGGATGATAATGAATCTGCCTTAGCACGGCTCGAATAGCCCTTACAACCCTCGTTAGATTGCCTAGCCAAACGGATCACCGATTTTATATCATCGCACTGCTAGTACAGGAGTTAATCTTTAGCTATTTAGGGCTCACCGGGATCACATTCTCTCGCAGTTGTGCCACTAGAGGTACTTTTGCTCTAATTCTCTTTCCAGGCTTTCCTTTAGCCTTCAAAAGAAACTCGGTGCTCGTGGCTTCTCTGATCTCACCGATTAGCCCAATATCTGGCCCAGCAACTACCAACACCGAATCTCCAACTGCAGCTCTGAGTGGTCGCAGATTCTCGATGGGGATGGCTATAATCTTCTTGTAAGCGGGACCACCGTGGCTGACGTTAATTTTACGGCTGCCGTCGTCGACTGTGGGTGTACCGAGGCAAAGCGATACGAAGTCGCCATCATGCAGTCCTTCATGGGTTATATCGCTGTTGATGCGAAGAGCAATGTTTCGCATCTTCGATAGAATCTCTTGAGCATTTTCCAGGAATAAAAATGCGAGAGGCTCCGCTGGATATCACGTACATCAGTGGTGTTGAAAACAATTCAAATGTTCTACTCACTAGGCTCAGGCTCTGCCTGTTCAGGCTGATGCTCATCAGGTGTGAGCTCTGGGAAGGAAGCAGAAGGTTGGTCGTCAGCCTCAGCCTGTTCCAATGCGTTGATGTCCTGGCGAACTGCTTGGCTGGATGCCAACATCTCCACGTCTTCAATGGTCGAAGACGGGTCCCATGCAATAAAGCTAGCCAGATCTTCAGTGTTTTGCAGAGAATTTATGATGTTGAGCGCCGTATCGGGGGTAGGTTGGGGGGTCGATGAGCGAGAAGTGTCTCTGGCTTTAACGTCCTCTACTTTCGATGATCCAGCGAGCTTCGACTCTTTGCCCTGGCGTGGAATGAAAGGAAAAATAGTATTCTCGTCGTCGCTATAGATCGAATATTCAGTTAAAAAACACTGACAGGGGAATACTACACGCGCTACCTCAGCAAACCCAAATGTTTCTCATCGAGAAGTGCGACGAACCCTCTAGGGGCATCCAGTTGCACTTGGAACTTTCCGTTGTATTCGAACTTAAGATAGCCCTTGTGCCCCTTGAACGAATCCGCTATGACCATGACCCGTCGCCCTGTATACGGATGACGGTCACCGCACATTGACTTCATCGACGTGTCGACACTGAGGTCATTCTGGCTTCTGTGTAATGAGTCTTGCGAAGGCGTTTTGGCCAGCCTCAACGCCGGATTGTCCATGCAGACGTCGACAGATCTCGCAGTGACCAGTTCGTCATTGTCCTCAGAATGCAAAACCAACTCGACTTCATTTCCATCTACACTATTGGAGAGCACAATGCCTGTGCTACCCGTATGCGTGCCTCTGATGATCTTTACATCGTCTCCCGGCTTGAAAAGACGGTGAAGCTCGGCCAGTCGTACCATTACAACCGCGACTGGATCGTTGCTCACGGCCAACTCAGCGTTGCCGTCCGCAATGCTCTGGATGGTGCCTTCAAGTCCCATCAACTGCCCGGCTGTAACACGCACGCGATCGTGTTCTGCCAACGTAGCTATGTACGCTTGATGGACGATATAGTCCAATGCCTCCATCGGAATCCAGGACAGTCCCAAGAATGGAGCAATCTCATGCTCGCGAGGCGGGTCTGCCAGGGCGCTCACCATATCAGCGCCATATCGCAGCCGCACCAGCCCATCCTTGAAAGATTTCGACGACTTGTGAGATTTCGATGACTGTCGAGATCTGCGCCACACGGTCACGCGCCCATCTTGAACGTCTTCAACGTAGGCCAGCTTGCGAGCATATTGCCCACGCTGGACTCGGACCCAACTGCCAGGCGTGATTGCCTGGGTCGCGCAAGGTGGAACGAATGCTCTCGTAATCGAAGTCGATAGTTCGGCGATGGCCGCCGAGTCAAGTTGAGCTCTTTCTCGGCAAGCTGATTCCGTGTAATGGCCTGCCAACTCCTCTGCAGCTTCTGCATCCACCAAAGGATAGAATGCTGTGATGGGACGTTGACGTTGCGGTCTGTCTTCCGGCTCGACGGGATCGCGTACGATGAATTCTGATGGCATATCCTCAATATCGTCACATCTCCATGCACATCACGTACTCACCTCGAATGTTGTCTTCGTCTTCGCCGCCGTCCGTCTCCTCCTCGTCGCGGTCCACTACCGCTTCGATGTCAATAAATTGCCTAGCTAGCTCGCGCGGCACCATCCTGGGCGTAGCGGATTTGATGTGGTATGGGTCGGCTAAGAGACTTGCGATCGAATCTGCTTGCGGATCAAGTGCGGAAATGCGGATCCGACTGCGCACCGGATCAGAGTGGGCAAGGGTCAAAAATACTCGAGTGTGGGTGGTCGCTTGTGCGCGGAGCGAGAAGTTGTTCAAGACTACGTCAGAAAGAAGTCCGATATAGCGAAACTACCTACTCACCAGTCTGCAACGTTCGCAATGGCCACAACTTGAGGTCGGCTGTCGGGACGGCCACTGAAGGCGAGATCGCGATTGAGTGAGGGAGCGGATCAGATTGCGGCCTCTTGGAGCAGAAAACGCGCGATGAAAGCGAGGAAGGTGAGCTCACCTGCGTTGGTCTAAAGTCGAATCCAGAGATCTGCGTTGAATCCAGCGATCGGCATTGGACAGACAGGAAAAGGCAGTGAGAAGGCAGCTGAGGAGGCGGTAAGGGGGGTCTGTGGGATCGAAGCAGGAGAAAACGATATCAGCGCCCACAGAGCCGGTCTGAAATACGCACGTGCCGGTGACACCCTGCCCTAAACATCGCCGCTTATGGTAGCGGGCTTGGACTTGCGCACCTTTTCTTTCGCCCACTACGGTCAGTACGCACTGACCGTAGTGCGCACTAACTGTAGTGGGCGACGATCGTTACGGTGTTTCAAAATATATATTATCGAGTACTTGTGAAGCTCATAAAAGTTGAATAGTATAACAGTATAACTCGGGATCTTCTGCAAGACAAACGCAAGGGCGCAGTGGCCACGCTCGTCGACTTCTTGCTCGTCGCCGCTCGTCATCCGCTAGGCCGCTCTGAGATCTGTCACGAATTATTGCAAGCTTCGTTGGAGAGTACCGGGCCTAGCAGGTACGTACATTTGTTCCCTTCCGAGCTTCTCATTCATTCCGGTCCGTCACAGTTGCTCCACCTACACGGCACGCGATGTCGAAATGTCGGTGGAAGTAACTTTGAACGGAGGTGCGTCTAGCCGTAGTATACAGGCATCGGCGTGGCCTTTAATAACTGCCGGAAAGGTCAATCTTCCCGTTAGATATCCCTTCGTTGCGCCGTACACAGAACAGAGGTGCTTCAGATTTTCAAGAATTGTTCCCTTGCTAAGGGCAATACTGAGACCCATTCTGTAAGCTTTCTCGTTCTCTCCGCCCAGTGTGCCCATCATGCTAATTCCCTCTTTCGCTATACATTCTTTCATGCTCCCTCTCCGCCTGACCGTTGAGTCTACGACATGTCGCCGACCAGTCATCAACATCGTGTGCAGCGTATCTATCCTCCGGCCACCCTGCATCATCGTTTCGACGCGGAACGGCTGTTGACGCCGCCTCCTTCGCCTCTGCGACGTGTATTTGATATCGAGCTTACCCTTCCCATTCCATCCACTGCATTGCTTGATTCAGTGCCGGCTGCCAGTAAGGAAACTCCCACGGGACAAGCAATGATTCGAAAACCTTCGGGGGAGGTTACCCGTCTCGCGCGCGAAGGATACAATCTCCGCGGGGCCTTGGGCTGGACTGAGGGTGTGTATTCGGAAGTACAGGTGAGACTTTGCGCGAAGCTTGCGGTAAGAAGCTGACTCTGTACCGTGTTCAGGCTTCTGTCCACAAGCTAGCAGACCTCCAGTTGAAACCTGTGTCATTCTCAAAGCAGAGTTCTGCAGATATCCAGAGGGTGTATGGTCTCGTAAGATTCGCCGTAACCTGCTCCATTAATACGTGCTGATTATGGGTGCTAGGCCACCGAGCTTCATCCTTTTTTGCGCCAGTATGAGAATAATTGGCCCATCGCCGATTTTCTCCGAACATATTTGAAGAATAAAGCAGCCGCAGCGAACAGGAAGAAAACGCCAGTGCTGTGATGTTGCAGAGCCGCATTGTTGTAGCATTCCTTATGCCTAGTTACATTTGTCATGCTCCCACTCACCTACGTCCTTGCTGCGCATGTAGAGAGTCGTTTTAGGTTATACGTCATTCCCATACGCAGAAGCCGATTGCAATTCGACCTTTGCAGATCGTGTGTCTTTGAGAGCGATTAGGAGGGGTGACGAGGCCGAGATGGCATCGCATACGTATGAGACAGTCAATGGGACTTGATGCTGCGCTTAGAACGGCGGACAAGTTTCGGAAACAACAAGATAAATATCGTATAAGTTCAGCAGCAAGTGTATGGATGGTAGGCAGGCTCTCATTCCCATGCCCCGAAAGGACAGTACCCTCTTTGCGTGCCATTGCACCACTTATCAATGCAAAGGAGCGTACATCAGTCCGAAGGAGCATAGGTCCCACAAACGCTACGACGAGCAACTGAAGAAGAGTGAAGAAGTGAGTATCATTCACCTAGTTGGTACGATGTCTGATGATTGGTTTAGCGGAAGGCGATCCAGAATGCGAGAGGAAAGGCATATATAGACCATACCTGGCCAGCCAATGGACTAGCCCAGACAGGAAGTGGCTCAGACGATGCGACAAAAATTTCAGAACAAGTCTTCGCGATGACATTGACGGAGGACGTACTGCTCGCTCCGTCTGCGTCATCGTTGGACGGAAGTTGGCAGCGGCAAAATGCGAGTATAGGAACAGCAACAAACGCGAAAGCAGAACCTGACGGTCCACCTACTCGTGCACCAGAGCAACCGACTCCCGCAGTACCTCCTGTGACGTCAATCGGCAGCCACTTTGCGACCGCGAATGGAACATACGAAAAGCTCTATTTCCTGGACCTCGAGATGGACTTGTGCATGCGTGAATGCGTGACATTGTGTCGCGAAGGCATGAACTCTCCGCAAGGCAGCAAAGCTGCTTTGAAGATTTCAAGAGAGTTGGAGGGGGAGGAGGGCTGGTTAGAGAGCGCAGAGAAACTGGTGATTTGCACTCAGGACGGGCCTCATAATAATGCCTCATCACTGTTGCATGATGCGATGCTGGAACGGCTGAAGAAGCATCGGAAGCAGCTGAAACAGTACCGACACCAAGTTGA